GCTGGTGGACACCAGAGGTTCGGGGAGCCGTCAGGCTGAAGAAGGAGGCCTACAGGGCGTGGCTGGTCTGTGGGTCTCCGGAGGCAGCAGACAGGTACCGGATAGCCAAGCGGGTTGCAGCAGTGGCAGTTGCCGAGGCAAAATCTCGGGCGTGGGAGGAGTTTGGTGAGGCCATGGAGAAAGACTATCGATCGGCTCCAAAGAGGTTCTGGCAAACTGTCCGGCGCCTCAGGAGAGGAAGGCAGCAACTCGCTCACACTGTTTACAGTGGGGATGGGGAGCTGCTGACGTCAACTGAGGCTATAGTCGGACGGTGGAAGGAATACTTTGAGGAGCTCCTCAATCCCACCAATGCGCATTCCGAGGAGGAACCAGAGCTGGGAAGCCTGGGGATGGACTGTCCGATCTCGGGGGCAGAAGTTGCTGAGGTAGTCAAACAACTACACAGCGGCGGAGCCCCGGGGGCGGATGGGGTTCGTCCTGGGTATCTCAAGGCTATGGATGTTGTAGGGCTGTCATGGTTGACACGTCTCTACAACATTGCGTGGTCATCGGGGGCAGTTCCTAGGGAGTGGCAGACCGGGGTGGTGGTCCCCATCTTTAAGAAGGGTGACCTGAGGGTGTGTTCCAACTATAGGGGGATCACACTCCTCAGCCTCCCTGGAAAGGTCTACGCCAAGGTACTGGAGAGGAGGGTCCGATCGATAGTTGAATCTCAGATAGAGGAGGAGCAATGTGGTTTTCGTCCTGGCCGTGGAACTGTGGACCAGCTCTATACCCTTGCAAGGGTGATGGAGGGGGCATGGGAGTTTGCCCAACCAATCCACATGTGCTTTGTGGATTTGGAGAAGGCTTATGACCGTGTCCCCAGGGGCACCCTGTGGGGGACGCTCCAGGAGTATGGGGTGGGTGGCTTTCTGTTAAGGGCCATTCAGTCCCTTTACCAGAGGAGCGTGAGTTTGGTCCGCATAGCCGGTAGTAAGTCGGACCTGTTCCCAGTGAGGGTTGGACTCCGCCAGGGCTGCCCTTTGTCACCGGTTCTGTTCATCACTTTTATGGACAGAATTTCTAGACGCAGCCGTGGTGTGGAGTGTGTCGAGTTTGGTAGCAGGAGAATCTCGTCTCTGCTTTTTGCGGATGATGTGGTCCTCCTAGCTTCATCCAGCTCTGACCTTCAGCTCTTGCTGGGTAGGTTCGCGGCCGAATGTGAAGCGGCTGGGATGAGGATCAGCACCTCCAAATCTGAGACCATGGTCCTCGACCGGAAAAGGGTGGCTTGCCACCTCCGGGTCGGGGGAGAGGTCCTACCTCAAGTGAAGGAGTTTAAGTATCTCGGGGTCTTGTTCACGAGTGAGGGTAGGAGGGATCGGGAGATCGACAGGCGGATTGGTTCAGCGTCTGCAGTGATGCGGACACTGAGCCGATCTGTCGTGGGGAAGAGGGAGCTGAGCCAGAAAGCCAGGCTCTCGATTTACCGGTCGATCTACGTCCCAATCCTCACCTATGGTCATGAGCTTTGGGTAATGACCGAAAGAACGAGATCGCGGATACAAGCGGCCGAAATGAGTTTCCTCCGTAGGGTGGCCGGGCTCAGCCTTAGAGATAGGGTGAGGAGCTCGGACATTCGGGAGGGACTCGGAGTAGAACCGCTGCTCCTCCGGATCGAAAGGAGCCAGTTGAGGTGGTTTGGGCATCTGGTCAGGATGCCTCCTGGACGCCTCCCCGGGGAGGTGTTTCGGGCATGTCCTGCCGGCAGAAGGCCCCCAGGTCGACCCAGGACACGTTGGAGAGGTTACATCTCCAATCTGGTCCGGGAACGCCTTGGGGTCCTGCCGGAGGAGCTGGTGGACAAGGCCGGGGAGAGGACGGCCTGGAGCTCCCTAATTGGTATGCTGCCCCCGCGACCCGGACCCGGATAAGCGGAGGAAGACAAAGACGAACACACTTATATGTTTATCATATTCAAAGCAAAGCAAAAATATATACAGTTTCATTCTTGCTTTGCAGAAATTCACGTAATCTGGCAAAACACAGAGAAAGATGATGTGCTAGTGCATGGACATAGTTTTGACTTTAGAAGTGTGTGTGTGTGGGGGGGGGCACAACCAGCATGAGGATGGGGGGCGGGGGATCTTTACAGTAAGTATACTAAAAATATGCATAAAACTACAGCCCAGAGGCTCTTTTATGCAATGTCAGGAATGCAGAACTGTCAGGTGCACAAGTGGCAGGAGCGGCCAATCACACGTTAGCAAGTATCAGCAGAGCCAATAGAAAGCTAATGGGAAACAAGCTTTAACACAAGTAATTGTTTTCCGTTTGGTCCTGGTGACTATTTAATATAGCAATAAAATTGTTTGGTAAAACGTGCAGGGGCAAAAATAGACTTTGGAAAAAGTGGGGAGGACATGCCCCCCCCCCCCACACACACACACACACAAAATTACGTCCATGTGCTAGTGAAATAATTAGCATAGAAGAACGTAAAATATTAAATTGTTCATAAAATAAAATATTAGAAGTTCATTTTTTTGACTCGTGACATTTGGATGCATGTTAGCCCAAACATTCCTAAATGCTAAAAACAGAAAAGCATGATTAACAGCAGAGTAAATAATCAGTATTGTAGGATTCATGTCTGTTTATAGCTTAATTATTTTTTTGTGTTTTCAAATCAGTTCTGATGAAAATAAACTGTCAGTGTTTCCTGTTTACTGAGTGAGGCGACGCCCAACGGACCATCGGCATCAGGAGCTGCAGCGGCATCAAGAAGCACCGTTTCATCACTTTTCAGGTGAGATGAGAGCTCAGCTATACACAGGAAATCAGACTGAATGATTCCGATAGCATCAATAATGCAGCATCCTCCTCCTGAGAGATGTGATGTCTGCAATCACACAAAACAAATTACACCTTTACTAAAAAAACACGTTTTCTAAATCCCACCTCTTAATGTTAATCGATACGTATTAAGGAGCTCTGCCTACAGCATCTTTAAATAGTAAAGATAAATGTTTTGCAACATGCAGAATACCGGTATGTGGCATTAATGAAAGCTGCTGAAGGTTAATTTTGTTTAACCTTCTTCTTGACGTATCACTCAGCTTCATTTAAACTATTTTTCTCTGAGGTAAATAAATGTATCTGTTAAACGTGTCTTCTACAAGTCACCTGTTGTGGTGGTCGGAGGGACCGGTGGCGCCAGTGCTCAGCAGCCTCACCTCTGTCAGTGCGCCCCCTAGCAGCTGTGGCTACATTGTCGCTCATCACCATGAGGGTGTGAATGTGTGCTTGTGTTGTAAAGCGCCTTGGGGGGTTCTAGGACTTAAGAAGGTGCTATATATACAGGCCATTTACTATTTAAAGAAACACAAAACACCTGTTCATTTATAAAGTATCAAAGATTCATTGATAACTTATCAATGAATTAGCCACCTATAAGGGGCCCCTTATTGTACAGAAATGTGTATTTAACTTGTTTTTCCCTCAACAACAATGTTAAAAAGTAGATTTGCTGAAAAAATAATTTTTTACTTATTAATTTTGAAATTAATCCATCACTCTGAGTTTATCATGCAGGCTCAACATGGAAAAAGTCTTCCACCCCGATTGCTTGCATTAGCTTCTGACAGAAAATAGATGGAAAACGCTTGGTTCGGAAAAGCCTGACAGATCTACGTCGCACTGTCACTTTCATGGACTAAACCATCTCGGCCACGAGGAAGGCTGATGTTGGTTTAACGTCCAGGAAACAGCGTCTTTATTAGTAGAAACTAACCATTAGCATTAGCAACTTCACCACACAGCAAAACTCTTTCAGGTTTGTTATTTGCGGAGATAAAACATCAACGTCAGTGGTAGAGTCACGTTTCTGTTAGCCAATGAGAGGTGAGATGTCCATATATCAGGAAATAAGACTCCAAATCCTGACGTCTGAAGCTACTTTCTCCTTCAGCTGAATTCTACATCCTCAAACTGGTGCACCGGAGCTTTGTTTACCCCAGAGAACGACTTCCAAGGCATTAATTCCTCCTAAAGACTACAAATGTATGCAAAATATGGGTCAAGTTGACCTTTAAATATACCTTCAATTAAACATGATAAATTCCAAAACCACTCCTCGGTTTTTAGCCACCCATAACACGTTCCTAATGTCAGTTTTTCTTACTACAGAAGTCGAAGGTCTGTTCATTTACATAAAGGATTTTTGTCTTTTAGATGTCACACTTTGGGAGATAGTGATGACGAACGAGGTGACTCAGCATGGCAGTGGCTTTCAAATGAACTAATCTGACATCACTGACAAAACGTCCTCTCTGCAGGATGTTAACACCTCTCTGAAGGCCAGTTCAGTGTCTGATTGAAGTTTCAGGAACTGCAAAGTACTTAAATGATAAGAAGCAATGAAAGAATCAAGGAAGAGTGACGTTTTAGTACAAAGCCACCACTGCCTTCTAAGAGCTAATGATGACTCATCGTGAAACGAAAAGCACTCAGGAAATATATGATGAGTGTCCTAAAAAAGCGCTGTATAAGTTCAATGCATTGTTATTATTATTATTATTATTATGTAGTGGAAAGTTTGGCTACACATGTCTGCATCCTTTATGGTGCGATTTTTCTTTGAGATTGACAGCAAGAACTTTGACGCTCGTGGCATTTAAAAGATTAAAGGCTAAATTCAAATGTGATGAAAAAGATTCCCTCACTCAGCGTGGACGCGGAAGGTCACGTCAACCTCAGCGACGACGCAAAAACTGTAGCATTTGAAGATGAAGTGAAGAAACTTGCGTCACTTCCAAAACTACTGGGAGAAAACAAAGATCACGCTGTTCTTTTGATGCATGGATGAAGCTACGGACAAATTTGGATCCGTCAGCAGCAGAGGTGATGACTGGGATCAGCCCTGGACTTGTAAGATCGAGATATTCTGGAGGAATTTCATGAACTTAACGTGAGATGCAACAATCTTATTGAAGAGAACAATTTCTTCCCACAGATTTGTGAAAGGTTAAGCAGTTTTAATAATCTGTGCACAAACTACCACAGCATTCCAACAATATATTTCACTAAAGCTACCTTTCATCACAGCTGGTGAAGAGGTAAGAGATGTGTCTCCATTTGGAACAGAGAAACTTAAGCATTGAAAGAAACATATAGAAAGAAGTCGACATTATCAAATCCTGAGAGGACTATCTAGATTCAGAGGAATTGAATGATGCTGAAGATGTCATCCCATCAACTGAAGGTCTGTGGTTCTTCTCAGGGGTCTCACTTGATGGGAGTTTAGCAGTTTAAAGTTGACATTTTCAGTACCTTCCAGAATGATCCTTTCCAGGGATCTGTCAGTTAAAGAAAGAAAGAAAGAAAGAAAGAAAGAAAGAAAGAAAGAAAGAAAGAAAGAAAGAAAGAAAGAAAGAAAGAAAGAAAGAAAGAAAGAAAGAAAGAAAGAAAGAAAGAAAGAAAGAAAGAAAGAAAGAAAGAAAGAAAGGTTATATAGCAACTCTCAAGATAAAAATCATGAGGTGCTTCACAAAAACCAAAAAAATAAAATAAAATAAAATAAAGGATTTTTTAAAATTGTTTCAAAAACTATCATTAAAATAAGAATACATTTAAAATTTGGCATTAAAATATAAGTAAAGGGAAAGAGGGATATCAGTGGATCCTGGGAAAGGCGAAATAGGTAAAAGGAACAGAATAAGGAGAGGATGATGATGAAGGTCAGGTAAAAGGTCACTGGACCTCAGGGACCTGCTGGAGGTGTAGGGACTGAGAAGATCACCAATGTATGATGGTTCTTGTCCATGTAAAGCCCTAAACACCACAACCAGGATACTGACATTAACCCTGAGGTTGACTGGCAGCCCTTGAAGCTGGAGGAGAAGCGGGGTGATGTGGGTGTGTTTGGAGGACTTGGTCAGAAGCTGAGCACAGGCATTCTGAACCACCTGTAGACGGTTCAGGGAGGTTCTGCTCAGACACGTGAAAAGAGAGTTACAGTAGTCTAAGCATGAGGAGATGAAGGTGTGGATAACTGCCTCAAGTTCAGAGCGGGACAGAATGGGACTCAGCTTAGCAATGTTCCTGAGATGGAAGAAGGAAGAGCGAACAAGAGAACTGACATGAGAATCCAGGGTGAGAGCTGGGTCAAAGTTCACGCCAAGATTCCTGACAGGGGTTTTGGTGTGAGAAGCAAGCTGACCAAGAGTCTCTGACTTTGGAAACTAGCTTGTCTGGGGCACAGATGAGGATCTCAGTCTTATCAATTGAATTCAATTCAATTCAAGTTTATTTACCGGTATATAGCTCCAAATCACGACAAGCGTTGTCTCAAGGCACTTCACATAATAAACATTCCAATACAGGTCCTCATTCAGCTGTAGAAAGTTCCCAGCCATTCAGGTTTTAATAGAGTCTAAGCAGGAGTGTAACAGCTGCAGCTTAGACATCTCATGGGGCTTAAAGGAGATGTACAGTTGGATGTCATCCTCATAAAGATGGTAGGAGATTCCTTTGAAGGTGGTGGAGGACCTAAACTTGGAGACGGCCACAGAAAAGGAGCGCTCAGAAAGATAAGAGGAGAACCACTCCAGAGCAGATCCTGATAGGCCTACCCAGTCTCTCAGCCTCCCCAGTAGCAGGTGATGGTCAACGGTGTCAAAGGCTGCAGTCAAGTCCAGCAGGACCAGAACAGAACAGTCCCCAGCATCATTGTGAGTCAGCAGGTCATTAGAGACCGTAAGAAGAACTGTTTCAGTGGAATAGGCTCTACAAAAACCTGACTGCAAACTGTCATAGATGTTTATAGGGAGCCTAAGTCCCCTCCCTTTCCAGGTGGCTCATGGGTCCCTGGAAAAACGTAAAAATGATTGTAAGTCAAGGTCGGAGGTGCTGCCGTCGCCATGCCAACTCTGTCTCCCTATCCCAGCCTGGGCGGGACTGCGACTGGTGAAGGCCGCTGAATCGTTCCAGGAGTCACTGCGCTCTGTAAACCCAATGACCCCCCCCCCCCCCCCCCCCCCCGTCCAGATGGAGGTGACGGGCGCTGCTTATCGTGGCTGCATGCACTGATGTTTGGAAAGTCCTCTACCCTACCTCCCCACCTAGTGGACACTTATGTTGTGTAATGTCTGAAGTCTGTTCCATTTCTGTCTGAGGTGTTTTTTGCATGGCAAAGCTGCTCTCCCTGTGGAGGGTAACTCTGAAGGGCCATTTTTTCCTTCACCTGACTCAATCCTCAAGTATAAACCCCTCTGATCTCTATTATGGTAGCGCGACTCGGGTTGCAAATGACCACAGTCACCAATTCTTGCCGTATCTATGTATGTATGCATGTCTGATCTCAGAATTGTGTGTACTGAAACTTTAATTTCCCTCTGGGATTAATAAAGCATCTTTGAATTTGAATTTAATTTGAATTGAAGTCAACGGGGCTAAAGGAGCTATTTTCTAATCCGCTTTTCCTTAGGCCCCAGATCACACATATGTTGTACTGCAATTTAAATAAAAATTAATGTGGGTTTCGACCACGCCAGTCATGTACATTGAGATATATCCGCTTGTAAATGTTCGTAATTAGCATCTCTACAATGTCACATCGCATATGTAACATCACCACATAATCTCCTCTCCCCTAGCATAGCTGCTACTTACCAAGCAAGATTAATGGTGGTTATTTCCTCCTGTGAGAAGTTTGCTGAACTAAGCCATTTTCCCTCAGCTTTCTCCATGTCTGGTTTGGTGACATCACTTTTGTGAAGCGAATTTGTAGTCCTAGACTTACTTTCACACAAAACCTAAAATAGTACCCCCACCCCCCAGACACCCTATAGTGGGTTCTGGACACGCCCACTCTTCTCTGACTGTAATAAGCTGAGAAACTCCGAAACTTATAAGGAGCAAGTGAAGCTGCTGCTCCCCAGTTGCAGTACTCTCTCTCACACTAGAGGTGGTTCTATTCTTATTTCCTCCTTTGTGACATCACAAACAGGGACTTTTGAAACTTGTTTTTGTTACATAATTTCTAAAACCACCGGCAGAATACGGAAGGACGTTTCATTTACGTTTACAAATTTTGACTTGATGGAAAGTTCTAAAATATCCTGAAAATAAGATTATCACAAAAATTAAATACTTTTATTTTATGATGGTCTTTTTTCACAGCAGAAATTCTGCCGTGCAAGCGTAGGAAAGCAGGTGTGTTAACACGGCTGAATTCCATTCACAGGAAGTTTCACTGATTGGTGGATAACAAAGTAGCCCTTGCAGCTGCAGAAGTGTGATGGAGTTACCACACACACGTTTACCCCATGAGGAAAATGTTTTCAGTAAAGAAGCCAATTATTTCTAAGACCATAATAATAGTTATTTGAAAAATAAAGTTTGCTTAATTAGACAATCAACTCCTGTATCTAAAAAAGTAGATTCCTCTGAACCCAACAGGACATCTGGTCTGACCCAGTCCTGAGAATGTTGAACTGATTATAATCAGACTTTTTTCCTTCATTTTCATTAGATGCCTGCAGGCTGACCATATAGACCCAGACTCTACACACACAACTCACTCTGAGGGAAATGAACGGGCGACTCATGCCTCTGCTGCTCGCTCCGGGACATTTGATTTTCCTCAGGCTCTGTGAGAAGATGCTGACTGAGCACCATTAGCGGAGGTGGAGCTGGCCTCCTACAAAGATGCAGATGCTGCTGTTGTTGTTCACCACAGAGGCTTACAGGAAAAAGAAGAAAATAACTGCTGAGCCAGCAAAGAACAAGTGGGAACCAAGTTCAGTTTTCTATGGTGAAGCTAGTTTGTGCAACTGGGATTGTATCTGAACTGGCCTGCAGCCTCCTTGTACTGCAAAGTCACGGTGACCGAGTCACATCCGAACGTTTTACACCAAACTTCTCCAGCCTGTTTATCCAGGCTTCAAGTTCTGGGCTGAAAACAACTCTGTTGCTGCTGCTGCTGCTGCAGTGCATGGTTCAATACACATGTAGCTAAACTACACACATGCACACACACACAAATACCTTAAACACAATGGGATGGGGATTTATTTTATTCGTTACCATTCATCCTTTATCCATTCAGAATGCGAGAATCCCATTTACCTCTAAAAGATAAGCATTGTTACAAAAACAGACTCACTTGTCTTTGGTTTAATCGGTAATAAAACTGTAGTAAAACAAGGCACCGTGTTCATTTGTAAAATCAGAAAGACACAGAAAAAAAACCTGCATTGTGTAGATTTTAGGACCGAGACATTTGTGAATGCTCTGATGTTATTTCTGTTCACTTCCACACAGCTCCAGCAGGATTTTACGGTAATCACCAGAAGTGTCTCCCTGAAAGGAGACAAAAAGATCAGTGAGCCATTTAAGAACCACTAATAAGAGCTATAGTTAACTTTTATTTAATACAAATCAAAGACAATAAGGTATGATCTGGGAGAGGCTGGAACTAATGATCTAGCCATCCTAGAAATTTAAAATCACAGTCATAATCATTAGATCCCAGCTGACAGCTTCTGCCGAGTGCCACCCTCACCTTGATGAAGGAGTACAGAGTCTTTCCGTACATCTTCAGGAACTGAGCCTTTATGTCCAACATGTCAATTTCAGCCCTGGCCACCATTATTCTGATGAGGACGGTGTCTGTGGTGCCCAGACCCTGAAGAGAAACAGAAATCAACATAAAAACACGATGGCATAAACTCCTCACACTTAGACACAATTAGCCATGAATTACAGCACGGACTGCTTACCTTCATAGATTTGTATAATCTCTCAGCAAAGAAGGCAGGCTTGCTCTTCATACATTTCACTGCAAAGAAGGAAAATGTGTGAAGATGAAAATAAAACAAAGGCAAGTAAAGAATATCTAAGGGAAATATAAACTGAGAAAAAAAAACTAAACAAAAACTATTTTAAAGACAAGAAAATGTTTGTTTTAAGGGAATGATGTGCACATTTTAAATATGATGTCACCTTTAAGCAGATGAAAGACGAGGGAGAGACAAACGATGTGTTTTACAGCATAGATGTTGAAACAGACCAAAGGTTTAAATCTTGTCAGAGTTTCAACATCTCACACAGAAATTAATCAAACTTTGAAAGACAAAAAAAAGTATAATGGTCCTCTATAGTGGAAATGTAAAAGAGGAAGAGCATTTTAACATTTCTGACAATAGCAGGGGTTCGCAAGCATCTTCAAATATCTGCAGGGAGTCTACAACCTCACATGGTCTGGAGTTAAACAGCCTTGAGACATTTTATTCAAATCTTAGAAATGGTGTGATGTAGTTTAAGTTTACACGTTTTTATCAGCTGAAACTAAACACATCGTCTCAAACTTTTGCTCTCTGTATCACTGCATCTGTTTTTGATTCAGAGTTGGAAAAATGTAAAGAAACAAGGTTGGCTTTAACCTTTGTCATCCCGTAACATAAAAAAAGTGCTGAACTTGCACATTAAGTTGGGCTGTAATAAATGATTCTGACTGAAATTCCAGCCTGGAGATGGACATGATGGAAGAGACAGACCTATGGCCAGAAAGATGTCTTCCAGGGAGCCGGACATCTCCCTCTTGATGCTTTCCTCGATGTCTTTACCAGAAATCTTCTTATATTCATCAAACACTGAAGGAAGAAACAATAAAATAATAAATGGCAGTAAAGAGCATTAGAATATAAACAGGTTATGGTGAGCTTTTGTAATGATAACTTTGAGAATATGAGTGTTTGTTCATATTATAGCCACATGGGGTCAGTAAAGCCACTCCTGGTGTCTCAGAGCTTCCTTTTTACCTCTGAGCAGATGGCTTCGGTTCCTAACGCACAAAATCGTCAGAAATTTCGTCTCATCTGTGCCCCATCGAGCCTCTCCAGCCTCATAGATTTCCTACAATCGCAAGAAATGAAGTTATGGCATTAATTAAAAAAACTCAGTCGTACTTTGATGCACGGAGGATGTGCTACCTTGGCGTCTTGGACTGCCTGGGCCTCATTCACGTTGTTGCTCTCGTCTCGTCCAGCCTGCAAACCAGAAAACGGGTTTAGAGGAAGCAGGTAAAGCATCCCCAGACAGATTACAGATTAGAATAACTAGAAGAAGCAAAGACTAACTGCTGAGTTTGAAGACATTTTTGTTCAGACGAACAGGAAGTTTTACCATGTTAAAACGGCTAAATTAGAACATGATACAAAAGTTAATTTTTTTTCAGTAATTCAACTTAAAAGGTGAAACTAATATATGAGACAGACTGATTACATGCAAAGACAGATATTTCAAACCCTTTATTTGTTATAATTGTGATGATTGTGGCTTACAGTTTATGAAAACACCACATTCAAAATCTCAGACAATTAGAATATTATGAAAAGGTTCAATAATCTAGACTCAAAGTGTCGCACTTTAGCACTGTCAGCTAATGAATCCAGAACACCTGCAAAGGGTTCCTAAGCCTTTAGATGGTCTCTCAGTCTGAGCTAATTACTGAAATAAATGGGCGTTTGCACCTTTTTCAAATTTTTCCAGTTTCACCTGAACATGTAAAAGTATTTTATGCAGTCATATATGATGCTTTAGCAAACATTACATACAGTGCTTAATTTGTAAATGAAACGTTCCCGGAACGCAAATAGTGATGTCAAACTAAAGTTCACTAAAGGCAAACAGATGCCGGAACACAAAGTTAACACACTTTTCTTTCAACAACGGTAGTTTTTGCAACTTTACTGTCAGCCCCCCACCCCCCCCCCCCCCACCCCCACCCCCCCAGCGGCCACAAACTCTCAGAGTTCCTGCTGCTCTAAACATTGAAAGAGAAATGTCATTTTCTGTTACTCACTTCTGATTATTTTAATTGGTGTCCGTTTGTTGCAACCACTAGGTAGAAAAACGAACTTGTTTTTATTTGACTATTTTTCTGTCCTGTCTGTTATCTTCCTGCATCTCCTCACAATCCTAAAGAAAAACTGCTACCTGGCTTCATATTTTTCACCTCATGAGTTACCTTTGACTGCAGTTCAACATGATCTACCAACCGCAAAAATAGCGGAGTGTGCACCGGCTGCACCGGTGCGGTGAAGTCACCGGAGGACAAAACGGGTGATGCGCTCTGCTCCACAGCAGCGAAACGCATCAGACACAAATAAAAGACAGAAATCTTTAAAGGATATGGGCCGTTTAGGCAGGTATCGATGACAATATTTGGAAAGCAAACTATTTAGGGAAGAAGAAATATTGCTGGAGGCTGCACCACTGGGTGTGTGCTTGTGCATGTGTAGGAGTGTGTGCTTCTCATAACTGATAATAATGCCTCACACTTCGCTGGTGCACCCTTGTGTTTGTGCTAAATTTGTGTTAAATGCTAGCCCAGCCAGCCATGCCAATGCTCCCTTATGGGAAGCAAAGGGCCTGGTAACACTCCCATTAAAATAACCCCACCCCCTGGGAATTCTAGCTGAGCCAGTCGGACACCGCCATGCTAGGTTTCTCATGAACAACGAAGACGGCGTCTGAAGCAGGGTTCACTTCAGCCCTTTCCTCTGTTCTAAATGATTTGGACATGTCCACAACAAGAAGAAACTCTAAAAGCCTTTCTTCTAAAGAAAGATGTTTGCGCCGTCGCCAGACGCCATCAGCTAAAAAACTACAGTCGTCCGCCTTTTTTCTGATTTGTTATTTTTGAGCTGGCTAGTCCCGCCCCTCATGGTGTTCTCTGCCTCCGAGTTTCCAGACTCATCCTTGATGTAGAACAGACAGAGGAGAGTCTATCTCTACGGGAGAGCCCAGACACCCCGTGGAGAAAACTCATTTTGGTCGCTTCTATCCACGATCTCGTTCTTTTGGTCACTACCTAGCTTGTGACCACAGATGAGGGTAGGAACGTTGATAATAAAATAAAAGCATGGTTTCAAAATAAAATAACATTCACTTTATATGCCAATTTTTTTTGTTTTGGAGCCTAATCTGAATTCTATAAACTGCACATATGTGACTTTATTTCAGAATGTAAAGAAGATTAACCTAAATGTGATCAATCTTTGAAAACCAGGTGAGTGAAAGAAAAACTAGCAAAATCTGGGAGATCTAATTTGTGTTGATATTTGTATTACCGTTAGTAAAGAGACCAAAACTCTCTTAAACATTCCAGACGTGTCACCACAAATGTCATCCTCCAGGGTCTTCCCATATTCTGCAAAGATAGAACAGAAAAATAAAATGAAACAATTCAGGTTTTAAAGATTCTTGATGAATATCTCTAAACTTTAGCACAAAGCTACGTACAATGTCATCTCTAACCCTAACCATACTATGTGATATTTACTGATTCATAAGCAACACACATTAAAAAGTAAACATTGACCTGTAAGAAAAAAAGCTGCAACTCCTTTTATGAATAATTTACAACATCCACTGCTTTCTGATAATGGGGCTTTAGTCACTGATACACAATATCGTGTGTCATACACAGACCATAGGCAGCAGCAGACAGAGACATTCAGTAACCCGACGACAGAAGCTCTTCCAATAGAAGCCACAGTTACCCGTCTTGTACACCGCATTGATGGCGTTTATTTCTGCGTTGGATCTGGAAGCCAAAATGTCGATGAGGCAGGCTTCTTCAGTTCCAGCTCCCTGTGTAAACATCAGCAGAAATAACCCCAGTGAAAAACACAATGTGTGTGAAACGATAAGGCTGGGGGTAGTTAGTGTTTTTATTACTCTCTCTGATCTGATGCCACACCGTCACGCTCACTCTGCTAAAAAATCTGATGCTTTCACATGTCTCTAAGGTGTACTTTAAAGTAGGAATAGGAGATGCTTTTGAAAATACTCAAAGGTCCACCCTTGTTCCTGAGGCCTTCTCCCAATACAGGAACGCACAACGCTGGTTCCTGAAGGTTCAGTTTTACGTTTACGACCAGTTGTTGGCCCCTTCTTTGCCATAATTCCTAACATAATGCATCTGCGTGACCGTTTAATAATTTTGACTGCTAGCATACACGGAGTGATGTTTTTATAGTAAAAAACTGGACCTTTTTTTCTTTGTTTTATTAAGTTCAAACTGCTCTGAGCCACCAACAATCAGGTGAAACCTCCCGAACAACAGGTCAAACCTTCTAGAGCCCACCTCGAACTTTCTCAGACCTGCACTCTGGTTCCTCAGGCTGACCTTCAGACCTGCCAGGTGTCATCTAATGTTATTTTGCAACATGACTGATTGGTTGACTTTAAATTTTAAAGAGTCTGTATTTGAGCACGGGATACCAGACTGCTGAGGCGCACAAGGGATCAGCAGTTTTTCTTTCGCCCCCGAGTCAGACCGAGTGTTGCGTGTGATGATGGGTGGGCCGGGTCTGGGCTTCAAGTCCTTTGGGTCATTTCAAATGAACTTTTTTTGTTGGCTCATGTAAGGAGAGAGGCGGGAGTGGGTGGTATTGGTGCGGATTAGAGGTCGACCGACATTGGTTTTTCTATTGCTGATATCAAAAGGTAAAGGTCGTGGTCAGCTGATGGTCGATTTGCAGAGGTGTGACATAGTCACTGCTTTGCAAGTCACAAGTAAGTCACAAGTCTGTCCAGTCAAGTCTCGAGTCAAGTCCAAGTCAAAGACATCCAAGTCCAAGTCTGGAAGTCCAAGTCAAGTTCAAGTCCTTAACTTTGAATTTTGAAGTCGTATTCAAGTCATCTGTCCAACTTCAAATTAATGACAATGATAATAAATAAATTCCAGAAATAAAGCTTCTTAAAGCTTCATTTATTTGCTCAAACAAGCAGAAAGTTCAACTGAAACTGATTATAAACAAAGTGCTGCTGCATTTAGCAGTACAAAATCAGACCCAGAACGAAGAACAATTCATGATTTTTGTCCATGTCGTGTCACTTTTGTGCTAAAATATCAAATATGCTCAAGTCATCATCAAGTCAACAGATGCAATTTGATTCAAGTCGCAAGTCATTGGCGTTCAAGTCCAAGTCAAGTCGTAAGTCTTTATAGATTTTATCAAGTCAAGTCAGAAGTCATTAAAATAATGACTCAAGTCTGACTCGAGTCCAAGTCATGTGACTGGAGTCCACACCTCTGCCGATTTGTGCTGCACATATTTTGGGCCGATTTTCACAGTGGAAATCTAGACGTTTTCCACCCAATTTTCATGCTTAAAAGACACTAATAACATCAATTGATTCACAAAACTTCAGAAAATGAATCAGTTTTTGAACTCTGAGTTTAACCAGCTGTTAAATCTTAATTTTGTGCACTGCTCAGTGTTAAAATTAGACATCTCCCTGGAGGGTTTAGGCCAACCATCCATTCCTCCCCATCCCCATACATTTTTCTCCTGCTGCTCCCTCACATCATCACACAAACATGCACATAGGACCTTGGGGGGTGGACAAGTCAGGGAGTGGGGGTATGGATCCCATTTCCGCGGCAGCCTGCCCCCCAATTTTATTTGCACCTTAAACACTTCCACCAACGACATTCCACGCAAACACACGCTTAGGGCCTTGGGAGTGAGCACACTCAACGGCATTTGGCAAGGGGATCTTTGAGCCTCATCCCGAGTGCCGGTGCCCACTTCCAATTTTAAACTGCACTTAGACACGGAGGGCTGTGGGGGCAAGTGGGGTTGAGTGGTGGCATCAGCTGGCGTAGGCATGATGATGCCTGCACTGCACGCCCCCCCACAGCCATGGAATACACCTCATCAACACGCATCAACACTGTATTGGAGCAGGCGGAGGAAGACTAGGGGTCTTAGCACACCTCTGTTGTCGCTTGGCTTCCTGGGGCTGGAGGCTAGGAGGGGGAGCTGGCCGTCTGGTTGGGGTCTGGGGTGGTGGGATGCTTTGCTCAGCGTTGGGCGGGGGAGCCTGCTCATCAGCACTTCAGTAGAAAGGGTTGAACTCTGGGAACCGGTGATGGTTGTATGCTTTGTGCAGCAGTACCGGTAGACTATACTTGAGAATGACTTTTTGAGCATTTATTAAGCAGATGTAATTCAGGAACTTAAACATATATTGAAATTAAATTCTGCAGCAGCACTGGGCTGCCTGGGGATGTGCCTGACTTTAAATTGGCTTCACTAAGAAGTTATAATGGCCAATGCCAACATAAGAAATAGTAAATATTGGCTGACCGATATATCGGTCCACCCCTAGTTATAGGGAAAGAGAGAGACAGTGGGAGTGGACTGATATGTAGTTAGATTTTCAGCTGGAGCAGTATTAAAAGAAATTATCCCAGTCAGAGCTCTAGTGTGCACAGACAAGGAAGTGAGTGTTTCACCATGGCAGTAGTTTGGGCTAGCAATAGCTGTAGCTCAGGCTAGAGTTGTTCTGCGGTTAGCATTACCGTGACCAGTGTTTATATATTGCTGACACAGCGTGGATTGGGAAATGCTCCTTTAAGGTGGAGTGTATAAACTTCTGACGTGTTAAAACAGCTTTTCACAGGCTGAACCACTTCTTCGCGGCCTTCACACCATTACATCGGAAAGCAGGTCGCAGACAGCACAGACTTTTTGCTATGCTACATTAGCTCTTAAGGACCTGTGGTGTCCACTGGTGCCACAGCCCATTTCAAGCGCCTGCAAAATTGCTTCTTGAGTCATATATTCAAGTTTGACAACCCTGAGTAACATCCTGTCAGTGCATACTGTATATCAAAAATTATTTCACTTCTTTATTTGATTGTTTTCTAAATTTCGATGCATTTTTTCCAGTCTGGTTTCTATTTTCTAAGGGTTTGGGTTCTTGAGGGCTAGACACCCCCAAGCTGCCTTTATTCAACAACAACAACAAGGTAAATGTGGTTTTACATTCAAGGAAGGCTTAAAGTTTTTACAAACATACTGAGCAAACAAGCAACTCTGACCTTCATTGCATGTCTAAGCTCATAGGCGTCGTAAACAGGCGCCAACATCAGCAGACCGAGGACCACACTCTTGAAGTGCCCACTCAGCTCCGAGGACAGATCCTCAGCCAGGTCCTGCAGAGGAGAGGGCATGTGGATTAAAACAGTCGTTCTCAGATCTCATTTAAGTCTTCCAGCACTGACCTTCCTGAAATGTCTAAAAGACACCAGATTTCCCTCACTGCTGCAGGATCCCTCTAGAGGGTGTGGTTTCTGGTTTCATGAAAAGCCTGACTGACCACATGTGGGAGTCACCAACATGACTCACTCTTTCTGCCTGCAACGGCAGCTCCCTCAATGAGCCCTCACATAAGTTTATTGACTATTTACTGGACGCCATTTATTATCTCATTAGGTCAACATGTCAGAAATCCCACACTTCCCTTTCAGTTAATATATTGATCCGTTTTAACCATGAAACTGAGGAACACACTTTGGGGAATGCTCCAGTGTGTTTTTGTTGGGGAAGGGAACGTTTACTAATCCACAAGACCACAGAGTCCTCTCTGTTCTCATCGGTGTTAACCAATAATCATTCTGCCGTTAGTTCTGCTTTCTGGTCAATAGTTAACTAGGACTATCTGGTTATCTGCACTTTGTTGGAGTGCCAACATGAGTTAAGCCTGATAACAGCACATATCCACTGCTGTTATTCATTTGTTTATCGTAGTCGGGTTGACATATCCTCACTTGCCCTGCCTCTTTTCTGTTTATTTAAGATAAAAACCAAATCTTTACTAACAAAGACCGTTTGTAGCACTATTCAGCCAAGCTTCTCACCTTTCCAACAGTTCGCTTGTAGGCCTCTTTGATGCGTTGCCTCTGAGCAATAGTACGGTGAGCCAGAATGGCGATGATAGCTGCCTCATCCGTCCCTGAAGGAACATCATACGTTCAATAAAAATCTAAACAAAAAAGAGCTTAGGTGTTGGTTTATAAGCAGGGGTGTGACTATAACGTGTGAGACAGACAAGAAGAAATCCCTCCTGCAGCTGTGGAGATAATCCGAACACACCGTCGTTTGTTATTGTTGGCAAAGAAACCATATGTTGGCTATAGACCACTAACTGGAGTCAGGGGGATTGGATCAGACTAGTAAACTCTTAACAAAATCAACGCTCCTCACAGGAAAATTTGCTGACTGTGAGAAACTGATCAGCTGGATGTTTGTCCTTTTTACTTATTGTCAGCAGCATCTTTTCAGAGCAGCGTGACACAATAATAAGATCAGTTCACAGCTGCATGATCAGCAAAGTCGGGATTAATTCTGCCTTCATATCTGGGATGAAGAGCCGGAATGAGAAAGTGGAAAACCTGAAAGCTGCTATGGCAACACAAGAGCTGAGCAACTCTTTGGTACGTTGCTCTGGAAACAGTTTAGATTTTCCTGTCCACAGAGGCCTAAACATAGTCTTCTGGAATAAATTTAGCAGATGGGGGTTTGTAGGGTTCACTCACCAGCTCCCTTCATGGCTGCTTTCAGTTTCTCTGCATCCGTATCGGCGTTGAAGCCCGCCGCCTCAGTCACAGTACCGCGGTTTCCAATCTGCTCATGAACGACAAATTCACAATCAGTTCTCTAGAAATAAGGCAAACCAGAGTGTAGTGGAAGTTCTGAGACTTAATAAAGCAGTCCATGATTCAATCAAAAGAGTTTCATTTCAATATTGCGATATCAAAATGAGAAGACAGGAGTGAGTCCCCCTCAGCAGAGTCCCCACACCCCGTGTATCCCCCCCAAAAGGAAGGCCCTAGTGTTATCGGTAGAGGTGATATCTTGGGGCTGTGCTTACAAGACAGGGGTGTAAATGAAGATGCTTCTCCTGCTCTTTGAAGCAGACCTCTCAGGAGACTGTAGCTAAACAGAAAAACGTTTGTGGCTGCCATAAAACCCAACTTCTCTGGCCCTTCACATGATCCCGATGTGAAATTGTATTGCAAAATGAACAGAAGATTTAATTTCTCCATGACAAGAGCTTAACCCCTTAATGCTCTAATTTACCATTCAGTAGAATGCAGTTTACCCACCAAGTCAGGTAAAGAACTTATTGGAAATGTATTAAAAATAAACACACTGCCTGGCCAAAAAAAGAAGTTGCCACTAAAAAAAGTTCACACTCTAATATTTCGTTGGACCACCTTTAGCTTTGATTACATCACACATTCTCTGTGACATTGTTTGGATCAGTTTCTGCGATCTCACCAAGATCTTGCATTGATGACAGTAGAGTCTGACCACTGCACCAAGCCTTCTCCAGCACATCCCAAAGATTCTCAATAGGGTTAAGGTCTGGACTCTGTGGTGGCCAATCCATGTGTGAAAACGATGTCTCATGCTCCTTGAATCACTCTTTCACTATTTGAGCCCAATGAATCCTGGCATTGTCATCTTGGAATATGCCCGTGCCATCAGGGAAGATGGATTAACCTGGTCATTCAGTATACTCAGGTAGTCAGCTGACATCATTTTTGGAGCACATCCTGTTGCTGAACCTAGACCTGACCAACTGCAGCAACCCCAGATCACAACACTGCCCCCACAGGCTTGTACAGTAGGCACTAGGCATGTTGGGTGCACCACCTTATCTGCCTTCATCTGGAAACTTTTATTTGGCCAGTAAACGTATAAAATACCAGTATACTTCTTATTTTAAAAGTTTGCATTGTGCACTTTTTTAAATTCGATGTAATTTTTCTCTACTAACAACCTTGGTATGACTTCAGCTGTTGCAACAACGTGCATTTCCTGATTGAGCCAATGAAAAGTTTCTTTTATTTAGTATTTTCTTGCCTTATATGGCATTAAATCACTTTTGTTTCACAAATGAATTAAAATCATAAAGAGGAAAACAGGTTTTTTTCTTGGTGTTAATATTAAAATGAACTAAAGTCCCAGTGCAATCAAAGTATCCTTTAAATTAATATAATGAAAAACTGAACCCAAATACACAATTTAGCACTTTTCAGTAAAAATGTAAGAGATTAACTTAGACATATTTATAATAGCTTTCATTGTCAGGATAATATGTGTAAAGCTTAACTAATAACTACTTAGTGTAGTTACTGATCTTTTCATGAGTCATTATCAGAAGTTTCTATTTCATAAATTTCAACCAAATTTTAGAATTGTGCAACTTCCTCTTCACCTACAAGAACACACAACGACGTGCCAGATTGGGCATAGTGATTATGAGTGAGTATTAATATTTTTTAAGCAGTTAACTGCGGACAACTTCAGGTACCCTCCTCAGATTTTATTCAAAATTAGGATTAATATTTAATGCCGCTTTGGGTTGGTGCTGAAATAAACTAGTTTCAGACTCAATCAATCCATCATAAGTGAGAATGTGCACACCCACCTTTGCACAAAAGCATGCAGATGTTATTAATGCAATAGGACTTTTTAGTGCACACAGGAAGAAGCAGCTTGTGGACGTGACTTACTGCTGCCATTGTAGAAGAGAGATGTTCCACTCAGGAAATGCAGAGAACCCTAAAAGAACAAATAAATAACACTTAAGACTCTAAATAATAAAATATAATAATAAAAAAGTATATACAAACGTTCCACAGAGACAGTAAACTGTTGTCAGGTTCGTAAGTAGCTCTCTTAACCTTTGATTAATATTGCACGTGGTTCATTATCTCAGAGAGGGTTTCCATCATGCTTATTTGTTCAGGGGCTCTCGTGAGCTCCACTTCAGCGCAGGTGCTCCAGAAGGTAATCCTGTCATGCTTGTGTTTGTTTGGACACACCTGTAATTACTCCTCTGAGGAAATCATGGAGGGGATCCACTCCTAACCTGCAGTCATCTACTCGGGCACTAACAAAGCCAATAAATAGTAAGTCTATTTAGCTAAACTCATTGTCTTATTCAGCACAACAGACTGAGTTACATAAGTGTTTATAAACGTTTGTAATAACCCCCTAAGAAACCTCCAGATGATTTAATACGGTTATGTAAATATATAAAGTTACATCTAATGATAAATGGCCTTCTAGAGTTCTTGTTCAAAACAGGCTGAAGCTGAACAGATTATAGTGCAAGTAGCTAATTCTCTCGAAGAGATCCCTTATCCCTGGGGCCCTTTCCTGGTAAGATTGTGTGAATTCATTAATTCAGTAAATCAATAAGACATTCATCAATTTCTGTCTGGGTTCGTCTACAAACTGATTAATGATCCATGCTTGAACAAACTCAGCACATCCAAAGGATAAGAGATCTCCTTACCCCGCTTACTTTTTGTTTCTAATTTTCTTATTTTTAAATTTTTTATCACTTAGCAGGTATGAATTTGCATAATCAGCTAAAAATATGCGATGGACTGGCACTCTGTCCAGGGTGTACCCTGCCTGATTGCCCAATGACCGCTGGAGATAGGTACCAGGTACCAGGCACCGAGCCAACCCCACCCCACCCCCCCACGCGACCCTACCTGGACAAGCGGTTTCAGACAATGGATGGATGGCAGCTAAAAATATAAGTTAAAGACATCCTATTTATATTTCAACATTTTATGTAACTTTTAACGTATACTTAATTCTACGCATTTAGCTGGACTTAATATATTTAGATTTCACTGGATTTTTATTTCATTATTTGAAGCAAAATGTGGTGCAATAAAGCTGCATTTATTTTCATAAATTAAATACAAATAAAGGAAGTTTTTCTCAAATATGACTTTTAACAAACAAAACATCCCTGAAGACAGGATAAAGTCCGTGACTGTTAGTTTGTGATGTAAACAAGTGATTCATAAACACGCTCCTTAATCTGATGAAACAACAACAAAATGTTAACCTACTACCAGCGTTTCTCACATTGCCTCGATGGATACAATGAATCATGCAAATGAGCTCAAGTTTAACGTAACAGGAAATAAAGTTGTACATTCATACCTACTTAACCCGTTCCTCGGAAGAAGATCAAGATTATCCTGTAACGTGGACAATTCATAGAAAACCGAGTAACGCTGTTTAAAGAAATTAGACTAAAATGACAATAAAAACACCATAAAGTCACTACTGCGGTTGGGACGCCTTTTAAAAAGCACAGATCTGATGTATAATTTTCATTATGAATTTTATAAGTGTTGAACTTGACTGCGGGAGGAAGAAGTTCAAGAATCACGAGCGAAGTTCACCCTGCCCTGGCCATAGTTTGCGGTCACGCCCTGCAGTTAAAAAAAGAAAACTGCCTGTCTGAGGTTTACTCTGGCAAATATAAACTATAGAACACAACAAACAGTAAAGCGAACCACAACTTGCCTGTTTTAATGATGATTTTGTCTGCCAAAAGCCCGACAGCCAGGTACAGGCGCAGCACTCAAACGCTGAAGCTTTTAACGTCAATGGCTGATGCCCCACCCACCTGGATGCTCTGATGCATTCATGGAACACCCTCATAGCTCGGAAAGGATGAAGTCTACTCTGTAACTACCTAAGAAAGAAAATATAATTTCTATGGCACCTCTCAAGATAAAAATCACGAGGCGCTTAATACCTCTAGACAAGACGCGTGTTGTCATTTTATATGCAGTTTATTCAAACATCTTTGTTTTTATAATAATAATAATAATAATAAAATACCGGCTGTAAAATGAGAGGTGTTTATTGGGACTTATTATAAAGAAAGTCTCGAATCATGTATTTTTTTATTATTTGAAATATTATTGTTAGTGCGTCTCAGTCACTAGTTATTCATGCTTTCTGTTATTTTTTCCCAAGGTTTTTAAATGAATAAAGCAAAGTTTGAGTACAACAGACACTAAAACTTATTCATAAGTGATGGTTTCTAACATTAATGAGCACACGTTTACCTCAATAGACATGGGCTTGCTAGAAAACAGTTGAAAAAAGCTGTAAAATTATAAAGGCTATATCAACCAGATTTGAAGGTAAATATTTATACTAAAATAACTGATAGTCATTACATGACTGGAAATACAACAATCTTTTATTGTAATTACATGGTCTGATTTCATTCTTTTTTATTTGTTGATGTTTTCATTTATTTTCTTCGCTTAGTTTAGACTCTTTTTAGATTCTGCAGTGGTGCAGGTTACACATTTGTTCCTCGAGTTATTTTTAATTTCATAATAGCTCACTGCGTGACGTTAGCGCGACATATGACCTCATACGACAGAGCAAAATGAGCTGTCAACTACAATACCCACAATTCACTCTGCTTTAACAGCAACAGCTAGGATGGTGCGATATCGCTGGCAGCCAAAGATTGCTGTGGTTGCAGAGATTAGACCACTGGACTGAAACCCCAGTCTAATGATTTGGTGGATGACAAATTTCTGGGTTACGTATTTGCAGCTTCAGTTGCAGCATACGTAGGCGTTAGTCTCGTGCCAACTCAACGCTTGTTTTGGGCTGCGTCGCGCTAAAGCGTAAGCTAACAAAAAAAAAAATCTCAGTTTTACTGGAAATTACAAACTGTGAGCCATGGGGCATCAGTCGACGGCCGCTCTACTTTACTGAGAATGGAAAGAATTGTTCGGCTAACAGTGTCACACAGTTTACACGTTGGATACATCGCACTTGAAGGCATCATCTTCAGAGGATAACCTGGATAACCTTACACGAAATGTCATAACGCGTAAGTAGCTAGCATTTAGCTAGCTTGGTAATGGCTGGACGAGATGGAGATGGACTTATTTTTTTCATCAACAGTCGTAACAGACCACGAACAGCTGGATGGCTTGTAAGAGGAATACTTTCTCCGGGGATGCTTTAACCTCCTGGGTGTTGTAATTCACTTACATAACTGCTAGTCTCAACCGCTCTAGCCATCACCAACTGGCTTGTGTTGGGAAACTAATGGGAAAATATTCTCCCCAAACCATGATAAATAACAAAGAAGGCATCACTTGTGTAGTTTGAGCCATCAGAATAGACTCATTTTACAATTTGAGTACGCTGGAAAAATATATTACAATAACAAGTCTTCACACAGGAGACAGCAGCTCATTGCTGTGTGTGAAAAGTGAATCCATAAATACTCCTGTCACACCGAGAACATGAGGAAGTTCTTTGATTCTCGCCGGGAGTTGGTCAGCTCCGGGCCTGGTTCTGGAGGAGGAGGTGGAACCTCTGGGTCCAGTCATGCAGGCGGAAATTTCATTGGGAGAGCCTTCACTGTTGGGCGGCACCAGGTCACAGTCGAAGAGATCATAGCAGAAGGTGAGAAGGTTGCAAAGAGCAGATGTTGCTATTTGGTTCCAATGTGTTCCTTTTTTACCCCTGCATGTTTTTGAAGTATGGTTGCATTTTCAAGCCAGTTACATAAAGTCTTCCCAAAATGCATAATGGGATCTTAGACTCATCAGTGAAAAACGTTCCAGTGAGCTGTGTCATACCTTTAAAGTGGATGACTTGAGGTTGCATATTTTTATTTTTTGCATTTATTTAAATCATTTTTAAGTCCAGTAAAGCATGCATGATTAAGGCTTGCAGGAAGATTGCTGTAATGTATAAAATGTTAAGACATTATCATATGCAGCAGAATCAAGTGCACACCCTCACATATGTTCGTAGGCATTTCTTACAGACGTACAGTGCTGCACTGCCATTTTATATCAAGTTAAGCGTGGAGTAAAAGCTGTCTGATGATGCTATTACAGCTAAAGTCAGCAGAGTGAATTTGAGGACTGAGCTGTACCAGATGGTTAGGCCTCACTGCAGGCCTCTACGTAAACCCTCCAGCTATGACATGACTAATAGATAAAGCTATAAGGCAGCACCATGTGGTCCTGATTGTATGTGTAAGTGTAAGACAGCAGAGATGGACACTGAGACATTAAAAAAGTCTGCTAAATCACTAAAATGGAGTTTGCAAATTGAAGTTTGGAAGAACAGTGTCATTCTTGATTTTCACAACTTCATGTGTGTTTTTGAATCATACTCCTCACCCAACTGCTTAGTTGCTTTAACTTTTTGTTTCTGACTGACAATCTTACACGACAGCTCATTTCCCCCCGATCTTGTAGGTGGTTTTGCAATCGTGTTCCTCGTGAAAACAAATCAAGGTGTGCGCTGTGCTCTGAAGAGGATGTATGTCAATAATGAGTATGATCTGCAGGTGTGCAAACGGGAGATTCAGATAATGGTAAGTTGCTGAAATGAGACATTTCATTGCTAGTTTTCATTGGCATGTGTTGTTTGGTGAAACTGCTGCTAAATAAAAATAGAAGGATTTTGGAAAAGAAATAAATGCTTAAACCTTTCTCAACCCAAACACCGGAATTAGGATGAACATAGTCTGCATAGAGAATAATCTTGCAGAAGTTCGTTTTGTTTTAAGGCGATCAGAATAAGCATACTTTATTTGTATTTAGCCAGAAATTGTGAAAGTTCAATGATGTTTGTAGGTTAAAAATCATTTGAGTTTGCACAGGACCAGCCTTCTCTGTTAGGGAAAACACAGGAAGGGAGGAGGCGATAGATGTTCAGATTACGAACAAGGCTGATTACGTCATTGGACAAACAGTCAGCACGATCGTGTTTGTGCATCTGTGACCTAGGTTTGCTCGCTCAACCTTTCTCATATTTTATCTTCTTTTCTGACCCAGTCTTCAGTCTCCTCACACACAGACGCGCTTCACCTCAGCTGCAGTATTTGACTTTTTCTTCATCATCTAATAGATTCCTGATTTCAGATTTCTATTGTGGTGCCCTCTGCAGGGGATGGTCTCACATTGCACTTCTCAATACTGACCAAGCTAAATGAATCCTTTGCTGTGATTTTCAACAGAAAGGTTATTTTTTAGGTTCCCTCTTTTCAGGTTTTTGCATTCCGCATTCAGTGAGATGTTTTTGTGTTTTTTATGTGTGACTAAAACTATGGCAACTAGTTAAAGTGACAAACTTTAATGCACTCAGCATGTTGGCACAGAATGAAGCTGATGATTCTAGCTGTTTGGATTGGTAAAAACTGTGTGCATAGTTTGTGTGTGTTAGTGATTATGTGTTTGCATTCTTGCAGAAAGACCTTGTCGGTCACAAGAATATAGTTGGTTATCTGGACTCCAGTATCACAGCCATGGGCTCGAGGGACGTATGGGAGGTTCTCATACTGATGGACTACTGCAAGGGTGAGTGCTGAACGCAGAGGAATGTGGCAGCAACTACAGACTTTGTTTAATGAGAGAATTTGCATGTTTGTATCGATTTCATTTATTGTTTTGTTTACTGATTCCACACAAAAGATTTCCACAAACTGACACATTCTGAAGGCAATCTCGCTTCTTGTTTTGCCTCGTACCTGGATGGTATTTTGCAGGAGGGCAGGTGGTCAACCTGATGAATCAGAGGCTACAGACTGGCTTCACAGAGTCTGAGGTGCTTCAGATCTTCTGTGACACCAGTGACGCTGTGTCTCGCTTGCACCAGCGAAAGACACCGATCGTCCACAGGGACCTAAAGGTAACACGTCTAACCTCTCAGATTTATTTAGAAGTAGTCTTCTCATCTTCTCAAAGACAGGATGTGATGAGTCATCTGGACCAACTTGCTACGTTACAGCTGAGCTTTTGGCCAGTTGTGGTCGTCAAAATGATGATTTAAAAAAATAAAAATCAGCTTCCTTAAATTCCCTTTGCTCTTCTAACCAGAAATGAAACATTTCACAATAAGAGCCTCAGACAAAGTCACAAAATAAAGAAACCCAAAACACAACAAAAGCAAAACTTTATTTGTTGAGATAGCGTTGACCCTCCTCTTGGCTCATGAAAACACACGGGGCTCAAAGCTGGGTGTGCCATGTTTTCACCCAACAGAATATAACTGGCCTTTATTTTACAGCCGGAGCTGAGCTCAGTGTTGACATTTTCCAGCAAAGATTGAGGGAGTAAATAAGTGACTGAGTAAAAGGATGAATAACATAAATAACAGGGTTCCTGCAGGGTTTTAAAAAGTCTTGAATTTAACTTGATGAAACCTGTGGAAACCCTGAAATAAATAATAAGAAAAAAACTTAAGATATATTGAAAACCAAATAATGCTGCTGGCTCTACCATTTGTGCACATTTTCAACACTTTTTAAAATACTCTGATAATATTGGAGACATAAATTTCCTTCTGAAAAACAAAAAGAGCAGTGTAGTACATTTCTATTCCCTTTCATTCCTATTCTGGAACACAGAAGTGTTCCTGTTTTATTTAGAGAGATGATAATAAATCATGTTTACATAAAACTGAGCTTTGTTTATCAGCTCAGACAGGAACCTACAAAACCAAGTATTAGAACAATCAGCTCTCACTTCTTCAGCCTTTTAAACTTTTATGTGCTGGTGCACCACTCTAGTGTGTACTGACATCCAACTTAGTTGTGTTAATGCAGCTGCGACGTCTGCTGCTGAGATGCCTTTTAAAAGTCATGATTAGTATGGGGGGGGGGGGGGGGGGGGTTAATTATTCATTGCCTTCATAGGAGGGAGAAGGTAATATCTGCAAAGATAACTGAGCAGATGCACAGATTTGAAGTCAGTTTTTATTGTAGTTCAGATTTTTTTTATTTACCCAAAAACATCCCCAAAGGTGTTTGGATAATGAGGATGGGAGGTTTATGCGAGGTTTTTAAAACCGAAAACCCTGTTTGGTGTATGATTTAGTTACTGTTCGACCTTCTAACAGATCTGGTCCAGATCAGTGTCTTATACCTGACGCAGCAGCATGTGTCTGATTCTCTCTGTACGTCTGCAGGTGGAGAACATCCTTCTGCACGATAAAGGTCATTACGTGCTGTGTGACTTCGGCAGCGCCACAAACAAATTTCAGAACCCGCACACTGAAGGTGTGGCTGCTGTGGAGGAAGAGATCAAAAAGTGAGTGCCTCTTTCATTCATCATCTCGTTTAAATTTGGTTTAGTGTTTATTGATTTCCTGTGTTTTTAAAAGAAGACATATTCTGTTGCATCTTATTGTGCTGCAGTGTGGGTCTCTACTGCCTCTATAAACACTTAACATGTATAAAAAAGCTGTCCATCCGTTTTCTGTCACTCATCGGTTTTAGGAATTATGTGCCTAAAACGAGCCATTTCAAATAGTCCCTGTTTGTGATGTCACAAATGGGGAAACTAGAATAGAACCACCCCTCTCTGACTGGGTGAGATCAGCACCATTCAGCTGAAAAAGATGTATTATTAATCAGTCATCTGCTTCTGCTCTGAGCTAAGGGAGGTCACCACATCGGAGACCCTGAAAGTCACTGTGCTGCAGTTGTAGTTTTACAAATACCCGCTTGTTTTCTCTGGCAATAAATCAGCACACCTTTTTTACTTGTGTTTCCTGCAGATAGAAGTGTTGGCTATCACTCTCATCCGCGTGAACTAAAGCTACTCATTCAGTCATCAGTTATACTGTATAGAGAATTAAAACAAGAGTGATAGAGTCCTGAAACGGCTGTCTGGAAGGTACTAAAATGAATAAAACTGCTTAAATCGCTTTATGTGAGAGGGGTTTAGTGCAAAAAACATCATGAACGTGTTTTGTATTAACCACAGAACTATTATTACTTAAGTAGAAGAGTCATGTCTCTTTTAAAGTTTCATTTTACTGGAACTGCACCTATGAGGCTTCAATAAAACATGTTTTTCTCTCTGATCTGGTGACACTCTTTCCTTGCTGTGTTGTTTCAGGTACACCACTTTATCATATCGTGCCCCAGAGATGGTAAACCTCTACAACAACAAGATTATTACCACAAAGGCAGATATCTGGGTGAGTTTCTGTGACAGACCTCCGTGATGATTGCACATAATTTCATTTCCTGTCTAATCAGATCTTAAAAAGGCTATCATTTCAAGCCGGTTGGCCTATATAGGAGCTCTGATGCAAACGTTGGTGACTGCATTTCATCTTTGTGTTGGGGAGGTGTTTCTTGTGATAATCTAAATCCTCTCTCCTCTGTGGCTGAGTTTGCATGTGGGGTTTTCCATCTCCAGGCGCTGGGCTGTTTGCTGTACAAGTTGTGCTTCTTCACTCTCCCCTTTGGTGAAAGCCAGGTGGCCATCTGTGATGGCAGTTTCACCATTCCAGACAATTCCCGTTACTCTTATGATCTACACTGCCTCATTCGTTAGTACCAATTTATTAATAACCCATGCAGTTTGGTCTTTGTTCATCAGCTGGAGATTTTTAGAGGCTTTTCTGTGGTATTTTTTCAGGGTACATGCTGGAGCCAGACCCCGACAAAAGACCTGATATTTATCAGGTGTCCTTCTTTGCTTTTAAGCTAGCTCAGCGGACCTGCCCTGTCCAGAATGTGAAGGTCAGTCTCTCAGCCTGGAGCATCGAAAATGAATTTCTTCTTGGATTGTGTTGCAACCTTTGTCTGATTTACTTGGATGGATTGATGTTTTAAATAGCTACACGGTGGCACATGAAGCACAAGTGAAAGACAAAAGAAACCTAAACGCCCTCTAATGGCTGGCTGCAGTACAAGTTTTAAGTCCCGCCTCCCTTATGTCAACATAAATAAAATATTACATTTTCCTAAGAATAAAGTAAGAATTCACCTCAGGAACAAATGTTTCTATTTTCTTATTTTGATGCACATAGTTCTTGTCTTGCTGCTGCATCATCACATATAAGGGATATTTATTTATAAATCTGCATCAGCCGATTTAAAGTCAGGCACATCCGTGGGCAGCCCATTGCTGCTGCCAAACTTTATTTAAATGTATATTTATGCTCCTAAAATATTTATTTACCCATTGGTCAGTTTATTGATTTGTTTGATTAACTTTGGTAAAACTTTTTTTTTATTTTAAACTGTACACACAATTGAGATTGAGCTGTTGGTTAAATTCAGCGTTTGAACCTTTTTAGGTTAAGAAATATTCAACATCCACTGTTATCAGTGACACTTTAGCATGTAAATAAGGCAGAAAACCTCAATATATTGACCCAAATAATTTGGTAGCCGATATCAGCCATCAGCAATAGGAAAACTTATATCAGTTGGTCTCTAATCACATGTACATGTTTCTAATTTGTTCAGTTATATTTCAAAGCTTGAAAAAGAAGCGTGATTTTTTACATAGAAGCAGATGGACTGCAGCCTCTCATCCAGAGTACACAGACTCTGGCACCTGTAAAACAGGATAAGTAGCCAGAGATGCTACATCTTATTAGAGTCAATAATGGCACAAATATGAGTTTTAACAGTGTGAGGGTAAAGCATCAGCTCTGATTCATCCCACTTTCTTTAGAAAACACTACTGTGGTGTTTTATTAAAAGGTTGTCTGCTGCTAAATTTACTTTTTCCATTGATTATTTATTTCCTGTAGCAACTTTTCCTCAAGATTTCCCTTTTCTTCCTCCACGAACCAGAATTCTCAGATTCCTTCCAAACTTCCCGAGCCGATCAAAGCGAGCGAGGCTGCCGCAGCGAAGAAGAGCCAGACTAAACCCAGGCGAGCATGACCTCATTACTCTGTGATACATTTAAGGCTGTAATAACCTGACATTTTATGGATCTAATTACTTACAGTTGATATTCTGATGCTCATTTAATAATTATGTTAACATTGTTTGCCGTGATTAACAAGAAGTGCAACATCCTCCTTTTGTTGCCAGACTGACAGATCCAATTCCCACCACTGAAACCTCCATCACCCCTCGTCAGAGGCCCAAAGCGGTGCATGCTCAGCCTGCTGCTGGCATCCTACCCATCCAGCCTGCCGCTCTCACCCCTCGCAAGCGAGCTAATCTCCCTGGTGGTGCAGGTCAGCCCTTGGGTGTGTACAATTCGCTGTTACTGTTACTGTTCTATTATTCTTTTGTCTCTCACAAGAGAAAAGGAAGCATTGTTTTGATTAAAACAGGAGGAAGTTCCTCTGAATCTTTGCTCCATACAGACAGAGTACACAGGATGGGACACCTGAAAATTAACAAATCCCAAAAGATTATGACCATTTTCTCCAGGTCGCCTTTTTACGTGATTTCCAGTGTTTGAATTCACTTTGAGCTTGTTATCAGATTATCTTTAAGCTATTGTAGTTTTTAGTAATACTAATTTGTGTTGTTGCATACAAAGCTGCTGTGCATCTGTGCATAAAATATAATGAGAAAATCGGCCTGATGCTGAGTGATGTGTAGCCTGGGTTTTGTTTGACATCCTGCAGGAGTCAGCTTAGGTCTCTCTCAGCCAGCTGCAGCTCTCCAGTCACAGAAGGCACAGACGTCAGCGCAGCCTCACATCCTGACACAAAACAACACAAGTCAGGCTGCAGCACCACTAAAACAGGTACAGGCTCTGCTGTTTCAAGGATCCTTTTGCAAATTGATGCAAATATTTTATCCCAGTGCTTTGAAACTCTTTACCTCTTGTCTTGCTGACATTCTGAGCTTATGTGACGTGAAATTACATCTTACTTTTTTCTCCAAATAATTTTAAGATGTCAATAATGGCGTTTCTTTATACCAAACAACGTTCCTGTTGGAATCAAAATGAAAGGTATCTAAAATGCATTAAAAATCAAAGTATACACAGTTTCCATTTTATCAGGAATGTGGCGTACTTAAAAGTATTTGAAAATAAAAAAAAATTAAGAATAAGAAAAAATGTCCTACAGGATTAAAAACTGTCTGATTATGATAAAAATTCCAACTGACTCTCAGACAGTAGCGGTTTTAGGCACGGGCAGACTGGGCGACTGCCCACGGTGGCATTTTTTTCATGACACAAAGTGCTGAGTAAAAAAAAAAGAAAGAAATCTGCAATGCAACATGATTTTTGATTATCTGTCCTATCACTGTGTCTGGATTGGAACCAGCAAGGGGGTTTTGTCCTGGGAGCACTTCCATGTAGAAACGCCACTGCTCTGAGAAAACGCTGCACCCATCCATCCATTTTCTTCTGCCTATCCAGAGTCGGGTCGCGTGGGGCAGCAGCCTAAGACGAGAGGCCCAAAATTCCCTCTCCCCAGCCACTTGGGCCAGCTCTTCCGGGGGAATCCCAAGGCGTTCCCTGGCCAGCTGAGAGACATAGTCCCTCCACCGTGTCCTGGGTCTACCTTTAGGCCTCCTCCCAGTTGGACATGCCTGGAAAACCTCACCAGGGAGGCGTCCAGGAGGCATCCTAACTAGATTCCATAGCCACCTCAACTGGCTCCTCTCAACGTGGAGGAGCAGCGGGTCTAGTCCGAGCCCCTCCTGGATGACTGAGCTTCTCAACCTATCGCTAAGGGAGAGCCCAGCCACCCTGCAGAGAAAACTCATTTCAGCCCCTTGTATCTGCGATCTCTAGACCAGCTCAGTGGCCTAGTGGTAGAGTGCCCGCCCTGAGACTGGGAGATCAGGGTTCGATTCCTGGTCGGGTCATACCAAAGACTTTGAAAAAACGGGACCCAATGCCTCCCTGCTTGACACTCAGCATTAAGGGGTTGGATTGGGGGGAACCACCAAATGGTTCCCGAGCGCGGCTGTGTCTGCAGCTCACCACTCCCCCAGGGGATGGGTCAAATGCGGAGAACAAATTTCACACACACATCAGTGTGTGTGACAACTAATGGGACTTTAACTTTAACTCTTTCCTTCGGTCACAACCCAAAGCTCGTGACCATAGGTGAGGGTAGGAACGTGAATCTACCGGTAAATTGAGAGTTTTGCTTTCTGGCTCAGCTCTCTCTTCACCATGACAGACCGGTACAACGCCCGCATCACTGCAGACACAGCACCAATCTGCTTATCGATCTTCTGCTCCAGCTTTCCCTCACTTGTGAACAAGACCCCGAGATACTTGAACTCCTCCACTTTTGGCAGGACCTCATCCCTGACCCGGAGAAGGCATTCTACCCTTTTCCGACTCAAGACCATGGTCTCAGATTTATAGAAGCTGATTCTCATCCCAGCTGCTTCACACTCAGCTGTGAACCGCTCCAGTGAGAGCTGGAGATCACGTTCTGATGAAGCCACATCATCTAAAACAGCAGAGACCCGATCTTTAGGCCACCTAAACGGATGCTCTCCACACCTTGGCTGCACCTAGAAATCCTGTCCATAAAAGTTATGAACAGAATCTGTAACAAAGGGCAGCCTGGGTGGAGTCCAACTCACTGGGAACGAGCCCGACTTACTGCTGGCAATGGGGACCAAGCTCTGACACCGGTCATACAGGGACCTAACAGCCTGTATCAGAGGGCCTGGTACCCCATACTCATATACCCCAACACATGCAGATTGGCTGCATATGATTTTAAAAGTGAAACAGACCAACCATTTCTATAATATGATTTAAGATCCTTTAGAAACGATCATTTCCAACTGAGTTACAACCAATCAGCATGAGTGTACCAAAAGTTCTGGGGCCTCATTTATCAAGCTTGCTTACGCACAAAACGCGGTCGGAAAACTGCGTAAGCAACTTTCCACGCAAACTTTGGGATTTATGAAAGAAAACTTAGTGGGAAAATCTGCGCAACTTTAAGTTGACTAAGGACCTTGCTTACGCACATTTTGGACATGGAGAGCACCTGCAGTGCTGCTGCTGAGAAGGATACAATTATGAAATCCTGCAGCATTATCACTTGTACTGCTTCGTTTTCACACAGAACAAGACCCCCCCCCCCCCCCCCCCCCCCCACACACACACACACAGCCCGAAGTGCAGAATACGGAATGCAGAATATCAGCAGGCGAACAGATTGAGACAGAATGTCATGCGTCTGTCAGTGTGTGTCCTATCACTGTGACCCGATTGATCTTGCGCCCTGGCTACTTGGACAAGGGAGATCTCCATTTGGCTGACTGGTTAGCGCGTGTGACTTTCACCCTGGAGTCCGGGGATTGAATCCCGATTGGGCCATTTTTTTTTTATATCCGCCACAGATCTCTCTGAAGAACTCAGCATTGACGGCTTCAGCAACACTGTGCCTCTCTGTGGATTTTCTCTTATTTGTTTTGCAAAAGCATTTCCTTTCATTTCTCCACCTCACCCACAATTTCTGCTTCTGTGAAATTGCGCTTCCTTGATCTTCCTTGATCTACGGTCGCCATCGTCATTGGTGGAGCGCTGCAACAGCCGGCTTATCTATATGCATGAGGTCCACAAGGCACTTTGCATTGACTATTTATGGCAGTAATGGGCTCGACACACGGGAGGCGACATCGCCTCTCCTCCATTCATTTTCAATGAGACATGCGCGACAAAGCGATAATCGCGGGTCTCTCTCCTACTAAGCGAAACGCGAAAAACGTGCGTGTGAAATTTTGCACTCGTGCACGTGCACGGACGACACAGCGACGCAATCCCAGAAAGTTGAAACATTTTCAACTTTTCATCGCTGTCGCTCGGACGAGGACCAATCAACGGAGGTTTCATTCACTGACCAATGAGCGGACAGGATGCTCCGTACATCTCTGAGCAAACATGAAGGAGAAGTTGATTATTATTATGTTTTATATAGTAAAATCAGATGTGGATTTTCTCGCGTGGGAACAGATGTAATGATGTTTTTGTGCGACAGTCTGTGCAGCCAGCTGCAGCTGTTGGAGGAGAGGCGGCAGCATCACAAGTGGTCAAGGCTGAGGCCTCACCACAAGCACAGCAAACTACCCAGCAACAAACCACAACCCCCCCTGTGGTCATTCCCGCTTCCCAGCAGGCAGCACAGACTGCGTCCAGCCCCGCCCCACCTCAGCGCCCAGCGCGTCGCAGACAGGCGAGCCAGGCTCAGCAGCCAGATTCTCAGCCTTCTCCCACCAAACTGGCACCCGGGCAGCCGGCTGTAGCTCAGCAGCAGCAGATAACCCAACCACCAGCTGTACAAACTCAGCCTGCGTCCTCTGAGGTCAGCCAAAGATCAGCTACGTCAATGTTGATTAGTGTCCTTTTACCTTTTATTCTGCTTAGTTCGGTTTGTTGTTTGTCCCTACATCTCTTGATCAGACTCCACCTGAAACTCCAAAGACAGCTGAAGAAGGAGCTCATCAGCGTGTGTCGAGTGAAACTACAGAAAACGTTGCTGCTGCATTTCTGACCAGCGACTCCTCACAGTCGCCACAGGGCGCTAATGGAGGTGCCGACCCTAGTCAGTAAGTGCTGTATTACTGGAATAAAGAAGTGTATACACTTATGATAAGAAGTAAAGATCCTTTTTCAGTTCAGAGGGTTTTGCTGGTTATTAAATATTTCATGTGAGGAATCTTAGAACTGAAAGAAAATGTAGATTCATTTGACCTCGACTGTGACTCTTCTGCCTTTGTTGTGTTTAAATCGCTGTTTTCTTGCAGATCACCAACATCTCCGCCAAGTGCCAGCCAGCCGGTTCAGCTGAGTCTTTGTGATTCCGCTCCGGATCAAAGCAAAGCTGCATCGTCTCTTCCTGCCTCTGCAGGTTCCACCAACACCCCCACACAACCAGCGTGGAACCTGTTCGACGACGACACCTTCTCCACCCTCTCTGCTGAAGGCTTCAAAACTGATGACAAAAAGACTTCTGGTAAACACTTAAGGGTTTATCGATTTGCTTGGTCTGAGTCAGATTACCTTACATTTATTGTTGTGACCAGACTTGCTGTCAGATCCTGACACACAATCACCTGAGGAGCTGATACCGGGCCTACAGGCCTCCTCTCTAGAAAACACTCCCCAAGAAACAGGTGTGTTACTTTTTTATGTCACACAGTCTATATTCAGCACTTTTCTTCTTTTCCGTGTGCATTAGAGCATTCATTAACATCTTCCCAACAGTTTATCTGCTCCCATGAGTTTATATCTCCAAGATGAATTTGCTTAATTATCATGTGTTTTTGTTTGTGTTTGTTTTGGATTCATTTATTTTCTGGTAAAGTAGTGCTGATATTTAAGGTACTGAATGTGTCTTGAGCAGTGGTGTATCTGAACGAGTTCGCTGAATGGTTCTTTCATAATTTTGGTGAACATGAACTGAACTTACTCGTATTTTGACCTCAACAACTCTAGTGAGCGCGCTCCTTCACAGTTTGAATTTGTTCGAGAGTTCCAGAGTTCAGTGGCGCTGAAGCCATGGCTAAAACATACTGTTAGCCATAGACATAAAAGGTAGACTCGCTGACTGCTGTGGCCGCCATAGGCAGTAGTGGTGGATGCAGCGTCTAACGTAACGGGTCTTGTGGTGCATTTCGTTTACCTCAGGCCCGAACGTCTTTAGTAGTCTGTGACGTCAACTGGTGTTTTTCTTTCTGGTCGTTTGTCCTAAAGTTGAAGTGGTAGCAGCTGTTTCTCCTTCTCTGATGTTATTGAGGCGGGAACCTCTCACACCAGTGGTGTGTTGCTGAATATGTGAGTGAGTAATAAGTGGAGGGCAGGGAAGTGTGGCGGTTCAGTGAGATCCACAACCGGGTGGTCCAATGGTTGCTTTTAGTCCGAGCCACTTTAATGGTGGAGGTTTCTAGACAAATGCAAGTGAACCACCTAATTAATATATATTCTTTTTTCAAATTTTCAATCTCTACAATTTATTTATAGCTATGTTAGAACACTGTTAAGAAGCATGAAATGCTAACTGGTTTTGCAGATTTGCCGTTGTAGCTTTATTACATCACTTTTCTTTTTTTTGCCAAACAAGTCTTAAAATTAATTCACAAAAATTCAAAAATGACTTCATTGAAAGATAATAAAAGTTGTTTTGCACTTTGAGAACCATTCCTTTGTTTCCTACCTCAGCCTGGTTCCTTCCTCAGATTGTTCAATATTGTTCCTCGTTTCAAATTTTGTCATGACTATGAGAATATACTGTAGGGGTAAACGCTGCAGCGGGGTGCACGTGTGGGCTGGACAGGGGGCAACAAGGCCAGTTTTCTGAGGCTAATGGTTTGCTGCAATGTATTAACTAAAGAACTCTGAACTAGTTCATTTTTGGAACTATCAGTTGAACTAGTTCATATATAACTCAAACTTATTCTACACTGGCCTTTTGTAGAAGCCTCGTTTTTCTACACTCTGTCAGCCTCCGTTACAAAGAGATGATGGATTTCTCTGTTCTTGTGTCCCAGCTGAAAGACCATCTTCTATTCTGGAACCAGGAGCCTCCCTGTTGGCGGTTCCTGATCCTTTCCACACACTCGAACTGTCAGACGCTCCAGGTAAATATCTACAGATGGATTTCGGACGCATTTTGTATTGTCCTATTCTTTACTTTCTTCAACGTTTGGTTCACTGAAAAAAAAACATTTTTAATTATCATTTCTGATCATAATCAGTCACTCTGAGTTTTTCATGCAAGCTGATAATGGAAATGGTCTGCTACACCTATCTCCTGCTGTAGCCTCTGATAGAAAATACACGGTGAAAATCTAGGATTTGAAAATCCTGACAGATCTACGTCACGCTGTCACTTAACATTCATGGACTCACCCATCTTGAATCAGGACGGGGAAGGCTGTTGTTGGTTTAGCATCCAGGAATCAGCAGAGAACATCTCGGCAAATAGAAGCTACCTGCTAGCTTTAGCAACTTCACCACATGGCAGAAGCTCCTCTAGGCTTGTGTTATTTGTGGAGATAAAACATCAACGTGGCAAGTCAGTGGTAGAGTTGTCCAAATATCAGGAAATAACACTCCAAACCCTGCCTTCTGAAGCTCAGCTGTGATGTGGTTCACTTCTAGTTCCTGAAAATGGTGCACCAGTGTTTTTACTTTCTCAGAGTACAACTTACAAGCCAGCCATTAATATCTACTAGAGAGCCTGAACTAGCTAGCCTCTAGACTGCCACTTTTGTTTATCTCTGTGATTTAACTGTAACAGTTTGCCTTTTCTTTAATTTTCCTTTCTGGTTTTTAGAGAAGCTGATCGAAGGACTCAAATCTCCTGACACGTCTTCACTCCTCCTCCCTGATCTGCTGTCCTTGTCCGACCCGTTTGGTGGGTCTGTGGAGTCTGTGAAAGGTACGACTCCATGAACGATATATTTCAAATCAGAAAACAGAAGCATTCAATACTTTGTGTACTAGTTCAGCCTTTCCATATTTTTTTTTTTTGCTTGAAAAAAAACTTTATTGCTACCCAGGGTAGGGATGGACTGATGAAAATCAGCAGCAAATATCGGTCGTCAGCTGACTGTGACTTGTGCACATCTGCACTGCAACAGGAAAACCCATATGGGCCCATCAGTAAGCCAGAGAGGACCTTCTTATCGATCTGTAGAGTTAAAGTTGAGAATCAACAGATTTCTATTAACAGATAAAGGGTTGTGCGAATCAGCAGAGGTTATCTGAGGTCGTTCAGGTGATGTTCACCAGTATTAGTGCTCTACTGCCTCTGTTGGCCCAACTTAACTCCTTGTTGTTGTGCATCTTTTGGACTAAACGTATCTGATGGTTTCCTAACACAGAACGTGTCTCATGTTTGGTTCTGACCCGTCCCAGATCCTCTCACAGCAGACGACTCTCTCCTGAGCTGCTCTCTGCTCTCCGGTCCGTCTCCTCCTGCAGCAGCGAGCAGCACCATCTCCTCCATCTCGTCTGCCCCTAACTCCGCCACCTCTGCTTTGGATGAGTTTAGTTTGTTGTCTGGAGAGTCGACGCGGTCTAAAGGAGGTAAAAGAAGGAAAAAACAAAGTTAAACTCACTGAGGCTGATTTGTCTCCAGTCTAACGCCTTTATGCGGCTCGTGAAACATTTTCCTTTTTAAGAAGGAATAATGTCTCCACGGAAGTGAGTTAATTGGTAAAACAGCTTTTATTTCCTTCTTCTGTACATTATTGCTGTGTCTCTTTTCAACTTGCATTTTCGTGGTTCTTTTTAAGCACTGAAAGAAAACATTTCTTTTACATTGTTAGCTAAAATTTCCGCTACTTCCTGTAGTCATCCTCAGAGCTGCGATGATGTTGGCGGCATCACTTCCTTCTCCGTTTATCTCCTCGTCGATTACACAGTCCTATGCGTGATCTAATGAGTCATGGTTCCTTGAGACGCCGCCAACATCATCACAGCTCTGAGGATGGAAACAGGAAGTAGCTGAAACATTAGCTAACATGGTAAAGGAAAAGTTTTTTTTTCTGGGTTTTAAAAGAACCAAGAAAATGCAGGTTTTTATTTCCTGCAGCGGGGTCTCTGGTTCTGATCACTGGAATGGGTTCAAACAAAAACCCGCAGCAGTTTTATAAGTTTTAGATTCAAAAGAAAAGATTATTAAAATGCAGTTTTATATGATGCAGCTGCCTCAACCACGAATTCTGACTCCTCTGGGAAGGCCAGGTGGATTGTGAGACTTTCTTCACTTTTCTTTATAAAGTTAAAGGAAAGAATTTAAATTACAGGTTTAAAAAAAACTTTTTAACCACTTGTTTGAGCTGCTTCTCCTCTGCCTCTTCTCCCATCTGTTTACTGGGGGTTTGTTTTGTCTCTTGTGTCTTTATTGTCAGTCCAGCTGGTTTCAGGAAGATATTTACACAGAGCCAGTGGAAGCTTTAAATCCAGACTGGCTCGCTCCCTTTAAACAAATGTTAGCAGTAACTGGACATTTTGGTCTCGCCACTGGTTTAGTAAACAGGCACAACATGTCTGTTGATGCTTGAGTGTATTAGAGAGTGACTTTTGCTGTGTTTTCTCAGAAAGCTGCCACCTGGCTCAGTTGAACCTTCTGCTTTGTCTGAACAAACCCAGAAACTTTAAATGGCTCCATCCATCTCAGGCAGGTTTATGTGATCTAATGAAACAGTTTTCTGACTAAATATTTCAAAGGGAGGGTTGATATGGAAACACTTATTTTTGTACTTAAAGAGACAGTGTGTAGTTTTTAACCATTAATCTCTGGAAATATCTACCTAAATGTTGTGGAAAATGAATTAAAGTAGCATTCCGGAGTTTTCCCCTTTCAGAAATGATGTATGATTTTTCAGAAATCCATGAAAGTCTCGTCTCTCATCTCTCGTCTCGTCTTCCTCCGCTTATCCGGGTCCGGGTCGCGGGGGCAGCATCCCAACTAGGGAGCTCCAGGCCGTCCTCTCCCCGGCCTTGTCCACCAGCTCCTCCGGCAGGACCCCAAGGCGTTCCCGGACCAGATTGGAGATGTAACCTCTCCAACGTGTCCTGGGTCGACCCGGGGGCCTTCTGCCGGCAGGATATGCCCGAAACACCTCCCCGGGGAGGCGTCCAGGAGGCATCCTGACCAGATGCCCAAACCACCTCAACTGGCTCCTTTCGATCCGGAGGAGCAGCGGTTCTACTCCGAGTCCCTCCCGAATGTCCGAGCTCCTCACCCTATCTCTAAGGCTGAGCCCGGCCACCCTACGGAGGAAACTCATTTCAGCCGCTTGTATCCGCGATCTCGTTCTTTCGGTCATTACCCAAAGCTCATGACCATAGGTGAGGATTGGGACGTAGATCGACCGGTAAATCGAGAGCCTGGCTTTCTGGCTCAGCTCCCTCTTCTCCACGACAGATCGGCTCAGCGTCCGCATCACTGCAGACGCCGAACCAATCCGCCTGTCGATCTCCCGATCCCTCCTACCCTCACTCGTGAACAAGACCCCGAGATACTTAAACTCCTCCACTTGAGGTAGGACCTCTCCCCCGACCCGGAGGTGGCAAGCCACCCTTTTCCGGTCGAGAACCATGGTCTCAGATTTGGAGGTGCTGATCCTCATCCCAGCCGCTTCACATTCGGCCGCGAACCTACCCAGCAAGAGCTGAAGGTCAGAGCTGGATGAAGCTAGGAGGACCACATCATCCGCAAAAAGCAGAGACGAGATTCTCCTGCCACCAAACTCGACACACTCCACACCACGGCTGCGTCTAGAAATTCTGTCCATAAAAGTGATGAACAGAACCGGTGACAAAGGGCAGCCCTGGCGGAGTCCAACCCTCACTGGGAACAGGTCCGACTTACTACCGGCTATGCGGACCAAACTCACGCTCCTCTGGTAAAGGGACTGAATGGCCCTTAACAGAAAGCCACCCACCCCATACTCCTGGAGCGTCCCCCACAGGGTGTCCCTGGGGACACGGTCATAAGCCTTCTCCAAATCCACAAAGCACATGTGGATTGGTTGGGCAAACTCCCATGCCCCCTCCATCACCCTTGCAAGGGTATAGAGCTGGTCCACAGTTCCACGGCCAGGACGAAAACCACATTGCTCCTCCTCTATCTGAGATTCAACTATCGATCGGACCCTCCTCTCCAGTACCTTGGAGTAGACCTTTCCAGGGAGGCTGAGGAGTGTGATCCCCCTATAGTTGGAACACACCCTCAGGTCACCCTTCTTAAAGATGGGGACCACCACCCCGGTCTGCCACTCCCTAGGAACTGCCCCCGATGACCACGCAATGTTGTAGAGACGTGTCAACCATGACAGCCCTACAACATCCATTGCCTTGAGATACCCAGGACGAACCTCATCCGCCCCCGGGGCTCCGCCGCTGTGTAGTTGTTTGACTACCTCAGCAACTTCTGCCCCCGAGATCGGACAGTCCATCCCCAGGCCTCCCAGCTCTGGTTCCTCCTTGGAATGCGCATTGGTGGGATTGAGGAGCTCCTCAAAGTATTCCTTCCACCGTCCGACTATAGCCTCAGTTGACGTCAGCAGCTCCCCATCCCCACTGTAAACAGTGTGAGCGAGTTGCTGCCTTCCTCTCCTGAGGCGCCGGACAGTTTGCCAGAACCTCTTTGGAGCCGATCGATAGTCTTTCTCCATGGCCTCACCAAACTCCTCCCACGCCCGAGATTTTGCCTTGGCAACTGCCACTGCTGCACCCCGCTTGGCTATCCGGTACCTGTCTGCTGCCTCCGGAGACCCACAGACCAGCCACGCCCTGTAGGCCTCCTTCTTCAGCCTGACGGCTCCCCGAACCTCTGGTGTCCACCAGCGGGTACGGGGGTTGCCACCACGACTGGCACCGGCCACCTTACGACCACAGCTAGCAACAGCCGCCTCGACAATCGCAGAGTGGAACAAGGCCCACTCGGACTCAATGTCCCCCACTGCTCTCGGGACGTGGTCAAAGCTCTGCCGGAGGTGGGAGTTGAAGACCGTCTTGACAGGTTCTTCTGCCAGGCGTTCCCAGCAGACCCTCACTATGCGTTTGGGTCTGCCAGGTCTACGGGGCATGTTCCCTTGCCATCTGATCCAACTCACCACCAGGTGGTGATCAGTTGACAGCTCCGCCCCTCTCTTCACTCGGGTGTCCAAAACATACGGCCGCAGGTCAGATGATACGACTACAAAATCTATCATCGACCTGTGACCTAGGCTGCCCTGGTACCAAGTGTACCGGTGGGCATCCTTATGTTCGAACATGGTGTTCGTTATGGCCAAACTGCGGCTTGCACAGAAGTCCAATAACAAAACACCGCTCGAGTTCAGATTAGGTGGGCCGTTCCTCCCAATCACACCCCTCCAGGTCAAGCTGTCATTGCCCACGTGAGCATTGAAGTCCCCCAGCAGGACAATGGAGTCCCCTGATGGAGCACTATCTAGCACTCGTCCCAGGGACTCCAAAAAGGGTGGGTACTCTGAACTGATATTTGGCCCATAAGCACAAACAACAGTCAGGACCCGTTCCCCGACCCGAAGGCGCAAGGAAGCTACCCTCTTGTCCCCCGGGGTAAATCCCAACACACAGGCAGAGAGTCTCGGGGCTAACAAAAAGCCAACCCCTGCCCTCCGCCTCTCACCCGGAGCAACTCCAGCAAAGTAGAGTGTCCAACCCCTCTCCAGGTCTCGGGTTCCAGAGCCAATGCAATGTGTCGAGGTGAGTCCGACTATATCTAGCCGGTACCGCTCAACCTCTGCCACAAGCTCCGGCTCCTTCCTCGCCAGCGAGGTGACGTTCCATGTCCCAAAAACTAGTTTTCTTGTCCGGGGATTGGACCGCCAAGGCTCCCGCCTTGGTCTGCCACCCGATTCGCATTGCACCGGACCCTTCATGTTCCTCCTGCGGGTGGTGGGTCCACAGTTGGACGAGCCCATGTATCCGGTTCGGGCTGGGCCCGGCCGGGCCCCATGGGCGAAAGCCCGGCCACCAGGCGCTCGCTCACGGGCCCCAACCCCAGGCCTGGCTCCAGGGTGGGACCCCGGTAACCCTCCGGGCCGGGTACTCCGACTCTTCGTTTTAACCGCCATGAAAGATCCTTCGAACCGTTCTTTGTCTCACCCTTCACCTAAGACCAATTTGTCATGGGAGACCCTACCAGGGGCACTAAGTGCCCCAGACAACATAGCTCCTAGGATCATTAGGGCACTCAAACTCCTCCACCACGATAAGGTGACGGTTCAAGGAGGAGAATCCATGAAAGTGATCTTTAAAAAAGTCTTATCATGTACTGTGATATAATGAAAGCAATACGTCTTTTTCTTTTGCTAAACACACCCCCTGCCCCGCAGAGCTCCGTGCAATAGGAAACTAAACACCAACCAGAACTAACCAATAGCGTTAGACTACCACTTACATGCTGCTAATTTAAGGAGTACCTCACCTGATGCAGAGATGATGAACTTTTCACAGTCAAGTAAGTCTCTAAAATATAAATATATGAGAACACAACATGATATGAGAATAATACTTGTAAAACAGCGTGTTTTAGCTCTGTTTGTCGGCTAGAAGCACATTAATAAACAAGAAACGTGAAGTCGCCATCTTAAAAAAAACAGAGCAAGAGACTGTATGTGTGGTATGCTTGTCAGCCACTAGATGGTGACATCGGATAAGATGAATACTCTGGAAAGAGACTTTAAATGATGCCCAGTTTTTTGAAAAATATTGGCCACTTTGTAACATATAACCATAAAAATCGGGTCTAAAATACATGGGAGTGGGTCCAAATCTCTGGGCAACTCCATATTAGATGTGATGTTTCCTTCTACGGGAGCCCGAGAGGACAAAACACATGTACTGATTTGTAAAAAGCTGTTACAAAACTTTCGTCATTCCTAAACGTTGTTTTACACAACAATCTGACAAAGCACTCATTGGAAATTTTTGACCCTAATGGGCGTCCGTTAGTAAGGCCTTATCAAACACAAAAATATCGCTTGCTTGTAACGATTTTGGTATATACTGCCTCCTATTGCCAGGGAAAATACACACCATCACTTTAAAAGAACTTAAAGGAAAACATTGATTGGATGTAAACAATCTGCCATTTTGCTCTGAAGCGCATTTTGTGTGACACGGATATCATTCGGATTCCTTTATTTTAAGCATTTGATCATAATAGTGTCCCGTTAAAAGATTTATCTGTGAAGCCATTCTTGATTATGTGCAAGGTCGTTCTCTGAAATCGAGTGTCAGATTGATACCGGGCGTCATTAGAAACCCGTCTATGGGAAAGCTTTGATTCCTCTCCAGGGAAATTCAGATCAAACGGCACATTCAGCTGATGGATAAAGTCACTGAAAAGCATTGATTATGTTTGTGCTGTACTTAGTCCTGCAGAAGCACTCGATGTGTGTAGGTTTGGTGTTTCTACAACTAAGTGACGATGTTTGTGTTTTAGATGTCTGATCGTTGCACGCTGACGAAATTCAAATGAATATAGCTGGAGAGCAGCAGATGTTATAAATGAAGCATCAGATAATCATCCCAACCTTCTTCTGCTCTCTGCAGTCTCGTCTCTCCTGATCTCAGACTTGGAGGCCCAGCAGACGAGTGCGGAGGCAGCTACAGAGGATGAGTTTGATCCTATTCCTGTCACGGGGCGGAAAAACTCCCAAGGTAGGTGTTTTTTTTAAGTTTCTGGATAGAAGTGTAGGTAAACTGAGACCTCGACTGTTCTGATGTACTAAATGAATTCAAAAATCTCTGATTAGAAGTAAAAAGTGTCATTTAAGAGTAGCAACTCTTTCTTTCTCAATCTTTGTTCTGTCCCTCTCTTTGACTGCTCTGTTTGCTTGTTGTGACTCCTCTGCTCCTCCTCTCCTCTGTTTGTCTGTACTCACCCCCCACCCCTTCCCTCCCATCCCCTGTCTTTCCGGCCAGTTTCAGGAGGCCACTCGCGCAGTAACAGTGGCGGCTCTGAATCCAGCCTGCCCAGCTTGGCCCGCTCCCTGCTTCTGGTGGACCAGCTCATCGACTTGTAGACGTCCCCCCCTCCCTCTCGTAGAAGTCGTAACTTTGGATAACTGTCAGCGTAGCATAACAGCTATCAACACAGCTAACCCCCCTCTGCTCCCCCTGACCTTCATCTTCCTCACTTTTCAGCGCTTCTTCATTTCTGCTTTCTGCTGCATCGATGGCATCATCTGCTTTCTCCTCATCTCTCATCTTCTCTCTCTCTCTCTGTCTCTCTCTCTCTTTGTTGTAGTCTATGTGCATCTTGTCCATCTAAAGAAAAAAAGTGACAAATTGACCATCTGTTCTACAGAGTAAAGTTAAAAATCTTATCAGTTTGAAGAAATCAGCATTATTTCTACTAGCGAACAAGAAAAGATCATTGTTGTAATGTATAATAAGCATAGTTCTAAGTGGTCGTAGTAATCGTGCACAAGTGAAAATTGTCGTCGTTTGCCTCTTTTAAATTGTCCTCCCTGAATTTATTTGCACATTTTGAAGGGAAAAAAATAATAGAATAATTAAGTGACCATTCATTCAGACAAGGTTTGTTTGTGTGAAGAGAGCGCAAGTTCTCTGAGCGTTGTTTCGCCCGATACGCGCAGACTCATAAATGTTGTTTTATCAGAGCAACAGGTTGACAGAAGTACCAACATTTTAGCTGCTGTAGATTAGATTGCAAAGCATCAAGATGAGTCACAATCTGGAAGCAGAACAGCCATCAACACGCAACGTTGAAGTGCCATAAAGTGGCTGTGAATGAGGCGGAGCTTCAAAACACAGCAATGCAAATCCAGCCATACAGTATGAAGGTGTCTGTTTGGCCTGTTTCAGCTTTTCTTCTTGCTCATTTCGCTTCAATAAGGAGAAAAAGTTGTGTAGGAATTAAATCGGGGTCGTTTAAATGCATCAATAGCAGCGTGCCATATCAGTAGAGAGTGCATGAAAAATAATTCAATGAAGCAACGATAGAATAGGAAATAACAGAAAAAACAGTAGCATTTATATATAAACAGAACTCACAAAGTCGTGCTGTTTCTTGGCTGTGATAAAAACTCAATTTATCTATTTTTGCAACACATTAACATTTATTTGTGCAGTCCCGCCCACATTCCTCCCATTTGTTTACTCCTAATTTATGTAAATAAATTTCTGCAGGCTCTGATCCAGACCGTTCACCATCACCACAACGCTTTACCTGTGGAAGACATAGTGCTTTTTCTGTGAAACTGATGTATGTCGCATACATATATATATATATATATATATATATATATATATATATATATGTATATATATATATATATATATATATATATATATATATATATATATATACATATATATATATATATATATATGTATATATATATATATATATATATATATATATATATATATATATATATATGAATGACATTGTTTTCCTGTTAATACATGTTAATATGAATAAAGTGTTAAGAGAATGAATGTAAGAAAAAAAATAGTAGTCTATATTAAAAATTGATCTATTATTCTTAACATCCTAATTGTTCAATAATATTGAAGATTCTATAAATATTTCCTTCCTCTGTGCAGAATTGTGTGCTAAGATGATTATTTTTTCCCTTCTTCTTGGTTCTATTTACTCATGGACATGTATAGATGATAGTCTAACCTGGAGGATTGGGCGTAGTCCCGTGTCTTATTCCAACCCTGTGAAGAGAAAAGTGACTTTATGTATGTTTACATGGACTGATGAAGGATTCTATTTTTATTCGGACTAGTCTTTTCCTAAGGGAAGAGTTTTATGGGTTTGAGATCCCGTCTTGTTTCGTTAGAATTTGTGCTTTTTGAGGTTTTAGTGATTCATATCGAGAAGCATGGACGTGCTGTTGAATGTTACGTTCCTGTGGGTAGGTGTGTAGTGTTTTTATAAGTGTGTGTGTGGATGTGTTTTTGTTTAGTTTTGTGTGGGCGGCAGTGATCAGTTTGTCATTAAATGTCCCCCGAAAGCACAGACCCCACCTACCCACGCTGTCCGTTCCCTCCTTAATTCTCTCAGGTAGTCAGAGCTGCCCATGCAGCATGCTGACTTACTGCTGTCCTCTAGACGTCTGCGTTTCTTATTACGGTTTACAGAACTGTCTGGTGTTTCACGTGTGAGAGGGGCTCTGTGAGGTGTGCCGGTCTGAAGGCGGTTATCACACAGCGTTACAAACACGTGGAGGGTTGGAACGGATCTGCTCCAATCAGCACAGAGGTGCTAGAAATGAAGATGGCATGCTTCCAGTGCATGATTTAGGCTACCTTCGCCAGCTTTTATCCGTGTTGTTGTTTTTCAAAACAGGACTTGGAAAAAGCACACGAAAAACTCTTGGAGAGAGATCTACTAATAACAGGAAGTTAAAAAGCTATAAACTTATCAGGATATAGTTTCAACTACCTGTGCGCAATATCATCTTAATTATAGTCGGCATGGGCAACCACTGTCCCGAAAAAAACGATCTTCAGGTCTCGAATCTGAGAAAAATGCCAAACGCTAATATTTCATCACAAAGGGGGGCTCTAGGCCAACATTAGGGGGGTAAGGGGTCTAGGCCAGCAGCTCTGTTAGAGAGGTACCTTTGTAAGAAAACACCACAAAAATACTTTTAACGATTTCAAGCTGTAGTGAATAATTACAACAATGTGTAACAAAAATTCAGTGACAGTTGCTTTAGATACAACAGCTTTCACTATACATAACTATCTTGCCAAAAATACATGATTGGAGTTATTTGTTTCAGTGACAACATGAAACAATTTCTCAGCATCTCTTTTCAGTTTGATCTCCTAAGCTTGGTGTCACTAGAACCGCCCTTGTTTCATCCATCTCCTCGCTACAATGTTGACCATCGGAAAGTCTTTCCTGTCTTTCCTTCATGAGTAATCGAAGGATTTAGGTCCCGTTTGCGATCATCCCAATCTGAACAGCTCAGTCATTCCCAGAACTGTTTGAACCTATGCAACTCCCGAGCTTCCCCCCCCCCGTAAACGTTGGTGTGCTGTTGTGATCACTAAAGTCAAGTTAGACGAGAACCTGATGTGAAACAGAAGCCCACAATTTTTTTTTTTGTTTATTTATTTTTGCCAAAAATAAAAGCTGTCAATGATGTGATCAAGTGTTCTTGAGATGCTCTTGTCATTTTGGCCCAAACCTGTGTCAGAGCTGTGGAAAAGTGTGCTCCTATTTTTGTGAGATGACTTCAGAATTATAAAGGGATGGCAAATAAAGTCTAAATGTGAATGTCCACATGTTGAGTTTTGATTCTTTAAGCGTGTAACTTTGTCCTCGGTGATCTCCTGTTTGGATCAGAATGTTATTCAGTGGTCTATTTCAGTAACTTCTACAGTTTTACCCAGAATGTTGTGTAGAAATGTAGATTTTAAAGGTATTTATTTCAAATTCATCTTTATTCTCAAGTGAACATTTTTAAAGAAGAATAATTATAATTCAAGAAGGTTTCAAATCAAAACAACCAGCCCCACTTTGGGCAGGCATGTCCCAAAGTGGGGCCTGGGGGCCATCTGCAGCCCTTTGAGGGATTTTGTGTGGCCCTGGGAGCAATTCTAAAACAGTGGAATTGTGTCTCCAACAGGGTGTTGATGTGTAAATAGTTTATACTTCATTTGTTTAGATTTCTACTCATATAAGCCATATTTATGTTTATTAATTTATTAAACACTAGGGATGCACATTTTCCAAAATTTCTTTGAACAGCTATTGATGCCCCTTAACGGTTAATAACCGGTTAACCGGGACTAAGCCTGTTACATTTATGAAAATATAGAGAGAGTGGGATGACAGCTGAAATATCCGTCAGACTCAGAACTTGTGCTTCTTGTGATTCGTGCTTAGAAGCACAATCTGGAGGCAACAGTTTAAAATAACACTTTAGTTTGCTGCACCATGTCCTGCCAGGCTCAGCGCTTTGATGTGAGGCTTGTGTTCCAAGAATGAAATAACTATAAATCTCTCGCACGCTGTGCTCTTTGCTAACTGCTACGTGTTTGAGCACATTTGTTTGGTCATGTGATGAGCTAATTTCTTCTTCTGTGGTTGCCCAGTAAACTCATTTGATAGTGGTGCTCTTGCGCCATCTAGTGGCAAATAATGCATTACACCCCAGCACAGCAGAAGGACCAGAAGCAGTTAATCGAGCAAAACTATTTTACACAATTACAACATTAACCGGTTAACTATGTACATCACTATTAGACACTTTTATCCAATGCAGTGCAAATAGACTAAATTAAATTCTAAATAAAATCATTTTTGAAACGTGAACATTTTAAACCCAAACATTATAGGGAGCCTAAGCCACTTCCGCATCATGGGTCCCTGGAAGAGCGAAAAAATGAATGCAAGTCAATGAGGCTAAAAACACAATTTTCTAATTCCGCTTGTTTTGTGCCATGTATTTCACATGATGTCCGTGAATTTTATACACACATTTTGATACCAAGAACGTACTTATTTTCAAATGGGGGCAACGATATTTTAGGTTTTGTGTGAAAATAAGTCCAGAACTACAAATGTGCTTCACGAAAGAAGAAGAAAAGATCTTTTCTATAGCGTCTCTCAAGATAAAAATCACGAGGTGCTTCACAAAAACAAAAAATGTTAAAGATAAAAAAGAATTTAGAAAATGATTAAAATATATTTTAAATGAGCAAAAAACAGACAATTGTGATTAAAAATGTAAAGAAAGAAAGTGAATAGGAAGAGGGAAATCAGTGGATCCTGAGGAAGGTGGAATAGGTAGGGTGAGCAGAACAAGGAGAGGGTGAAGAAGGTCACACCAAAGCCAGCTTGAACAAGTGAGTCTTCAGCTGCTTCTTAAAGGAGACCACTGAGTCCACTGATCTCAGGCTCAGGGGGAGAGAGTTCCAGAGTCTGGGGACCACAGCAGCAAATGATCTGTTACCTTTGGTCTTTAGCCTGGTGTGCTGCACAACCAGCAGGCTTTGATCACTGGACCTCGGGGACCTGCTGGGGGTGTAGGGACTGAGAAGATCGCCAATGTAAGATGGTGCTTGTCCATGTAAGGCCCTATAGACCAGCGGTCTCATTTATCAAATATTGCATAGAATTCTTACCAAAACCGTACTTGAGCTCAGCACACACTTGTCACAGACACATGACATTCTGTCTCAGTCTGTCCCCCTGCTGATATTCTGCACTTCAAGCTGTGTGTGTGTGTGTGTGTGTGTGTGTGTGTGTGTGTGCGTGCACACGCGCGCACCCTTGTGCGTGTGTGTGTGTATGCACCCTCGCGTGTGTGTGTGTACGTGTGGGGGGTCTTGTTCTGTGTGAAAACGAAGCAGTACAAGTGATAATGCTGCAGGATTTCATAATTTTATTCTTCTCAGCAGCAGCGCTGCAGGTGCTCTCCATGTCCAAAATGTGCGTAAGCAAGACCCTTAGTCAACTTAAAGTTGCGCACATTTTTCCGCTATGTTTTCTTTGCTAAATCCCAAAGTTTGCATGGAAAGTTGCTTACGCAGTTTTCCGACCCCGTTTTGTGCGTAAGCAAGCTTGATAAATGAGGCCCCAGAACCAGAGTCTTGAAATGAACCCTGAGGTTGACTGGCAGCCAGTGAAGCTGGAGGAGAAGCGGGGTGATGTGGGTGTGTTTGGAGGACTTGGTCAGAAGCCGAGCACAGGCATTCTGAACCACCTGTAGATGGTTCAGGGAGGTTCTGCTCAGACACGTGAAAAGAGAGTTACAGTATTCTAAGCGTGAGGAGATGAAGGTGTGGATAACAGTCTCAAGTTCAGAGTGGGACAGAATGGGACTCAGCTTGGCAATGTTCCTGAGATGGAAGAAGGAAGAGCGAACAAGAGAACTGACATGAGAATCCAGGGTGAGAGCTGGGTCAAAGGTCACGCCAAGATTCCTGACAGAAGGTTTGGTGTGAGAAACAAGCTGACCAAGAGAGTCTCTGACTTTGGGAACCAGCTTGTCTGGGGCACAGATGAGGATCTCAGTCTTATCTTCATTCAGCTGAAGAAAGCTCCCAGCCATCCAGGTTTTAATAGTCTAAGCAGGTGTGTAACAGCTGCAGCTTAGACAGGGCAGATGTACAGTTGGATGTCATCTGCGTAAAGATGGTAGGAGATTCCTTTGAAGGAGCTCAGGATGTGCTGAAGGGGAAGCAGATAGAGGAGTAAGAGCAGAGGCCCCAGCACAGAACCTTGTGGGACACCATGGGCAAGGGAGGTGGTGGAGGACCTAAACTTGGAGACGGCCACAGAAAAGGAGCGCTCGGAAAGATAAGAGGAGAACCACTCCAGAGCAGATCCTGATAGGCCTACCCAGTCTCTCAGCCTCTCCAGTAGCAGGTGATGGTCAACAGTGTCAAAGGCTGCAGTCAGGTCCAGCAGGACCAGAACAGAACAGTCCCCTGCATCACTGTGAGTCAGAAGGTCATTAGAGACCCTAAGAAGAGATGTTTCAGTAGAATGAGCTCTACAAAAACCTGACTGGAAGCTATCATAGATGTTATGTTCATCAAGAGCAGCTGTGAGTTTTTTAGCCACAGTCTTTTCCAAGATCTTGGAGATGAACGGAAGTTTAGAGATGGGTCTGAAGCTGCTATGGAGAGAGGCGTCAAGACTCGGTTTTTTAAGAAGCGGGTGGATTACAGCATTCTTAAAGTAAGCAGGGACCTGACCAGAGACCAGAGAAGCATTAATTATAGAGAGCACGCTGGGACCGATGGACTGAAAAGCACTTTTTTAACAAAGTGATAAATGATAAATGACCCGGACTTGTGTAGCGCCTCTCAGAGTAAGGACTACACTACAGTGTATCATTCATCAATTCACACACACATTCACACACTGATGGTGATGAGCTACGATGTAGCCACAGCTGCCCTGGGGCGCACTGACAGAGGCAAGATGAGGGTAAGATGTCAAGGGGCCATGCAGAGGTCTTCATAGAGTTAACTAGTTATCACTGGACCTCAGGGACCTGCTGGGGGTGTAGTGTCGTCATCGAACCAGACATGGAGAAAATTGAGGGAAAAGAGCTGTAAGTTCAGCAAACTTCCCACAGGAGGAAAGAACCACCATAAATCTGGTCATTTGGTAAGTAGCGGCTACTTTGGGAAGAGGAAATTAGGTGCTGACGTCACATATGCGACGTGCTGATTTCTAGTTTGTAGTCATGCTAATTACGAACTTTTACAAGCTGATAAATCTCAACGTGCGTGACTGGTATGGTTGAAACACCCGTCGTTACTTTTCATTTAAATTGCATTACAATCTATGTGCGATCCAGGGCGTAAGGCAAAGCAGATTATAAAATAGCATTTTTAGCCCCGTTGACTTTTTCATTCTTCGGGGACCCATGGTGCAGAAAGACTCACAGCAGGACACTTTGTGTTTCGGTCTCCTTGATTTAGTTTAAAGCTTCCCTTTTTGTTGATGTTTAAACAATTTTATGTAAATAAGAATAAGAAGTGTCATCTGAGTGTAAGATGCTGTGAACCACCCTGTCTGACGATGCTTCTGCTGTTGTTTCCACTCAGATCTGCAGAGGGAGCCCAGCTTTAACAAACATCAAGCCTCTGAGTCTGCAGCTCCTGAGCTTTTTACAGCAGAGAATCAAAAGCAGAAGATCCACCAGAGCACTGCTCTGTGTGTTAATACTAAACACATGCATCTATCAGATGCCTGGAGCCCTCTAAACCACCCTCTGCAAACTCATTCTACCAGTTTCATACCTGAAAACCACAATTCCCAGTTCCCACCTTCAGCTAGCCCAACAGCATCTGATGTCTTCCTGCTGGCTCCATTTAACCCTCCAGGAAAAGAATCCTCCGTTCCTGCAGCTCATAAACCTGCAGAGACATCTGACATTTTCCTCCAGGCACCGTTTGGCAAGAGGCAGGAAACCAACCGATCCGCCCCCACCGACTCTCACACATTTAGGCCCATTATGCAGCACATAGAGAACTGTAACCATGTCTTGGTTAAAGCATTGCCCCCTCTGAGGATCCTGCACAGGGAGGCTCCTCTGCTCCAGCAGCCGGTGGCCGTGCACCGGGTCGTCTCCAGGATCGGTCAGCAGGCCGCTGTGGGCTCCGTGGCCGTGGGACCGCTCCATTCCTGGACTATCGCTGGGAAAACTCAGAATGACCCCTTCACTGCTGCACCTTTTCAACCAAGATGCTCTCAAGGGAAACCTTGATTGTTATGTGATTTCTTTTAAAATGTGCCAAGTTGGAATATTTTAAACAAACATTAAGAGGCCAAAGTACAGTTCAGATGCAGTATTAAAGAGGTCAGATTTAGCTTTTAATATTAATGAAGTCATTATTTTAACAAGTTTTGTTCCACTTCAGTCATGTTATCTGCTTTTTGTTGTCACATCACCATGTCAGCACCAACGGGCTGAACTTTGACTTGATGAGAATATTCGTCTAGGATCTGTTACATCTTATTTATGGACATCGCGTTTTCCTAAAAGCTTAATGTCATATTTTTTACACTCAAACACTTAGTTTTATTAGTCTTAAGAAGACAATAAATCTGAATATTTTCATGTTTTATAACAGAACTTATCAGCAGCTTGACATTTCTGGCTGAAAGTATTTTTCCAGTTGTTTACGTTTAATGAACAGTTTGTCGCTTCATCGTCAGCACCAAACTTCATTTTTATCAAGCCAAAGGAATCTGTGTTGGAGGTTTTTTGCTGAAAGCACATTTTTAGTTTCATATCATAAAATCCCAAATGGCTGGTCACTAGAGAGCAGCGTGTAATCAGTATTATGTGATTTTAATCATCTTGTGCTCAAGCTATGTTCTTAACAGATCATTTCCTTTGATTGGAGCGAACACTTTTACATCTTGTGAAATCGTTTTGGATAGACTTTTCTTCACATTTCGTCCAAGCTGAATGTTTCTATTTTTTTCATTTTGTTTCTGATGTTTCTTGATATTTTTTTAACCGTGCTGCCTTACAGAGCCTATTTTGTAATGTAAAGTAAAATGATTACATCTATACATTGTAATTCTAGTAATGAACATATAAAGCAGTTACTAGTCCACACTAGATGATTTATCATGATGCCTTAAAGGTACAGTATGATAAAGTGAGATTTGTACTGTGAAATAATCCCAAAACAGTCTAATTTCTCAATCATGTTGGAAGGAACCTTATACTGAAACTGATATGTTGTCAGTTTTTCTCCTTTCAAAATAAAGGAATGAGAGACTTCTGTTTACTATCATTTGTAACTCGACTTCGGCTAGCAAAAAGCTACAGAGTTGTTTAAAGAACTGAAGCCAGTTACAAGAGCGACCCCAAAGTTTTTTCTTCCCTAAGAAGCCATCTTTTTGTTTTACTCTAGTATCGGGTAAAGAAGGCTACAGGCTAACGTTGAGCTAACGGTGCTAACAGTGAATTAGTCTGCTATAAAAATATCTCGAGCTACTTTTGCCAACAACTCAATATTACAGTGAAACGTGTGTGAAATGAATGAGTCAGACGTGGGGTTTTACTTCTGTTAATGAGTTGTTCAGAGTTATAGTAAGCTAACAGCCAGACTGTGGGTGTTTCTCAATGTCAAGGAACCTTGCCTTGATGTCTTGGCTCCGCCCCAGTTGCCTAGGAGATACGTCATCAGGAGCCGTCAAGACGTGTTCCAGTCGGTTCCAATGTTCATGTTCTACCAAGGCATGTGTTCTCCGTTTGTTAGCTGTTTAGCTAACTGAGCAAGGACACACGGGAGGTGTCTTATAGCCTAGCCTTGGTCAAAAATTACCCACAATGCACCGCAGTATTTTCTAAAGGACGGCGGATCAGAAACCGGCAGCTACTTCGGGGACAATTTTCAAGTTAAAACGTAAGTCAGCTAATTTAAAATATTTTTTAGATCCAAAGAAGTTTTCTATTGTTGGTTAGTTGCTTAGTAGTTGCAGCTTCGGTGGCTAGCGGGTAGTAACTCGCTTATATTTTTTATTTAATAAACGTATACACAATTTAAAAAGTAAAAGTCTTGTTATATATTTATATTGAAACTAATACATATAAAATATAACATTATCTCCCGTGTCACATGATGGAAGCCGCGGTCACGTGATGCCCTCGCAAGACATCGCCTCGCAAGGCAAGGCGGCTGGACATTGAGAACCACCCTGTTTAAAACAATACTTCCTCTTACCGTAATAAGTGTAGTAAGTGCTCCCTACCGTAAAACACCCAAGAGTGCTAGCACCAGCTATAAAATTGTAGTTATCTACTTGTCAATTAACCTTGTATGACTTGTCTTCACTTGTTATCTAGAATAATCTGGTGCTGATCCCTAACTGGCAACAGCCATGAGACACACGGAACAGGAGTGGGAGAGACTGCAGGAAACAAATCTGACCACAGGATGTCATCTTTATTCTTACACACTGCACCTTTAAGATGAACGGACTATAAATTATTATTTTTAATAGTTTTCTCTTGAGTTTTATAGTATAGAGCTGATTATTATTATGTAGTTAGAAACACCTGTTTTCCAACATGACAAATCTATAAGGATTCTAGTGTTGTATCCACGTTAGTTGTGCTGCATCATAGTACGTTTGTCTTCACCTCAGGTGGTCTAGGTGTCCATGGCAACTGCCTGCTCATATTTAACTCCAACAGTCACACAATACTTGAGGGATTTTATCCCAGTGATGAAAGTATCCATGATTTAATCGGAAATGTGCTGACCGAATAATCTGATCTTTAAGGTGATTTTTCTTTAAATAAAACCTTTTTGTTCTTGTTGTTTTTAAAGACGTATTGTTATCAAAGTAGTTTTGGCATAACATGTTGTTTTTCCGTGAAACATTTATTGTTTGTTTTCATTTGATTGGTGAAACAAATCCTCAAAACCTGAGATGACCTTTTGCAGCAGTTGTGATACAAAAATACCTGAAACACAAGTGTGTTAAACATAAGCCACTTGTTTTTATTCTTCAGGAGTTTGTGGAAAATGTTCAGCGTGAGCCAAACTCTTTCCACCTTCGTAAACATCTCTGAACGGAAAGGATGAAATGATGGTTTTAGGATAAATCCTCAAGTCTGTGTGCATGCCTCCACTCATGAACTGACAGAAACGATAAACTTATTACCTCTTAAAATCTCCAGCATCTTTGCTTTGGCAGCCATTGTTATAAAGTTAACATTTTTTCAGACAGTTTTTCCATCGTATAGCTGAATTTTGTTTGTTTGTGCTTCGTTGAGCTCACCAGTCTCAGATCAGAAAATCTGACCTTTAACATTACTGTGTATAAAAATTATATACATGTATCAAACAAAAACTTGTGGAAATGAGGATTTATTTTTAGCATTGGAATAGGATGCAGCTGACCAACTACTCTGTGGCATGTTACATAATGTCGACCTCTGGTTACCATTAACATTAGAAATCCTAATGTTTTAATTCACCGCTTCACCAGTGTGTTTTTCCTGTTTGTGAGAAGAACCCCTCCTCCGTAACCAGGTTACTGGTACAGAAGCCTGGAAAGGCCAGAATTCCTCAAACATTTTTTTTCCTACTGGCTGATATTAATTAATAGAATAGAGTAAATTTTATTAGTCCCACAGTGGGGACATCCACTCATTACATCAGCACATACACTTAGAGAAACAGATTACAGGTAAAACTGAGATTCCAGCCATGTTTGCTTTCATAACTTCAATAACTTCATGCTAATGACCCACATGAACATAATCCTCTGTTTAGTGGATGCAATTACATCAATGAAGTTATCTTAATCCTCTCAGGCTCAAAATAAGTTTTGATAAAGCGACGAACAACTAAGTCCTTCAGGGGTACTTCTGAGTTAAAAAATGCTCATCAAATACGTATGTGGAGTAACCAGGTAGGTAGGTTTTAATGTTGCAAATCTGCAATACCTGCCTCCAGAGGGTTAAACGTGAAATTTTTTTTTTCTTGGCAGAAATAATTACTGGTAATACTATGAATGACATGATAATGCCCCCTCCTAGATGGAACTTTTTAAAAATGTACATTAATTATAATTAAAAGGTCCTGTGTGACATTTGTGACATGTTGCTGTAACTCTTTACTGCAGATAGATAGATAGATAGATAGATAGATAGATAGATAGATGATAGATAATGTGAAGAAGTTCAGGAGAGTTGGATGTTAAATTTTCCTCACTAGAAGAAAATTTGTATTAAACAAAGGTCAACTCTCTCCGTAAAGTCAGAGGTACGGAAGAGGATTAGGGCCACTGAAAAGAAAAAAGGAAAGAAAGAGACTTTTTCCCCAGAAATCCCTGTCAGAATTACAAGAATAAAAGTCTAAATTCTGAAGAAAAAAAAACATAATTTTGAGAAAAAAATTTGAAATCTGAGAAAAAAGTAAGAATAGTCTTTCTTTTCTTTTTTGTCTTGTCAGTGGCTTTATCCTCTTTCGTACACAGTAGAAATAAATAAATAAAATGTAAAGCACAAAAAGTCTCACTATTAATACCCCCCCCCCCCCCCCCCCCCCCCCCCCCCCCCCTCTAAACGGTCGGTGAATTGTCCGCTCCCAGCCCCATGACCCCGTCTCACTCTTTGAAATGTTCAAAAGTTGGCAGCCCTGATCTTAATCTAACAGCTGAAATGTCTCCTCAAACTTAATGTCTACAGGTGTGATTCATTACTAAATGAAACAAATCACCTTTTCCTGATCTAAAACATGCAGGAAATGTGCTGGAAGCAGACTGCTGTGCCAGGTATGTCAGCTCAATTGTTTTCTCAGCCTAACAAGGACCAGACTGGCACTCTGAAGTTTCAAATGTGGTATTCTGGCCACAGAGGGCAGTGCAGTCTAAGTAGCATTTCATTAACATTGTAAAGAGACATTTTAGCACATCAAGAAATCAAGCAAATGAATTGAGTTGTGTAGCATGGCTTTAAAAGTAAATGAAGATTATTGCCTCAAAGCTTCACATGTAACATGAGTTTTTATTTATTTATTTTTTTTAAAGCTCATTTACTTTTTAGGTTTCACTTAAAAGAACATTTTGTTTTGCTCACATTAGCAATCTGGATCAAGTCATCATTAGTCATAATCTGTAAAGGCTGTCCAGCTTTGGAACATGTTTTGACAAAACATCCATCCATCCATTTTCTTCCGCTTATCCGGAGTCGGGTCATGGGGCAGTAGCCTAAGTCGAGAGGCCCAGACTTCCCTCTCCCCAGCCACTTGGGCCTGCTCTTCCGGGGGAATCCCAAGGCATTCCCTGGCCAGGTGAGAGAGATAGTCCCTCCAACGTGTCCTGGGTCTACCTTTAGGCCTCCTCCTGGTTGGACGTGATTGGAAAATCTTACCAGGGAGGCATCCAGGAAGCATCCTAACTAGATGCTCGAGCCACCTCAACTGGCTCTTCTCGATGTGGAGGACTAAAAGATATTAAATATTAAACATTTAACATTTATACAGAAGTATCTTGTTTTCACATGAAATTAACACAAGATAATAAACATACATGAATCATTGCACATCATATTAAAACATGATCATGAGACTGCTGACTTATCAGTAGCTAAGTTTACATGGGCTCAAGTAATTGGAATGAATGCCCTATCAGATCAAAAATTCTTCATGTAAACATGTCAGTCGGAATATTGGGATCCGATCCGGCCCGATTGGAATAAAATTTCTTTCTGTTTGACAGGTGGTTTTGTCCGATCATCATTCCGATTGACATCCATGTACACATCCATTCAGAATGTTGGAGTAAAATAATGCCCACTGCGCATGTGTACAACTTCAGCGTGACATCCTTCCGCCTTTGCAGACGCACGGGTCAAGTCGAAAACATGGCGGGAGGTAAACTAAGGTGGTCCATAACGGGGAAATAAAACGTCAGTCAATGAACAAAGCTAGAGAATAAGAAAATAAAATGCAAGGGAAAAGCTGTGCGGACAAGACGATATTTGTTTACAACTCTGCGCATGCTCAACCTATTTCATCTGAGTGAATGCTTGGTGCAAGTATACTCACGGCATGATCGGATCATTTCAGTTAGTGTCCATGTAAACAGAGATTTGGGATTTCCAATTAATCAAGATTAGACTCGGACAGGGGAAATGTGGCACATGTAAACGTAGCTAATGACATCAGACAAATCTCAAATGTTTCTAACTTTTGACCCAGAATCTTTACTAATTTACTCTTTATGCATTTTATCCTATTTTATTCTTTTCCGATTATTTTATTCATTGGTTTTAGTGAATTAGTTTCTCTGACCCTTCCAAAGAAGGGTGGACTGGGACTACAGTTCAGCCCTGGCATTTTTCTGACCCGCCGGCCCTCGGAGTGGGGGTGGGGTCTCATAATCAGAATTACAAACTGTGAACTTTTCTCTTAATTATAACTTTGTTTTGGGGATACATTAGTTTCAAAGTCATTTTTGTGGCTTCCAAAGTCCATTTTAATACTTTTAAATGGTAGGTATGAGTCATGACTGTCAGTAATATTAACATTGAAACCCATGCACAATTGTGATTCCTTTTTCTCCAGTGGCAGACTTTTGCTTCCATAAAAGTGACTTAAATTTAAACTGCTGTGCTGAAACCAAAATATCTAATTTTCATAAGAAAATGTGTTCTAATAAAGGAAAAGTGTAACTGTGACAGAATCAAAGCTGTGATTGTTTACATTAATGTTGATCATCTTAAGCCTGGCAAGCCAGGCTCCATTGACGGCTCTCGTCATGGGGCGGGTTTTGTCGTTGTCTTTCAAGCGATCTCGGCATGCTGCTGGACAATAAACAACGTGACGTACTCGCCGCTACGGATGTCGGTAAACGAGGCGGTCCACTGTTGAAGAAGGCAAACATATAGGTCCTTCTAAAAAAATTAGCATATTGTGATAAAGTTCATTATTTTCTGTAATGTACTGATAAACATTAGACTTTCATGTATATTAGATTCATTACACACAACCGAAGTAGTCCAAACCTTTTATTGTTTCTAATATTGATGATTTTGGCATACAGCTCATGAAAACCCAAAATTCCTATCTCAAAAAATTAGCATATTTCATCCGACCAATAAAAGAAAAGAGTTTTTAATACAAAAAAGTCAACCTTCAAATAATTATGTTCAGTTATGCACTCAATACTTGGTCGGGAATCCTTTTGCAGAAATGACTGCTTCAATGCGGCGTGGCATGGAGGCAATCAGCCTGTGGTACTGCTGAGGTGTTATGGAGGCCCAGGATGCTTCGATAGCGGCCTTAAGCTCATCCAGAGTGTTGGGTCTAGCGTCTCTCAACTTTCTCTACACAATATCCCACAGATGCTCTATGGGGTTCAGGTCAGGAGAGTTGGCAGGCCAATTGAGCACAGTAATACCATGGTCAGTAAACCATTTACCAGTGGTTTTGGCACTGTGAGCAGGTGCCAGGTCGTGCTGAAAAATGAAATCTGCATCTGCATTAAGCTTTTCAGCAGATGGAAGCATGAAGTGCTCTAAAATTTCCTGGTAGCTAGCTGCGTTGACCCTACCCTTGATAAAACAGTGGACCAAGACCAGCAGCTGACATGGCACCCCAGACCATCACTGACTGTGGGTACTTGACACTGGACTTCAGGCATTTTGGCATTTCCTTCTGCCCAGTCTTCCGCCAGACTTTGGCACCTTGATTTCCGAATGACATGCAGAATTTGCTTTTGTCCAAAAAAAGTACTTTGGACCACTGAGCAACAGTCCAGTGCTGCTTCTCTGTAGCCCAGGTCAGGCGCTTCTGCCGCTGTTTCTGGTTCAAAAGTGGCTTGACTTGAGGAATGCGGCACCTGTAGCCCATTTCCTGCACACGCCTGTACATGGTAGAACTGGATGTTTCTATACTCCAGACTCAGTCCACTGCTTCTGCAGGTCCCCCAAAGTCTGGAATCGGTCCTTCTCCACAATCTTCCTCAGGGTCCGGTCACCTCTTCTCGTTGTGCAGCGTTTTCTGCCACACTTTTTCCTTCCCACAGACTTCCCACTGAGGTGCCTTGATACAGCACTCTGGGAACAGCCTATTCGTTCAGAAATTTCTTTCTGTGTCTTACCCTCTTGCTTGAGGGTGTCAATGATGGCCTTCTGGACAGCAGTCAGGTCGGCAGTCTTACCCATGATGCGGTTTTGAGTACTGAACCAGGCTGGGAGTTTTTAAAAGCCTCAGGGTTCTTTTGCAGGTGTTTAGAGTTAATTAGTTGATTCAGATGATTAGGTTAATAGCTCGTTTAGAGAACCTTTTCATATGCAAATTTTTTGAGATAGGAATTTTGGGTTTTCATGAGCTGTATGTCAAAATCATCAATATTAGAAACAATAACAGGCTTGGACTACTTCAGTTGTGTGTAATGAATCTAATATATATATGAAAGACTAATATTTATCAGTACATTACAGAAAATAATGAACTTTATCACAATATGCTATTTTTTTAGAAGGACCTGTACATCCTTTAATCTAAAAAAGAACTTAAATGCATCTATCTGCTCCTGATTGTAATAAAGCCCAAATCCAAATAGTCCAAAATTGATGTAAAGCCGTTTCAAACGAGCTGTCACCATCTTGTTCCACTCTGTTGCATCATCCCACCCACCAGACGAATAGAGGGCCCTGATTGGCCCACAAAGCGGATTAAGCGCTGTGATTGGTTCACAAAGCAGATAGAGCACTATGATTGGCCCACCATTATGGACCAATCACAGCTCTCTATGTGTTTGAAACCCCTATAGACAGCTGTAATTGGCCAGCCAGAATGCGGCTTGGGGCTTCAGAGGCTCCAATGGAGCGTTCCTAGACCAAACTTTGCAAAGCAAAAATTTTGTTCTCTAGGCTAGATCATCTTGACTTCTGAATCAAATCGTCCTTTTGGTTACACATCACGTGCAAATCATGAATAGTCAGTGATGTTACTGTTCTGATTGGACATGATTCAAGATCCAGTGAAAGGGTTTTAGTCTGTGATCAAGTTCAGATCTTTGTTCTTCAGTACATCTCATGATTGGGACGTGGAGGAGGCCGTGAGGGAGGAGGCGCCCTACAAGGAGGTGAGCACTCAGGTGGGGATAGGATGGAGCAGGTTGGAGATGGGGGAGCAGAGGACTTGTTGGTGTTGGCTGGGGGAAGGGCTCTGTTTGGAGGGGGGGTGTACAGGGGGCAGCTGCTGGATGAGGGAGGAGGAGTCGATGGCAGAGGGGGTAAGATGGATGTTGGAGAGGGAGGCAATTGGAGGCTGTCCTCGGACGTACGACGCTGATACGTGTGTGGCAGAGTATAGACAGGTGTAGAGGGCTGGTTGTAGATGGGGTAGCGGGGTGGAGGGTAGGACGGCCTCCGGGTGAAGTTTATGCACCTACCCTGTAAGAAAGGCACACAGAGAATCTTAATATTTCAAAATGTGCAAGAAATATAAGAAATCTGATTATTTCTTTTGGTAGAAAAAACTCAGTCACCAGAGCCAGCAGATGGAAAGAGCAAATTCCACTTTTATTGAGTGTCATTAAACAAAACAACATTTTTCCCACTGTGAGTGATGCAAACTGAGGCAGGAAGACAGAAAACGATTCCTGCAGAGCATTTCTCCAGACCAGACAGGAGTTTCTCTGTACCTTCATCTGTGACACTCGAGTTTCCCCAGTTTTGTTTTTCATATAAATCAGATTATGTTTAAAATGTTTGTTCATAGATCATTTTCAACACAGATAGGAAAAAAGATCCTCACATTACTCAGTATTAGACCTTTGTGATAGTAACTCATAATTTACCAAATCATAATCAAAACAAAGGTAGACACCAACAGAATATTGCAGGTGACTTTTTTGACAATAGGGGGCACTATTTCCTAAATATGAGAAGTCTAGAGATGTTTCTCAGAGTCAAGGTGCCTGACCTCGCTTCACCTTACCAGGCCAGGCACCTTGCTTGCAAGGACACTGTCCTTCCTTGGTGGAATAAAACGATTAAATGAAACAGACTTGCATCATGTGACACGGGAGATAACGTTTTATTTTATATGTATAAGTTTCAATAAATATATAACATGCCTTTTACTGTTTAAATTGTGTATATATTGGTCAAATTAAATACGTAAGTGAGTTATTACCTGCAAGCCACCGAAGCTGCAACTACTAAGCAACAAACCAACCAGTTAACTGCTTTGGATATTTAAAAAAAAAGAACATTTCAGATATCACCCCAGTAGCTACAATTAGTTGATTTACATTTACACTTGAAATTTGCCCCCGAAGCAGCGACTTCTGATCTGATCGGCTTCTGTATTCTGGGGAATTTTTGACCAAGGCTAGGCCACAAGACCACTCCCATGTATCCTTGCTCAGCTAGCTAAATGGCTATTAAATGGAGAACAGCATGAACATTGGAACACGCCTTGGCGGTTCCTGATGACGTATCTCGTAGGCAACCGGGGCGGGGCCAACACATCAAGGTAAGGTTCCTTGGCATTGAGAAACACTTAATGAAGTAATATTTTATAACTATGAAAAACAGATCGCTTTTTTTAGGTTTATATGTAAGTGGGCTTTCATAATTCTACATTTTTGTTGACATTTTTTTGGTTGGACATTTTTTGTCCCACCTTGTCTCCAGGATAAGGTCTCATCACGGACACCCTGTCGTAGCCTTTCCTCAGGAACACACACAGAGCATCTAGTTTTCCCTGCAGAAACAGGATCAGAAATCACAGATAAAAACATGAAAATATCGGGCCGCAAACACAGTCAACCTGTTAAAAGTCAAACAAGTCCTAAAAGTAGACAGAAAAAGGATTTTTTCTGTATGAGACTCAATTTTCAGCCACAGCTTCTTCTCTTTTTTCCCTAGATTTATAGGAAGCTTTATATAACAAACAGATAAACAAAGAATGCATTTTGTTGAAAATAACAGCTGCTCAGCAGATTCAACAGACAGGGTTAGCTCAGTCCATGTCTGGTTCTTATTACTGTCCATCCAGATGACTAATGCATGAGGAAGAACTTTATTTCCTGATAACACCTCATCCCCAGAAACACTAACACATTTTTCACTTATGGTGGAAAATATTCACTGACATAGATGTCACATTTTATTGAAGAACACTCAAAATAGGAAGCATCTGTTTATAATTATTTTTCGTAAGAGTTTAACTCAAAAAAGCTCTGAAAATACCAGAAATGTTATCCTAGGTCATATTTTAAAGTAACACTAAATAATTTTTTAAGCTAGAGCTTTAGCATTGATCTCAGTGATTGTTTAGTTAGAAACTTGACCAGTTTCATATTTGACACCACTCTGCAGCCCTCTGCTGGCCGGATACTGCACTCAACAGTTTTGTGGAGTGGGGAGGTGTCCTATAGGGGGTGCTCTTTACCTGCCTAATGGCTGTTAGCTACTTTCTGTGCTGATATATCATAAAAGGCTAGCAGTTAGCTTTATCAGTTCACCAACTGTCAAAACTCAAGACGGAGAAGGAAAAAATAAGTTTTCATTTTGCTTTTGCTTTTGCATCATGGCGGGACCTGGAAGTTAAAGTCAGAGAGTAATGTCTCTGGAGGCGGAGCAAAAACTAAAGCCAGAGAGAAAATCAGCACAGCCTACACTTTTTCGAGGAAGCTGAAGGAAGCTACAAAATCAGACTGATGGTGACCTGGCTTTGTTGCTACTGAACTCGTAAGTAATAATAATTTTAGTGCAACAGTGTGAATCTTTTAAAGTTGTGGATTATTTAGTAAGATTTGGCTCATGTCAGTGTTAGTTGGTTGTTAGTGCTAGCTACAGCAAGGTGCTTTAGGGTTATTTACTACAGTTGTAATTTCATTTTCAACCAGTAGGATGGAGAAGCTGGAAACTATTTAGTGTTACTTTAAACTTAGTAGAAATTTTAAAACCATTGAACAAAATACCTCATTTCAGGGAAAATATGAAACTTTTTTACACTCTGAATAGGAGAATGTGGGATTTGTCATTAGAAAATGATTAAAATGAGCACCTTGATGGGTGAATACCACTTCTGGGAATGGATGGTTTTGAGTGTGGGGTAGTGAGGCCGTGTTGGAGCTGGGTCGTACTCCTCAGTCGGCATCACAACTCGAGCATTTTTGGCTTTTTCCAGCTTGGCTCCTTCTTCGGTTGAGCCTTTATCTCCCCAACGAACCTGAACAGAAACAAAACTTTTTGTCATGTTTTTGATAACAAAGCATGAACATTTGCTTTTTTATTTGCAGTAACTGATTTCTTCCTTTAGAAATGTTTTACTAGATAGACAACATTTTCCTTTCTTTTATATTTAAATTGTTTTATGTCTTCAAAGTTTTAATCAAACCCAGTCCGCTGAAATCCACAAGAAGCAACAAAATTTGGCTCGTTTGTCTCCGACAGTTTATGAGCAGCAGTTTTGGATTTTCTTTTCCTCTCTGACTAACAGAATTCAGAACTTTCATGATTGGATTGACCTCATGATTCAGCAAAAAATCCCCACAAACATGTCAGTAACCTCATCAGATGTAAAGGGTGTTTCACAGAAGTCCTTTTTCAGTGCAGTAAAAAGCGTCAAAAGTGAGCAGAAACACCAGGAGTTAAACGCAGCCTTGAAAGTTCATTACTCAGTTTCACTCCCTTTCAGCTACCGCTCAAAAACCACAAAGCCTTTAACTTTGGCAGAAAGAGACACAGAAATGAAGCTGTCCATACTTTCCATTTGGAATTGTGTGTTTTTGGCCTCTTCAGGGCAAGTCTGCAGAGCCCTTTTTACTGACTGGATAACTTCTGTTTATTTGACTACATCATCTCAGAGGAACACACACGCATGCGCGCACACACACACATCCGTTAAAACCTTTCAACTCTTTGATGCTAACAAGAGATTCTGTACTGTCTGTAGTTCCTCATCCAGATGGCCTCTTCTTTACTCTCTCTGGGTCTCAGAGTTTGTCAAAACAACAATACGACTCGCTTTCATTCGGCATGGATTTGCGTGCTCAACTTTATTAAGGAATTAGTTCCTGCTTTGCTCTGCAGCCTTTCTGTTTGATCTCATTCCGACCTTTCATCATTTACATTCGACTTGCTGAACGCTACATTAACATTCACCACACGCGTTTCATCTGCAAACCTGAGACCAGTTAATGGAAAGATTTCAGACTGTGGTTAGAGCCGCAGTGTCACAGTAACTGGTTTGAGTCGTTTAATGTTGAGTCTGCAAGTTTTGCTTTGTGTGTCTGTAAGTTATTTTCAGTTATGTTTTAATTCACAGTCCAAAGACACGACTGTCAGGTTAATTTGTTTTTCTTAGTCTGTTACGGTTTGCAGGAATGAAAAGTGCAAGAGTAGGTCAGAGTCTTGAGAGAAGCACGTGTGGGTAAACTCTTGAAACTAAAACTGAGAGGGTAAAATGCTCAAAACAGCGAAACAAAACAAGGCTAAAAGAAATTGTCCTGATCTCTTGACGAGGGCTTCAGTGAAAAAAGTATGAACATTTAATCTATCAGATGGTTCTTTGAAAAGCCTAACAGATTGCATTGAGACCAATACGAGCTTTTAACTCCCCTAAACGCATCCAGTCTTAACCCCCAGAGACCCACGGTTGTAATATTACAACATCAGATTTAAGTCTACAAAAATAAACCTTCCCCATTTTTTTCTTTTTAAAACCACATTTACATTGCTAATAGGTCCTATTGTTCAGTTCTGCAACACTATTGGCTGTTAAAATGTGTAAATAGGCCCGTTTATCTGGCCTCCTAGAACATGTGAAAGGTTAAAAAAAGATTTTGCAGTTGTTTTCTAAATTTGGGTTTCTGGGGGTTAAAGGGATTTTCCATCCAAAATGGAAATTTTGTATGTTGACATATTTACCAGCATTAGATTAAAAAAAAAAATTTACCAGCCCAATCATTCTCTTGAATGGATACAATTAGCATTGTGAGTAAACATGTTGTATAAGGGTAAATATTGTGCTTTTAAGCTTAATATATTACCTTTACTTATGACCAATAAGCTGTGATATTCTACATAAACATAGAGAATCACTCTGATTGGTCTTTGAATGTTTAATCAGAAGAATTAGGATTCTTTGCTTTTTCAGTGATCAAACACACTTCGTATTAATTCAGACAAAGTCAGGTTTATAAAAAGTAAGAAATTTATTTTCTGAACAAATTATAAACAAGACAACTAGGAACTACTTTATGTGATGGATAAATATAAGTGGGTGGAATGTGATGTTTGATGATGGAATGGAGTGTGATGTTCATCAGAACCTTGTATCTAGAAGAAGCGGAGTTCTGAGTGGGAGTGAATTTGGTCTGCATTAAACTATAAAGTTGGTTCTTATCAAAACCACATCAGACGCAATCATGCTGTATCTACCTCACCCTTTTTGGAGACCCTCTTCACGGATCCGGAGGTCAGGAAGGTCGGATGGCCTTTGGGTACCGAGGTTCAGTAGATTAACCGCAGCACTGACTACTCCAGTCCAAAGATGTCACCAGGCACAACAGGTTGGAACTAGTTTGCATCTAGAACAGCTGTTTCTGAGTAGCTGAAGGAGCAAGTTTCTGTCAGCTGTAGCGTGTAGCAGGTTTTGACAGCTTGTCAAGAGATGCGGTGGTTAGAGTTTCCCCCCGGTGGCCAGTCCGGAGTTCTGCTCAAAACTAACCAGATCACTCCGCAAGTGATTCTGTTTTAATACTCCCATATTATGATTATATGGCCAATCAGGACAAAAGAGGTTAAGAGGCGTTAACAAACAAACCTCAGAACACACGTCTTTTCCAGATACAAAAGATGCTCTGATTTGTGGATAAGAAAATATCTATGTGTATGACGTTAACTTTAATGATATCTTATGAACATTGTGTATGACTGTAGATAATGATTCATTTGTTAAACCATACATTACTGATCATAACATCAAAATGTTTCATTGTAATATTAAAATTCATTTCAACTTCATTGAATTGTGCACAGGTTAATCAAGCATTAATATTATTATTCATATAACATTTTTTCATTCAGCCATATGTTTATTTAATGATTATTTAACTTATGAGTTGTAAAAGCTCATCTTTCATGACAGTGTGTAATCCTGCAGTCTTATCAAAAGAAGGCTTTGTTTGGGAACATAGGCTGACATCTTGTCCCCCCTGAAATGTCAACACGCACTGCAGATTCTTCTGACTTGGTGGAAGATAGAATTTAAGTAAGTAAGTAAGTAAAAGTAAGTAAAAGTTTATTTATATAGCGCCTTTCACAGATATAAATCACAAAGCGCTGTACAACATGATAAAGATCAGGGCAAATACCTCTAACCAATAAAAACATCAGAAAAACAATAGCAGTGATAAACGTAGAAAATAAAATCATGAGTATAAACAAAGTGAAGGTGTGAACCCAAACAAAGCCATCTTTTTGAAACATTTAGGGAGGGAATGCCTGGATGAAAAGGTGAGTTTTTAGATGATTTTTAAAGAGCAAGTAACGTCTAAATTAACTTTTTTTTGCTGATGAACTGCATAAATGAGTGTCTAATAGTGTTTTAAATGTGTGCATTCTTTATTTTAGCATTTTGGTGCATTTTCTTTAAAAATTAAAAATTCTGTCTAAAAACCACAGTAATGCGCCACCTTCAGCTGAAAACATAGAATTTGAGTCATTTTGAATAAATTTTAGCCAATGGCTAAAGAGTAAAGTACTACGTAAAGCAGTAGAGTACTACGTAGCAGCTCCGTGCCAAAGTTATAAAAGCAACGAGCATCTCGGCCACGCCCTGTGGCGAGTGGGAGTTGGATTTGCAAGCGAGCGTAGGACAGCGGTAGTTCAGCATTAGCATATAGCATTAGCATATCCTAGTCTTTAGCATATCTTTTAGTGTTATAAATACTTATTTAGTGTTATATTTGGCTGTTGGATATTGTAGTTTAGTTAGTGTTTGGCTGTTAGTGTAATTGGGAAAGTAGTTCAGGTTTAGTGCTCCATATCGTGTTAGTATTGGTGAGTAGGTGTAGTGTAGTATGGTTGCGGTGACTCTGTGGGCATTTTACCCGCGATTCTGCACGTCTCCGTTTGAAGAGGGAGGCTGCCCACCGTGGCTCTTCTTCCGCGATTTAGATGCAGCCCACCGACTCTGCTCCCCCACCACGGCGGGCTCCAGTCTGAGGTGAGTAAGCTAAATAAACGTTTTAACATCTTCTAAAGACAATTCCCTACCTAAATGCAAAGTCTGAGAGACGTGGTTCACTTCCTTTAGCTAGTCAGTCGGCAATTCTGCAACAGTGGCTCTAACTAACAGCACTAGTGGACAGACAGCATTACAGCGTGAAATCCAGCACAGCGTGACCCGGTTCTGTAAGGAATTCTGTTCAGGAGGTCACATTTCAGGCTCTCCACATCATGTGTGACTGACTTTTACGTTATAACGATCACACACTAGGAATGTTATAAAGCAATAGGAGATTCTTTTGTATATTATCTGACTTTATAAACTCCCAACAACAATGTGCTTATTTTTTTTTTCAGGCTAAATCTACCCAAGACACTGGCTGTCAGACTGATTTAGCTGCAAGAATGCACTTGTCCAGGCTGACGTGAAACCTTCCCTGTAGCAAAGGTGAATTATTTTTAATAATCTTCTATGTAAACATTTTATTATTACCTTCTAGTTTTAATTTGTTTTACAGATTATTGTTACACGTGATTTTATGCTCTTTTAAACATTTATAAATGTGCTGCTTCTTTGTTTTTACATAGCCAGCCAGAATGGAGTTCACAGCCGCAGTGTGTCTGGTGACCCACGGGGACCATGATGAAAATTCATCTTCCAGAAGGTCCCAGAGCGTCCACACCCCCTGAAAAGACCAAGGTGTGAGGTGTCTGCTGTTGATTCCAGCTTCCACCTCAGTGACAGTGCAAGCTCAGTGAACTGTTCAAGGTAAAAAAAAATTAAAACATTTCAGAATTTTTAAGATATTAACAATTAAATAAGTATGTGATTACATCATGACGGAGGCTACTGATTCTGCCCCCGTGACACTTGGTGGTGACGTGTGAGCTGATTCACCTGGAAAACAACTTTTACATTAAATATTTTGTTTTTGCTATCAAAAGTAAATTAACTAATAACCTGCATTATTGCAGGACACTCAGCAAAATATACTCTACACCATGAGTCAGGCACACGTTAATATTCTATAAAAGCACATAAGGTGAGCAACACCACATATGTACACTGTCCTGAATTTGTTTTCTTTCTGCATCTCATCATTAGCCTGGCTGATCACCTGATAACTCCTGTCATCTGGTTATGACAGCATGAGGATGTCCTCACACACCTGTAACCTATCAGCTCATCTGGCAGAATAGAGAGAGAAGATACAACACCACATCTCCTGTTCCTGGAAAGCCTTCAGCCATCCTTCGATGACTGAGAACCTCCATCAGCTCTGTCTCCTGTCTGCCTACAATTATTATAATAAATATTGTGTTTGACAAGTTTTTTTGTGCTGCCAAATATCTCATATAGATTCCAGTTTTGATATTTTAATGGATATTTATAAATTACATTAATTGAATTATCACATTGCATGTTTAACTAACTCTATTGTGATGATTTAAACTAGCACCTCACTGTTAAAAGCTCGTTTTAATTTCAAGCATATTTAAGTATTTATGGGCATGAAAAAAACAGGAAATATATAAATTGAGATTTATTTAATTAATATAACAAATAAGGGGGAAAGAGTCATTGAAAGGCACATTCTTCTGGAAGCTCCTGATCCTGACGACACCAGCAGAGGAGACCAGCTGCAGACACCAGAGGACCTAGAACCAAGAGAGCAGCTGTTATTAGTAAATAAATAAATCAGGGCAGTTTTAGTGAGCTGAACACATTACAGAATAATTTTCTCATGGGGTATTTTCATAACTTTATGCAGCAGACTGTAACTTGAGCCCAGGGCTACCGGAGAGCTGCTATCCAGCACGTTTCAGTGGATTTTCCTGCTTTAACAGGTTAGATTAACTGTTAAGCAGCTCAGCTATTTGTTGATTAAACCAGGTGTGATGAAGCAGATAAACCTCTAAAACATGCTGATTACTAGCTCTCCAGGGCCGTGGAGACAAACCCTGCAGCTAATCTGATGCTATGGCTAATGGCTACTTACATTCAGAGGTGGTTCTGTTGGGTCGGTTCTGGGAGTTACAGGCAACTCACAAGCTCACAACAATAAGGCTCAGGTCCGCTTGTCTCCTCCAAATAGACTTGGTCCCTTTCTTCTCGAGTGTCTGGGTAAGGAGGGGGAGAAACGTCCTCCACTTCTAATAACTGCATAGAGTGAAGGGAGCTAGCATCGTCTAGTTAGCCGTCGTCTTCGTCACTGCCGCGGCTCCGCCCTCTCGGTCCTCCAGGCAATGTCTACTAATGTTGCATTTTTTAAAATTGACACGTGGGTGGAGAAGGACTCCAAGGCTCAATTGACCCGCTCTTTAAAGACCTCTACAGTGTTAGAAAGATGGAGATTTGAAGGTAGACTGTTCCAAAGTCTGGGTGCAATAGTCTGAAAGGCCCTGTCCCCTTTGGTTTTCAGTCTGGTTCGAGAACCAGCCAGGAGGTTTTCAGATGTGGATCTAAGGTTCCGAGAGGTGGTGTGTGGGGATAAAAGCTCAGATAGGTAGCTTGGAGCCTGGTTGTTAAGAGCTCTATAGGTCAGGACTAAAACTTTAAACTGAATTCTATATTCTACCGGGAGCCAGTGGAGGGACTGTAAAACTGGAGTGATGTGAGCTCGTCTGCTGGATTTGGTTAGGAGTCTGGCTGCTGCATTTTGGATGGCTTGAAGGCGTGAGAGGGAGGTTTTGCTGAGACCAGTAAAAACAGCGTTACAGTAGTCTAAGCGTGATGACACAAAGGCATGGATTATTTTTTCCAGATCTGCAGTAGAAACCAGTTTACGGACTTTTGAAATGTTTCTCAGTTGAAAGAAACAAGAGCGGGAGATGGTTTTGACGTGTGAGTCTAAACTTAAACCTGGATCAAAAATAACTCCCAGGTTTCTAATGTTGGCCTTGGCTGATGGGCAAAAAGAGGCAATGTCTTGCTCGATTTTTGGCTGAAGTTCCGGGGGTGCAGCGATCAGGGTCTCTGTCTTGTTAGCATTTAAGACAAGAAAGTTGCTGGACAGCCAGTTACTGATCTGGGTCAGGCAGAGTACAAGTGTGGCCAGCCCGTCCAACTGGTGTGGCATAAAGGACATATAGAGCTGAATATCATCAGCGTAGATGTGGTAGGAGATGTCTGGGAAAGACTGAATGATGCCAGCTAGGGGAAGAATATAGAATGCGAATAGTAGAGGCCCTAGAACTGAACCTTGTGGGACCCCGCATGTTAGAGAGGCAGTGTCTGAAGAGAAGGTTTCGGACTTCACTGTGAATGTTCTGTTGGTGAGATAAGAAGAGAGCCAGTTTATAGCAGAACCTGAAATCCCAGCCAGGGCCTTTAACCTGTTTAGAGAACGGAATTATGTCTGCAGATGACCGGTGGCATGTAGGTCAATATGTAGGTGAAAATGGACCCTTTCTGGATGTTACAATGTCTTTAAAATCACTCAGAAGTTATCTTAATTTCATTTTTGGGTGGGCTATCTCTTTAAAGGTTTTACATAATTCCTGCAAAGACTAATTTATAAACCTTTCAATTGCTTTTAGATTGAAGGTTATTCTGGGAGACGTTTTCACTTTCTCACAGGAAGTGGAAGTCTGTAAGAGCTAGCTGCCTCTGCCGAGGTAGTTTGTTTAAAGTCTTATCTACAACAGGTAGGTACTAAAGAAGAAAATTACAGATTACTGGTGTAACATGATGAAATGGCCTGATTTTGAGATCCCACAGGTCAAATGCACAGCCAGGTCAACTTACCCTGGCTATGACACATCCTACAATCTTTTCCCCTCACAGGAGACTTGAAGGCTGCATGCAGTCCCTTTAATCAGAGCCTACTTCCTTACACCAGCTGGACTGCAGAGATAATAAATGATAAACAATAAACATTTTCTCCTCCAAGGTCCATCACAGAGGAACTTTTTAAAATAAACTCCTTTATTCCCAGAAAGAAGAAGAAAGAAGATTTTATAATTAAAGATAATCAATGAATGAACTTTTGTTATTGCTAATTGCTCAATGATTGTTTTAGTATGTTTACTTGACGAGGTTATAACATTTGCACTCGCAAGTTAAGTAAAGTTAATGCATGACACATAAGTTAAAATTTTGCCTAGATTCAGAGTCTCCATAACAGAGGTTGTGTCTCTGGGTGCTTGGTAACATCTCTCAAACTTGTCAGCCTGATTAGCTGGCCAAACCATAATATCAATTCTTTAAAACCAGATGGCTTTGGGTAATTAGTCAGTTCTAGAGTGAGCTTCAGACCGGCCATCTTTAGCACCTCTTTAACCAGAAGGATTTTGACACGTTGTCAAAACCTTTAACCTTTTTCGCACCTGCGAAGCTGAACAACAAGATAGTTTTCCTGCAGAACAAAGCTGACTCAAAACTCCTTCAGAGGTTTTTTTAAGACGCTCGGTTTCATCCATCTGTCGTGACCCGAGAGACATCTCCGGACTGAAAGAACCGGCACCTCGGTCCTCTATAGCCCTCCGGTGCCAGCGGTCATCCGACCTCTCACTTTCGGTTCCACCAAGAGGGTCTCTTAACACCACACACATTTACGCTTCTGAGATGATTACATTCACTATCACATGACTAAACAATTACAGATCACCCCCCTCACCCTCTGAAACAGATAAACAAATGGAGACAAGATATAAAAAATATCAGTTGTTAATATCGGCTTGGTTTTATTTATTGGGCCGATACCGATATGTTAAAAATGACTAACATCGGCCGATACCAATATTGATGCTGATATATTGTCCATCCCTATTTTAGGTTTATTATGGTCATATCCTCCTTGCCTGTTTTCTTTGCTTGACACGAGGATTCAGTGGTAGTTTTTACTCTCGATCAATATTTGGTCAGAAGCACTAAGTGCCTTCAGGTAATTTTGTTGACAGATTTAAAAAGAGAAAATAAAACTCTTTTTTTTTCTTGGGCAACATTTGTCTCATATTCGTGTTTTCTAAAATTTTACACACATTTTTAGAAATGTAACAAGTTTTTAAAAGGATGCAACCACATATTGACCCAGCTCTGGGTGGTTACATTGTCCAAAAGAAGCATCTATATCAGGGTTTGGTGTCTTTTATGATGTTTGTTCTCTGATTTACCTCCATTCTTTTGATTCCTCCAACTCCTCGGCCTCCGTAGTAGGATGCGTCTACTGTGGGCCACCTTTTCTTTGGAAAGCCATCCTCATCATCCTAAATACAAGATTAAAGCACATCATGTACAATTAACACTGTTTTGTTTGCAGAAAATTAAATATCTGAAACTGACATTAAAAAATAAAAACATACTGAAATGTCCTCTATTGCTGGGGGAGGTGGTTCATGAATAACCTGCAAAGTAATATTTTTAAAAGTGAAAAGATCCTAATTTATTTTGTGTTCATTCAAGTAGAAAATAAAAAATGTATCTCTTGATTGTTTGTTTCATTCATTTTCATACCACAGTGCAGCAAAGAGGCCAGAACCACCAGAGTAGAGCAATAGTGAGCAGGAGCAGCAGGACGAGCAGTGCGATTCCCACAAAGGTCCCATCAGACTGCATGAGAGAATTAGATGTTGGCAGCGGGATCTGTGGTTGTCTTTCAAACTGTCTTCACATGCTATTGAACAATGAAAATACACTGTCCAAGAAGACGGAATTGCATCCTTTTTCTAAGTAAAGGACTTAAGCCCTTCTATCTGCTCTTGACTCAAAGAAAAAACAAAGTCTAAATACCGTATTTTCACGACCATAGGGCGCACCGTGTTATAGGGCGCAGCTTCAGTTACGGGTGTCTTTTTGGTATTTAACACATAAGGCGCACCGGGTTATAGGGCACGGTAAAACCTCCGCGTTAGCTTTGGGTTAGCTTCAGGTTAGCTTGTAGCTAGTTCGACCGGGTGTCGTCAGTCGATCCCAGCCTTACAGCCCCACCCTCAGCTCCTCCTCTCTTCCCTTTTATGGAATTGTCTGGGCTGGACGGAACCTGTGACACGGTCAAAATGGCGGTGGTGGCCACCTCCCATTATAGACAAAAAACGTGTTATTGGAGCCTATGGAATCGAATTGTCCAGTATGTATGTCGATGGGTAAAACGTACCGGTAAAACATCTGTGCGGGCTCGGGACTCGGAACATATCAGTGCAAACCAGACATTGTGAAAATTATAAACAGCCAAAAGCATGCTTCACTTTACTGGTCTAGTCCTGGTTCAGGCCTGGTTTAGAGCGCACATGCGCTTCCTCATTGCGTGCGCTGACGGCTCGTGCTCTTCTAATGGGCTCGACACACAGGAGGCAACTTCGCCTCCCCTCCATTCATTTTCAATGAGACATGCGCGACAAAGCGATAATCGCGGGTCTCCCTCCTACTAAAGCCGGGCGTACACCGGGAGTGCTGCAGGAGGACACAGGGATTTATGGGTGTTGGATGGGGAAAACAAAATAAAGAAAGTAAATCTGTGTTTTGTGATCAGTTTAATTTGACATGAACACGACAAACACTCTTTCTTGACAATCTTTGTGAGTAAAATAGCGTGTAGAAATAAAAACGAACAACGTGTGTTATTAGGGAAATAGCGGGCAAGCGGTGTTGACGCATGACTGTGCATGCGCCGAGAGCGGTTCTGGTACTTTTTGGGTCGCAGCTGCTCGCAGCGCCGCTTCAAGCGCTGATGCGCTGTGTTGAAGTTCAGAATGTGTTTACCAGTAGTTGGTGGATTTAACAACATAAACTTTCCACATGAACAAAATCATATGTGTGTTATTAATAGGCCTAAGAAAATAGTGTGATTTGAATTGTGTTTTATTAACCCTCTGGGGTCCATGGACACGTATCCGCGTCTTTTGAACAGGTCCGATTTGGGATGCTGTAGCAGCAAGACTCCACCTCTCTGAGTTTCGGTTTCAATTCAGCTTTAAAAAGGAGATAATAAACTACACCCCAGTTTTAAAATTTTGTTAATAGGCAACGTAAAAGCGGAGTTGTGGGCTCGACACACAGGAGGCGACAAACGACCGCGATCAGCGAAATTTGTCGCTGTCGCTTTTATTACCTGACACACGGGAGGCGATCCGCGGCAGCGCGCATGTCTCATTGAAAATGAATGGAGGAGAGGCGATGTCGCCTCCCGTGTGTCGAGCCCATTATACTAAACTAAAAAAACAACCTATTTTTAGACAATCTGACAACTTGTCAAAACAGCAGTTTAGTAATCCGTGAGAGGGAATGTGCTTGTGAACATAAAAAACCCACAAAAACACGAGATCCTCTTGCTGTTGGTGGAAGTCTCACAAATTCAATTGATAAAAAGTATCATCATGTAGCCGAGAGAGAAGAAGGCTGCACGAGTAACGAGATGTGCGCAAAAAGGAGCCGCTTCACAGGGAAAGGAGTGGCGCGAACGGAGGAACAACAAACAGACAGATATTGACGGTAAACTTCATATTTTGGAGCGATCCGGACAGATATAGTGTCTCTGCAGTTTAGTAGGCTTTTATTAGGCTTATATAAAGGATGATGAGAAGGATAAATGTCCACCAGGCAGTTCAGATAGTACGGCTGTTTTTTGAACTGGAAGCAGAGGAAGTGGACGGAGACTCACAGCCGGAGTCTGAGGCAAACAGCGAGGATGTTGATGACGGTGTGGCAAATCCACAGGTCTGTCTTCGCTCACGTCCGCACGTTCACGCCACGCCCCTTGTCTTCTACTACATTTGCGTCTCACAACAACACAATAGGCGCACTGCACCATAGGGCGCGGAGTACATTTTGGAGAAAATTTAAGACTTTTAGGTGCGCCTTATGGTCGTGAAAATACGGTAGTCCAAAGTTGAAGTCTTTGTTGTTCTGCTTCGTTGCATCATCCCGCCCATCAGACTGATAGAGCGCTGTGATTGACAAGACACAATACTGATCAGGCCAATGGTAAACCTGCTGAGGCTCCAATGGAGCGTAGCTAGACTGACATGCAGAGCAAAGTCGTTTTGCTTCGGCTCCTGTCTGTCTAGATTTCTTGGCTAGTAGTCTCTAGTACAAGTGAATGCCTTGTAAGTTGATCTCTGCATGGAATAAAGCTCTAGCGCTCCTGTTTCAAGAACTACGAATGAGCCATTTCAGAGTTTAGCCAGTTTTGGAATCTTATTTCCTGAAATTCAAACACCTCACCTCTAATTAGTTAACAGGAACGCAACTCTTCCATAGACTCCATTTGCTTTTTCAACGTTGATGTTTTATCTCCACAAATAACACCAGCCTGAAGGAGTCCTGCCATGTTGTGGAGTTGCTAATGCTAACGTTTAGCTACTAGTCGAGTTGGCTGCGCTGTCTCCTGGAACCTAAACCAACAACAGCCTTCTTCAGTTGTGAGCCCAGATGGGTGAGTCCATGAATGCTAATTTCCAGTGTGACATAGATCTGTGTGACTTTTTCTGACCCGAGCTTTACCTCGTCTATTTTCTATTGGCAGCTAATGCAGGAAAACGTGGCAGAAGGCAATTTTCACATTTAACCTGCATGTTAAACTCAGAGTGACTAATCATATATAAAACATAACAAGTCAAAAAAAGGTTTCTCTGTGAACCTGGCCTTCACAAAATGTAAGTTTCAGTTTAAAAACAACAGATTTACAATGGAACAAAATGAGAAGCTTCCCATTCTGCAACAAATCCTTTCAAAGCTAGACATTATGTTCTGAAATAACTACAGAAATGATAAATTAGCAGCTTTGCTGATTTTTCTCACCCACTTTGATCTGTGAGAGGATGAACGAGACCAGTTGTGTTTTTATTGTGGTTGTCTCTTTTTTACTCACACAAGCAACTGCAGTGATTGTGACGGAGCTGGAGATGAAGCTGAGGCCATTGTTCATGCTGACATGGAGCGTGGCCGACCTGCTGACACAAAGAGCAGGAAGCAATTCAAAATAAAGGAGTATTTTATCATTTATATCTTATCAATTTTGTATTTTGAATCTATATTTGATCACTTATTACTTAGTTCAGCCACTCTATGACTCGTATGGATTATTGTGCTGCTTTTTGGAAGCTGGGCGCTTCTGTTATCTCACCGCTTAAGCATCTGTCTTTAATAACAACACTCACATAATCATGTTTTTGTTTGTTGTGGGGCAAAGTAAAAATGGCTGCATTTAAGCTGGAGGATGCTGTCAACAAAAATCAAGACAAATATGTGGATGGAAACAAGCTAATGAAATCAACGCAATCAGAAACAGAGATGTATGGTTGACTAAAAGAAAACATCTGTAGGGAAAATTGTTTCTAGATTAAAAATAAATATGGAAACAAGACTGATAAAACTTTTGTTTTTAAAAAGGTATGTTTAGAAAAGAATAAAAAAGTCAAATAAATAAAAACAATTTCCTATTAGTAACGGAATCACAATAGACTGATATGATGATAATATCTCAGAAAGAGCCAGAATTTAACTCAAAAAAGCACAAATGCTGATTTATTCAATAATACAAATATTTTCTATGAGTTTTTTTTTTACTCTATTTCTGCACATCATGAGATATTTACAGCTAAAATTCCACCTTTTTCATTTGAATAAAAATTGAAAGAGTGGAAAAATGTTCAGTTTGGAAGAAACTTTCTGATTTGAACAGATGACTAACCAGATATGTGGAGTGATTTTAATGTGGTGTTTTAATAGAAGGGGCTCAGTATTACATAACCCCCTTGTCTAAGAACAGAAATCACTCACGTTGCAACTTTTTCCAGAACCGGTGCCGGGCACAAAAGGAAAGTGTCCCTGACCACCAGAGGCCTCTCCACTGTAGAAACACAATCAGTTGTTGTAAAAATCATTTTATCTTTTTTTAACTCATGAAATCAGAAAAAGTCTAAGATTCGGAGAACAACTTTACTTCCAAATTTTCTTTCAGTTTTTAGAACTTTGAAAAATTTCCAGAAGTTCTGAGCATGAAAACAATTTTTTCCCTATTAAATTCCTGGACTTCCTCTTTTTATGGAAAGTGAAGAAAATGAGAGAAGGCTTGTGGTTTGTTTGTCCTGGCTGGGTTAGTGTCTAAGACAGCGCTCGTCCCTGATGAGGTCCACATTCCTGCGCAGACATCTGAGCAGAGCTGAGCTTTTCCCCAGCTGAACTGAAGCTGACCGCCAAAACAAACTGGCACAGTGACATCAGAGGCCACTCAGTGTGCAGGAGGATCATTGTTTACTTATTTTTGAATATACACTGCTCAAAAAAAATCATGGGAACACAGAAACAACACAATGTAACTCCCAAGTCAATCACACTTCTGAGAAATCAAACTGTCCACTTTGGAAGCAACACTGACGATCAATTTCCCCTGCTGTTGTGAAAATGGGATAGACAACAGGTAGAAATTATAGGCAATTAGCAAATATGACCATTAAAGGAGTAGTTCAACGGGTGGTGACCACAGACCACTTCTCAGTTTCTATGCTTTCTGGTTGATGTTTTGGTCACTTTAAAATTCTGGTGGCATGAGACGCAGGCTACAACCCACACAAGTGGCTCGGTTAGTGCAGCTCATCCAGGATGGCACAGCCTTGCGAGCTGTGGCAGGAATGTTTGCTGTGTCTGTCAGCGTAGTGTCCAAGGTATTGATGATATGGACTGGCCCGCCCATTCCCCAGACCTCAAACCAATTGAGCACATTTGGGACATCATGTCTCGCTCCAGCCACCAACGCCACATTGTACCACAGACTGTCCAGGAGTTGGCGGATGCTTTAGTCCAGGTTTGAGGAGATCCCTCAGGAGACCATCCGCCACCTCATCAGGAACATGCCCAAGTGTTTTAAGGAGGTCATGCAGGCTCGTGGAGGCGACACACACTACTGAGCCTCATTTAGACTTGTTTTAAGGACATTACATTAAAGTTAGATCAGCCTGTAGTGTGTTTTTCCCCTTTTTGAGTGTGACTCCAAATTCAGACCTCCATGGGTTGATATATTAGATTTTCATTGATAATTTGTGTTTGATTTTGTGGAAAGCACATTTAACTGTGTAAGGAACAAAGTATCTAATACGATTATTTCATTCATCCAGATGTAGGGCGTCTTATTTTGTGTTCCCTTTATTTTATTGAGCAGTGTATATACATACATTATATAATTAACTATTTTCTAACATACATTTACAAAAAACGTTCCAGAACACGTCACGTGTTTTCATCCACAGTTTTACTAAAATTACGAAACAGTGTTTTACCTTTTTTAACTTTCATCGGTTTAAACCAGTTATTAAAAGAGCACATGTGAAAGTGAATTTTCTAAATAAAATTTCTTGCAGTTTTATAATTTTATGTTGTAGACTGATAATAATCCTTGTTTTTACACAGATTATAAAACTCAGCTAATCTATTCGGTTTATTTGATTTATATAGCAACAAATCACAACAAGTCATTTCAAGGCAATTTACAAAATAAACATTTCAACTGAACTGACATGTTAGTGCAATGAGTTCAGTTCATTGTTCGAATGAGTTACATATTCCCATGTAAGGAAGCCCAGCAGATTGCACTGAGCCACTGACTTGTTGTGTCTGAGACTTTGTAGCGGTCCTCACACTAAGCAAGCATGTAGCGACAGTGGAGAGCAAACCTCCTCTTTAACCGGAAGAAACCTCCAACAGAACCTCAGAATGAGCAGCCACCCGCCACGGCTCACTGGGGTTTGAGAAGACTGTTTAGAAAATATCTTGGAATCTAAATACCACCATTACTTTGTGAGACCAATGACTGCAGAAAGTTTCCTAAAGATTTGCAACGCTGATGCTGAATCCGTGCATTGGAAACAATATTAAACATTAATGAAAACATAGAATTTTTTGTGTTAATGTTGACAAAATCTAACCTTTTTTCTACGTTGTTTTTAGATGCGATGGTGCTTGGGAGCATTTATTAAACAGTAAAATAAACAAAATATAAACAATAAGTTATGTAATGCAAATCCTGCAAAAGTAGATAAGAACAGATTTGTGTAATGTGTTTTCTTCTGTATCAACATTTCATGTGTGTGCAGCAAACTAAGAGTCGGTTACAGTCACAGGTATCTAATTGATATTAAGCTAATAATAGATCAGCGTTTAAGTGGCACATGAAGACAGAACTCACTGAAAGTGACCGTGTCATTGATGCGGAAGCTGCAGAGAACCTGCTGCTCATCTCTGGCATGAAGGAAACCGTTTCCTCTCACAACCACCTGGAAAGTTTCTGTAAAGAAAATAAACTGAATCTGCCTTAGAACAAAATCTCAGTCGCAATACATCTGTGTGCAGACAGAACAAGGTGGGTTCGTGTTTATTTACCTCCTTCACAAATACTGGAGGGCTCAACCGCCAGGATCTCTACACATGATCTCTTTAAGATCTAACAAACAAAAAGGTAATGACAATAATAAAATGAAACAAAAGTTCTGATTTTAACATTTTAGTTTTCATCTTTGTGCCTCATACCGAATCGATGACCCCTTGCAGAGCTTGAAATCCATCATTCACAGGGAAGACGTGGTCTTTGCTGTCAGCTATAGTGGAAAGCTGAAAATTAAAGGAGTTAAACAATTATTTCATACCCTACTTAAATGATCTAATCACGTGTCATTACTGTACACACCTGTGTTTCATTGAAGTCTTTCACTCCCACACAGTACACTGTAGCACCGAGCTGGCGAGCTCTGCTGGCCTGATCAACAAAGGATAAAATAAGGATAAATAATAAATCACAGTTAACAAATCAGTATTACTTCTGACTCATGTTGGAGACCATTGTAGTAGGAGGAGACCACATGCACCACCACCTGAGGAAAACGTTGGATTGTGATGGCAGACAAACACAAGGCTGGTTTTGGTGAGGTTTCTCTCACCTCTCTTTGTGCCCAATCAAACTGATTCTCTCTCAGCTCTCCATCGGTCAGTGCGATGACGACACTCGCTGTCCGGTATCCTAAAGGACAAAAAACGTGAACCCAAACAGCCAAGCATGTGTCATGATACACCTGTTTCTAAGAGCTCTATCTTGTCAGCAGGATTAGATCCTTCCTCAGAAACCTGAAGATCTAAATAATGGTGCAATCCAACTTACTCTGACTGTTTAGAGCTGCCAGATTTTTATTCTTTCTGATTTTATGAGTTTATTCAAACTACGTTTTTAGTGATCGGTTGTGACTGAAGGCTATTTGCTCACCGTGTCCTGTCCCGTAGTATATTTGCTCGCTGGCCTGAGGGGAAAGAGTTTGAGGCGTCGGTTTGAGGTTATAATTTTTAATTGGCCTTATTTAAAGAGTTTGCTGCCAGGCTGCTGGGCATGGTTGGCTTTTCCATTAACTCCACAGAAGACTCACTTTATGAAGCCCTTTGTCCATGAAGCTGTCTCCGCCTGGCTGCACCATGCGCAGCTCCTCCAGTCCGGCTCGAATCTGATCTCTGATCGGTAAACAAAGCCCATGGAGATGAATTGCTACACTGAAAATACAAGTTACATTTACAAAGACAGCTGTGTGTTTGTGTTTGAGCCACCTGTCTTCTGTCAGAGCCATAAGTGTCCGTCCTTCTGTGGAAAACACAATGAAGGACATCCGCAGCTGAGGACTAGAAAAAGAAAAAGAACCATTTAGAGCATTTTCTTTGTGTACTTGCTGACCTTCTGTGAGTGAGCTTACCTGATGAACTTGTGAGCGAGATGATCCACAAAGTAATATATCTCATTCCAGTAATGCTGCACACTGCCAGACCTGACAAAAACATTCAGAGGTTTCCACGTCTGACAGCTTCTTTGTTACAGAGACAGATGATGTTGGAGCTTCGCTGTTAGATGTTCTCTTTTTGGGGGATCTTAAGAATAAAAATGTAACTTTAAAGTTTAGCTTTTGGGCATTCTTATTTAGGGCTGCATTCTTGGCACCAAACCATTTGCCTCCAACACTGTAGACAATAATGGAGGTAAACACTGCAGGAGAGCTGTAAACGTTCCTATAGAGAACACTGGTTAAGGCCAAAAAGGAGGGTTAACTGTTTCACAACATAGTTTTTAATTATATTTATTTAAATAAAAAAGCAAAAATGTAAAAATAAATCAGCACAAAGTATATTTACATAACACTAAATTATTTGAATGAAATGAGCAGTTATAAAAAAATACCTTATAATTTCACCCCTTTTTAGAAAAGAAAACACATTCTAGATTTTAACTTTCAGATGTGCACAGAATCATTTTTAACCACAGTCGTTTTCTAATTTTCTGATTTCATCACAGTTTAATTATCCTTTACACATTACGCTTGATTTTATACGTTTTCTGAATATGAAAAGTGATCTTGTTTCTTTTATTTCCCTGTCAAGGCTATTCTCTAATCTTTTACAGAAATACTACATTCCTTCATTTTGGTTCTGAATCTAGGGTTTTTTAACCCTCCCACTGTCTTTATGGGTGACCCTGCGAGGAAAGTTGACCATTGAGCAGGATTCATGGTTTATCCCTTGAGGTCCACGTGGCAGGTGTGAGGTGGTGCTCAGTCCTCACCCCTGCCACATGGACCCAAGAGATAAACCAGGGGTGTCAAACTCAAATTCACACAGGGCCGAAATGAAACTCTGGGACGGAGTCGAGGGCCATACTTAATATTTTTTGAAAAAGTGACGGCAAATTTGCACATTTTCTTTATCAACATATATGCAATTTTGAACCTTTTAATTTGGAAACAAATTTATTTCTGCATTAACACTGAATGTGGAATAACCAAATTACACACGAGCAAGTCAGTTTTAAATAAAAGGCATCAGTGGTATTCATTACTTGTGGTATAATCAGCATTTTTAAAATCTATTCACGATTTATGTTTTCTTGTTGATTATTCATTTTTCTTAATATTTTATTCTCCTTTTTTCTCCTGTAATAAGTGTCATCGCTGCTGTGACGTCTAGCTTTCCCCACTGAGGAACAATAAAGGGATTTTCTATTCTATTCATCTATCTGCAGCCTTTCCACTTCCTGTTTCCTGTAGGTTAAATCTTTTCTCACGGAACAACAACAAAATAAAAATATCATTTCATCTTAAATGAAAATGCAACATCTCACCTGTTAACTTTCATGTTTTGGAGCAGAAAAAGAGCATAAAACCAACATATTTAAAGCTCAGTTTGCTCCACTGACCTACTGTGATGCTCACCTGTTCCAGCCAGATAACCTGCATCATGGGGTTGATCTGAGCTGAGGAGGAGACTCCTGTTGTTTTGTTCATCTTCATCATAATAATGACAACATTAGATGACAACAGGTGCTCACATGGGTTTGTGCTGATGAACATGTCAGAGCAGCTTGACCACGTTGTTGTGTGTCGGGGAGGAAACACAACGACAGCAGCCACAGAGCCGTGCTGGTTTGAGCGTGTCGCTGCTCGCTGGAGTTATATCAGCTCTGTCTGGACGTTAGCTGGAAAACGTTCTCTTTCAGTCGTGAACACATTTCTGAGCGGTTAAAATCTCAGTTTCTGGGCTTCAATGTCGGAAAATAGCTGAGTAAACTCAGCGCTGAGTGAGAGGAGTGTTTAGTTTGTCCGAGACAGCGGAGCTGCAGACACCGGCAGCAGACGCTGGAAAAAACACAAAGGAGGGGGCGCTTCGGCTCCACGCTAATGCCGCAAATCACCATGGGAGTTGTCGTCTTTGCGGTAAAATTGGCCAGCGGGTCAGTTTCAATATATTTTTTATATTTATCTCGCGGGCCACATAAAAATGCTCTGCGAGCCACATCTGGCCTGCGAGCCTTGTGTCTGACACATGTGGGATAAACCATCAACCCTGCTCAGTGGTCAACTTTCCTCGCAGGGTTACCCAATAGGACAGTGGGAGGGTTAAAGATATCAGTTCCTTTCAACACGTAACCACTCACCTCTTTTGAAACATTTTCTGAATATTAGTTGGTAAAGTATTTGTATTTTCTCTGTACATCGTTTGCCATATTTACCAATATATCATTGCCATATTTACCAATATATCAAGTCATAAAATTTCTGTATTTTATATTTGATGAATAAAGGATTAGATGGATCTCGGTAGTGACTGTTATTAATAATTATCAATGCTCTTTTTTGTAGGATAAACAAAGGTTGTGTATTGGTTTTACATATGTGGCATACTTAAATGTGCATTATGTAGAAATGAAGTAAAAATGAGACCCTGTGGTAAAATTTGGTTACTGCAACCACTTTAAACAACTCTGGAGCTTTTGGCCGGCAGTTTTAGCTCGCAGGAGACCTCACACTCACTGATGGTAAACAGTAGTTACTGTATGTCCATCCTTCCTTTACTTTAAAAGGAGAAAAACTGACAATGCAGCAGCCAGCTGGATATGAAACATGTTTCAGCTTAACCTTCCTTCAAAGTTACTGAAACATTAAACTTTTGAGGGGATTTTCTCACTATAAAATTTTCACTATATTCTTACATGCTGCACCTTTAATGATTTATGGGTTAGGGTTAGGGGTCAATTTAAGGGGTCAATTTGAGTATGGCACCATGTTAAAACTCCCGGATGTGAATTATTTTGACTAAACCCAGATGTATGACATAACTGCTTCAATATGAAAGAAAAAAACTACTTCTTGAGAATTGTTTCCACATTTATTACATTGATTTAACAAGTTGTTTTTTTAGTGTAACCAAGCACATATCATTATTGTTTAGTATAAGTGGATACATATGAACTTTTTTTCTTTTACTTTTGTAACTTTTTTTTTCTTTTACAAAATCTCTGCTTCCATTTGTTTGATGTCAAACCAAACCTAAGGGATCAAATGGTTCTGATGTGGCTTCCTCCTGGTCCAGATCTGCTGCCTTAAAACAAAACTCAAGTATTTCAAGCGGACAACCGTCAGTAATCAATTAATCAATCTTTGGGTCTAAAACCGCCCCCACCTCACTGCTCCTCTCCTCCCCCTCATGCTTTTTCACTCATCCAGCAGTGTGAGTGAGGAGACGAGCTGAAGACTTTGGGACATCTGGCTTTAATGGAGAAAGGGTTCTGCAGCCCAAAGCCCAGATTTGAGGCTGTGCCGATGTGAGCTGATCCAGTCAGTGAAGTACAGCTGCAGTTTGAGAACAGCAGTCCCTGCAGTGTACTTTATCATCTCAGATGATGCATGAGTGCATGAAGGAGTGACTGCATGAACATGCTTTCTGTTAGAAGTGTGTGGATGAAAACATGTGGCACGCGACGTGTTCTGGAGCTTCACATATTTATCATGACCATGCAATTTGACCCTGTCCAAAGTATTTAGCTGCCTGATTTTGTGTTTGATGAATAAAATGACACATTATTAGTTTTAATGCTTAAATAAAACAAACTAATAAATCAGGTCATTCGAGTTTAAGAATAACTTTTGATGGGAATTCTGTTTTATTTGAAATCTGAAGGTTTCAAACTGCAAAACACTTGAGGACATCATCTTTTCCAGATGTTTTTAACACTACTTCATATTTAATATTTTAGCTCAGATGCACCAACTGATTTTAAGATTTGACAGATTTAACCTCTCTAAATTGCAGCTCTACATTACAATGATTGTTCTTGTAATTGATTTCTTTTGTAGAGTACTCTTGAAAACTATCAGCAGCTCTGCTAAATATTGCACCAACAAACTCCAATAAAGTAGGCACCAAACTTTTAAAAGCTCTCTCATAAAAGCAGCATTACTCACTTGTCCAGAACAAAGTAGAGGTCAAATCCTCCGTAACACGATGACCCCGCTTCCCTTGTGTCATAAAGCTGTGCTGCTCCACCAGCCACTAGGATCGCCACCAGTATGCCCAGTTCCACAGAGAGCAGGGTCTGTCTGCACCATAACTGGGACATCACCCCAAATTTAACACAGCCAAGGTGAGGTGAAAAATAAGTATTATCCTGCTGGGATTTCCCCCTTAAAGCCTTCCAAGTCCTTTTTCTAAAAAGTGTTTAGACGGTGCATGGCCATCCTGTGACAAGTGAAGGGCTCCTCTCTGGATTAAAGTCCCATCTCTGTTGCACGTTTATATCAGCAGGGGAGGAGGGAGACCGGGACCGTCTGGCTCAAACTCAATGTAGCTACATGAGTTTGCACAATGATGCAAAACACACGAGTAAAAGTGATTGATTCATGGATTCTTTCATCTGGTGGTGACAATGAACCAACAGTTTTTGCAAAGCGTTTAAATTTTGGTTGTGTTTTCACTTTGTTTTCTTTGGTTCTGGAGAAGAGGATTCTGCAGCTTATCCATCAGTGCCACACAGTGGTAACACATGCAAATTGTTGTGCAGTAACAGTAAAGTGTCCTTTATTAAGTCTGAATTTAACATTTACCTCCAGTTACCCTGAATTTCTAGTTTTTGATCAGTGGGAGGAATCTAGATTACCCAGAAGAAATACACACATGCATGGGGAGAACATGCTAACTCTTAGGGGCGATTGTACGATCAGAGCACCCAGAGAGCAAGATTCAGTTCACAGTTTTGTACATTAAACATAATTTTATTCCCACCTGTGTAAAAGACAATCAAAGCATCAAATTAAGTTTTCTCTAACCGTCATGGTCTGCGTCTGCCCCCTCCTTTTTGTGTCTCCTGATGTGTCTCCATCCTCTCTAGTTTCCCTTCTGTGTCTCATAGCGCCCTCATGTGTCCTTTGTCTGCGTCTCTATATTGTGTCTTCTGTTTGTAGGCCTTTTTATCTTTCCCTCAGGTCCGGTGTTCAATTAGTTATCCTCCGTCCCTCCAGTTGCAGCTCCAGCCTCTTGTTCCCCAGCCCAGTTTATGAGTGTGTGAGTTATTTGTGTCTGTCTGTGTGTGTGTTAGTCCTTCCCGCAGCCTTTTAGTTTGGATTTGTAGTTTTAGGTTTATCTGTACTCCTTTGGTTCTGTTTCCCCATTTAGGTAATTATTGTCACCTGCCTTCCCTCCAGCCCTCACTCCACACACCTGCTTCCTGTTCCCTTAATTACTCCTCCCTGCTTATTTAAGCCCTGTCTTGTCTTTGTCTTGTGTCGGTCCATTGTTTGTAGTTCTGTCAGTTTTGTTTCTCTGTGTATAAACCAGTTTTTGGATTTCCAGATCTTTATCTGGTTTTTGGATTTTGGCTCACAGCCTTGGATGTACTTTGTTTTTGGCTCTCCCTTTAAATAAAGGATTTTACTTAACCTTCATCTCTGCCTCGTGTCATCCTGGGTACTGCATATTTGGGTCCTCCAACACCAAATCGTGACACTAACTATGTTTAGGTTTCTGCTGTTCGTGTAAGAATGGTCTGGTCCAGGTTTTAGGAGTCTAGGCATGTGTGAAGTGGGACAATATTTCGGCCCTGGCATTTGTATGTCGGGGTGGGGGGATCTCGTGAAAATTTTTCCGTCTCACCAGGTGTCAAAGCCGTAGGGCAGGGGGGTCTTGCAGAAATGTCTCTGTTTCGCTATGAGGGTGGGGGTGGACATGCCCACATTGGGTGGGCTGCCAGTTGAGGTTCACTGGTTTGGAGAATGAGCAGCTGAGTGATAATACAGGAAAAAAAATTCTGAAAATCAAGAAATTAGGTGATCTGAACTGGAATAAACCTTTCCTTAGTTATTTTGCTAACCTCTCCCAGTCATAATTGTGCATTCTAGCTCAAATGAAAATCCCAAACTGACATCAGGAGTGAGTTTGTGGAAGACTGCATGTATTTTATTGTTCCTGTAAAAATAGAAACAATTCATTTCAATTCAAAAATACTTTATTAATCCCAGAGGGAAATTGATTGCTGCAGAAGCTCAGAATAATAATAATCAAGTCGTCAAAGAGTTATTGTATATTACAGTGGCTGTTGGCAGGAAGGATCTCCAGTAGCAGTCAGTGTTGCAGCGAAACCTCCGACAACGGAAGAGTGTCTCCAGTCAGAGGCTTCTTCAGTTTCGCTGCAACACTGACCGCTACCGTAAGTCTTGCAGGGGAGGGAGCTCAAACGCTCCTGTTTGGGGACGTAGACGTCAGCTGGAAGACAGAATGGAAGAACACTGGAGCTTGGAGTTCTGATATTTGGACATCTTGCCTGATTGACTAACAGCAACTCGACTCTACCACTGACTCTGTTTCCTTGGCAACACTGATGTTATACCTCCACAAATAACACATGCCTGGAATAGTTCTGCTGTGTGGTGGAGATGCTAATGCTATCAGTTAGCTTTGAGACATTTTCGGATGCTAAAATAACATCTTCAAATATAATAAGAAAAAACACTCGTTTTGTAGTGAGCTTGGCCCTTAAATTTGTTTTTTCAAATTTGCAGGAAGTCTGTTATTTAATTATGTGTCAGATTCTCTAAAAGCTGAGGAGTCAGTGTTTCCACTTTGGGTGCTGGCTGCTCTGCATCCTGCAAGCATGCAGGCGTGACCTGGAAAGTCATATTAATGATTATCACTATTTTTCAAATCTAGTGGAACATTAAATAACAACTAATTTAGTTTAAAAAATTACACCTGATTTATTTTTAAAGAACTTATTACAATGCAATTATTCAGGGTTAAGTTTTCTGCACGATCCTTGGTGTGTGTGTGTGTGTGTGTGTGTGTGTGTGTGTGTGTGTGTGTGTGTGTGTGTGTGTGTGTGTGTGTGTGTGTGTGTGTGTGTGTGTGTGTGTGGTGGGTGGGTGGGGGTGGGGGGGGGGGGGGGGGGGTCAAGCAGTGCAGGTGAAGTACCTCCGAGCCCGTCTGGATGTGTGCGCTCCGCGTTCCAACCTGCGCCTCAGCGAATCGGCGCAGCTGCACGGAGACGTTGAGTTTATAAAAATCACACCGCTGCTGCAAGGAGCCTTTTTTATGGAGCCCTTGGCCAGTCCAACAATCGCTCATCGGCTTCCTGCTCAGTTTGTTTGATGAGGGGGAAAATGGACGCTCGGATTGCTCTGGTCCTGCTGTGCGCTATGAGCGGTTCGGCGGATCGTTTTGAGGCTGAGGAAGCACGCGTTAAACTCCAAGAGGATGTGATCGATTACAAGGATCCCTGCAAAGCTGGTAACGTGTATTTTCTTATTTGAAATGGTCTCCTTTTTGAATAAACAGCTGACATAAACATGCATATGGTGCTGTTCAGGAAATGGCACAAAAAAATACGCAGGAGCTTTTAACATAATATTACATTTGCAAAAACTGAAGAAATGAACAGAAGAACAACAGAAGTTTTTGTATGAAGTTATTTCTGATTATTTTTTGAAGTTGACATTTCAAAACACAGATAAATTTAAAAAATCTAACAAGAGAAAAAAATCACAGGACATTTTCATGTTTAATGTCACTTTAGTTGCAATTAAAAAGAGAAAAATACCTTGAATTTTCTTTCTTTTTATGGAAATGTACCTGCTTGAAAAAAAGGAGAAGGGGCATACCCAAGACACCCAATTTAAATAATGGGGGCAAAAAATTAAAATATGCTGTACAAAAAATATGCTAAAGTGTATAGAATCAAGTTCTCAGGGGTAAAAATGAAAAAGACTATTAAATAAATGCTTTTATTTTAAGGTGGTAAGTTAGGGGGTCAGAAATGTAATTTCTAATAAACTCTTTTTGCAGTAAAAACTAGAAAAAACGACATAAATAGATATGAGTTGAGGAAGGTTGTGTTCTCATTAAGTGTTCTTGCTTATTTAGCTTTAGTGTTTGCAGTTGTTTTTAGTAGGGCATTAAGGTTCAGTCACATTGGTTTTGTCTGAGCATTTTTATAATAAAGATCGATTTAACTTTTCTGAGTTGGAATCCTTCCCAGTGAAAATAAACAATGTTTTGTCCAGCATCTAATGGGCAAACAATCCACTTTTGCTTTGATGAAGGGGCCTGCAACAGGTTGGGTTTCCTTTTCTTTTTCTTTTTTTCCTCCTGACTTCTGAAACTTTGAAAGCACACGTCTCCTGCACCTCGAGGCAGTTGCCTGGAGACCGGAGGTCACCAGGGCCGTGCCAACACAGCCCCTCGCCTGGACGCCGTTGAAATCCCTCTGGCTGCAGGGCGTGGAGTGCACGCTGCAGGGGTGACAGTCATTTACAGTCAGTCTTTGCATGAGTGAATTTCCTTCAAAGGCACGCTACATCCTCTCATTTGTACTTTCAAAGGCAGTTACAGCGGGAGGAGGGATTTCAAGGAAACGGTTCCACCGAACTGCTCGCACAATGTGTTTGTTGGCCAAGATGTCTTCTAATCTTGTGAAACTATGAGACTTTACTGATCAGTGGCTGGTTTTGCGGTTTTACGAATATGTGCAACAGGCTGAAGGTCAGCCATCCCATCACTCAGCTGTCACAATCTTCTGTGTTGCTGTCATGGATTTTGTCCACAATTCTCCTGTCCTGTTCAAAGACCCAGCTTGCTTTAGACAACTAATGGAAATAGATGCACCACAGCTTAAAGGAGGAACGCAGGTGTTTCAAACAAGAGTAAAGTTATAACAAAAGCATGTAGTATTTTTACTTAGGAAAATGCAAAATAACCCAGATTCTTTGCCTTTTTTGGCTGAGTTTGGACTTTTGTTTGGAATTATTCGTATCTTAGACATTTGAAGTTAAACTCCACTCCACCTGTGAAGGTTTTGAGATTGACCCAAATATTCATTGTTCTAAAGTTTTCTGACTCAGTGTTTATGATTGTATGTTGAATAAACCCCTGAATGACTCAATATGAATTCAAATTATACCAAGTTCCTCTCTTCCATAAACATAGGTATTATCCAAGCACTGAAAAATATTTCCATTAAATTTTTTAAGAAAGCTAAAAGACATCCAGAAAAGCCCAAAAGAATCAGGACCTCAGGTCTCCTAAAGCTGATTCAAACTGAGGAGAAGAGTCTTAGAGAGAGACGAAGCCACTTCTCCAAGAATGGTGTCAGTTGTATCTGATGTATCACCTCTCTTTGGTCATATAGGGAAAGTAATTTGCTGGAGAAGATAAGGTAAACTCTACCTGAAACCATTTATGTGTGTGGTTTCTTCTCAGTCAGAAAGGAGTGAGGTCACTCACAGCTTAGCCTCAGAACACAGCTTTGAAAAAAGTATGGTACTAAAACATCCTCCCTGAGGAACTCCTCCCAGCAACAGTTTAGTGATGAACAATACATTTTCAAGATTGATGAGGCATCTCGTTGTAGGGCTAAAATGAAAATCAAGAGCCTCAGGAAAAATTTTATTCCCCAGGAAATTTCCCCAGACTTTATTTCCTGTTGAAATTAAGGCCAAGAAACAGATTACCCGGGTGAGTTGCAGAGGTCTCAAAACACATTGGATGTAAATATCAATGAAAACCTTTGAAATTCTTGCAAACATAGTATACTCAGAACCAGCTAACAAAAAATCTTAATATGCTGAAGCAGAAAATAAGCTCCTGTATTAGTCTCAAAGCTTTGGGCCATAATAATAATAATAATAATAATAATAATAATAATAACATTATTGGGGATACTACCCCCATGACCTGGACCTGGACAAGCATGGAAATAGATGGACAACATAACATTATTATTATTATTATTATTATTATTATTATTATTATTATTATTATTATTATTATTATTATTATTATTATTATAACAATAATAATAAACATCATCATATATCTGACACAGATTTACCCTTGAACAATATGTGCTAGTCTTGTGCAAATTGTTGTCATGTTCAGTTTTGTAGTTATTCTGCTGGGTTCTGACTTTTATTACTTTTTACTGATGTTTCTTAATGTTCCTCGTGTTTTTCCATTAATCATCTGTTGGTTAAGTCAGCTGGAGCTGAGCGGACTGAGCTTATGTTCCTCTCTCTGCACAGCCGCCTTTCTAGGAGACATTGCTCTGGATGAAGAAGATCTTCGCTTGTTTAAAGAGGCATACAGCAAGAATGAAGAGAAGCAGTCTGACAACACAAACTCAGGTGTTTTTCTGCAGGAATAAACATCACATTTCCATTAAAGCAGTGTTCTCATGCTGACTGTTTCATAAAACTGTCTGTGAAACGCTCATGTGCTCTCTTCAGCTGATAATTCCACCTCCAGCAAAAGCATCCAGAGAACAGCAGACAGCCAGAGTGTTCCCCGTCAGAAGAGAGCAGCCACCTCCAGGCCAGAGCGGGTGTGGCCGGATGGCATCATCCCATATGTGATCAGTGGGAATTTTAGTGGTGAGTTCGGATAAAGAAGTAGCATTCCCATTTGCTCCAAAACAGTCAAAACCAAAATTTAGAGTTCCTTTTCAGGCAGCCAGAGAGCCATATTTCGTCAGGCCATGCGGCACTGGGAGAAACACACCTGTGTGACTTTTACAGAGAGAACAAACGAGGAGAGCTACATTGTTTTTACCTACAGGCCTTGTGGGTGAGTTAAAACACACCACTGTCCGTTTGTCCATCTATTTCCATGCTTGTCCAGGTCCAGATCATGGGGGTAGTATCCCCAGCAGAGAGGCTCATCAGATCATCCTCTCTCCAACAACAGCTCAACAGGTGGGATCCCAAGGCGTACCCTGGACAACGTGGCAGAGGAGTTGAGTGTTTGTCCCACTACCAGAGGTTTGCAGGTTTGCGACCTGCTCAATCTGTTGCAGTAGTGTCCTTGAGCTGCTGGTGGTGATCTGAAGCAACCTCTTGAAGGCCAGTCCACATCTGGTTGTGTTGTAAAACACTTTGTGGGGTTCTAGGACTCTAGAAGGCACTATATAAATACCGGCCATTTACCATTTACAGTTAAATCCCTCCAGCCTGTCCTTGGTCCCCTGTGATGCATCCTTGATGTGTCCTGACTAAATACCTGCACCACCTCAGCTGGCTCCTCTCCATGTGGAAGAGCAGCAGCTATACTCTGAGCCTCTACCAGAAGTCAGAGCTCCTTACTCTGTCTTTTAGGCTGAGCCACGATATTATTCTTGTGGTCAATACTCGACGCTCATGACCATAGATGAGGGTTGAGTCGAGACTTGACAGGTAAGTTGAGGGCTTTGCTTTCTGGCTTAGCTCCCTCTTCACCACAACAGACCGATTTCTTGTCCACATCGATGCAGACAGTGCCCTGACCTGCCTGTGAATCTCCCGCTTTCTCCTTCCCTTGCATGTGGAGAAAACTCTAAGACTCCTCCACTTAAGGTAGAAGCTCTCCTCCGACCTGGAGTTGGCAATCCACTGTTTTCCACTCCAGAACCATGGCCACCAGTATTGCTCATCCCAGCCACTTCACGCTCAGCTGCAAACTTCCCCAGCAAGAGTTGAAGGTCACAGCTTAATGGAGCTAAGAGGACTACGTCCAAAAAAGTAAAGATGAGGTTCTCCTGTCACCAAACCTAACACCCTCCACTTCACGGCTGAGCTTAGAAATTCTGTCCTTAAAGTTGTTGAACAGAACCGGAGCCAAAGGGCAGCCCTGGTGGAGTCCGACTCTTCCCGGGAACAGGTCCAACTTACCGCCCTTACCCCTACTGCACACTGTGGCACGGCACAGAACGGCAGCGAAAAGGTTTAACTCGTGACAATCGCTGCATTGCAGTGCACACCAGGAGCATCTCAGCAGTGAGGCGGCTTCTCCGCCATGCTCTTTGCTTAACTCGCGAGATCACAAATTCCCTCGAGTTTATGTCATACGCCATTAAACCAGAAAGAAAGCAATCACATTTCATGTCAGATATGAGGTTGTGGCTCTCCACTGCCAGGATTAAAGCCATGAAAAACACAACGCTGCACTTCTGGAATGATGCAGGGAGTAAATGAGCCATTAGGTCACTTGTATTGACGTAATCTACATAGATATGAAATCACATTACAGCAATAGACTTCTATTTTGAAAATTACTGGGGGTTTTACTCTGAAACCGTGTGTGATTTCCTGTAGCCGTATGCTAACTGCGGGAAATTTTGCATCCCAGAAGCGGCTCACGACAAAAATAGAACCTGATCCTATCTGTAGTGGTGTGGTGCGGCTCAGCGTGCCGCTTCTGGGACGCGCCTGAAAATTTGCAGCTGGTTAGAATCACCCCATAGACTCTAATGGATTCTATTTGAAACAGTGATGCTCCGCTGCCGTTCTCACCGCTGATGCTTCCAGTGTGCAGTAGACTGTAGACTAAACTTAGCAGGATGCTGTGAGGCTTGAAGAAGAGCAAAAAAAAATAAATCACCTTTTTCTAACTATTTGTTTTAAACATAAACTAAATCTCTCTCAGTTCACTTGAAAGTGATAAGTGATGGAAGAATTATGGATTTGGGCTTTTTGTGTTAAAAATCATACATTTTGTTTTTCCAGGGTTTAAAACTAGTACAGGTTACAAAAAGTCAAATGGACAGAATTAAATGATTGCCGTAGCTCAGAAAGGACCTGATGAGGTGAAGATGCAGCTGAGAACATCACAGTGTCGTTGGCATAAAATTAAAATCCATGTTTGACATTCCTCAGCCCAGATTATTGGCGGATAGAATAAACCGGAGTGGCCTCAGAACTGATCCCTGAGGACCACCTTTAGTTACATGAAGGAAACTGGAAGTGATGTTATCTGCCTTCACACACTCAAGCCTCTAAGACTATGGAGCCAAAGGCTAAATATGCTTCTAGAAGACAGCTTTTGAGAACAAAGGGTGGTTACTGTATACATACAGAAGTAATATTTGTCAGTTTTTTCTAAGTATATAATTTTTTTCCCACCCCACAGCTGCTGCTCCTACGTGGGGAGGAGAGGCGGTGGGCCCCAGGCCATCTCCATCGGGAAGAACTGTGATAAGTTCGGCATCGTGGTTCATGAACTGGGCCACGTGGTCGGCTTCTGGCACGAACACACACGTCCAGACCGCGATGAGCACGTTGACATCATTAGAGACAACATCCAGCCAGGTACTTTTGCAAAGCTGTTTTCTGAGGAGGTCTCTGTTTACTGATGCTGCAGATGTTTTTCCCTCTGACCTCCTGGGCTCCAAAAGGACAAGAGTACAACTTCCTGAAGATGGAGCCGGGCGAGGTGGACTCCCTGGGAGAGGTGTACGACTTCGGCAGCATTATGCATTATGCAAGGAACACATTCTCCAGGTCAGTGTGTGGTCCTGTCTATTACTTTTTATATCTGATAAACATCTCACTTGTTTGTCCAAACCTGGTTTTATTGTTACATAAATTGTTTCACACTTGTTCCCTTTTTTATTTCTGTCTTGTGCATGTTGTTTACCCCTTTGCCTCTCTCTTTGCTTTGGGGCTCTTTTTATACCCAGAACTGTTTTGCAGGTCTGGGTCAGGGAAGCGCGCCAAGCTAAATAAAGGCCGAGCAGTTGGGTCTTTGTTGAATAATTTGGGCTGGAGTGGCCCGTTTTTTCCCCTCTGGCATTCAGGAGCGGGCTCCACTGAACCGGCTGGCACCGGCCAGAGGCCCCATTTACAGCGCTCTGTTTGCACATGCCTGTCATTTGCAGGTTCATCACCATGGTAACCGTGTAAGAGAGGGAGCTCAGAACACAGGGGGAGATTAATAAAAGAATCGAAATGTTGATAGTGAACAACTCTGAACTCTCTCTCTTTTCACTGCCAAATATCATGCTTTTATTTTGAAAGGTTTGGTAATATGAAGCCCTATTGGTGTGTTTATTCCTTAAAAAGTTTTTTTTTAATAATTATGTTCACATTTGTGATTTGTCTGAAACAGAAGCATCTTCTTAGACACAATCTTGCCCCGTTATGATGTTAACGGGGTCAGACCATCCATTGGACAGAGGACCAGGCTCAGCAAAGGGGACATCGCTCAAGCCCAAAAACTCTACAAATGTGCAAGTAAAACCATTTTAATCTTAATTTAATTAATAGGTTATAGGTCAAAATAGCCCATTCATTTAATGTTTTTGTGTGTGTTTGTGTAAAAGGATGCGGGGAAAGCCTGCAGGAAAGCGCGGGGAACTTCTCGTCTCCGGGTTTCCCTAGCGGTTACTCGGCCTACACACACTGTGTTTGGAGAATCTCTGTCACTCCAGGAGAAAAGGTGACGAATACTGGCAAACACCTGAAGGGATGTTTGGGTACTTATGAAGTAGAGTTCATGTCCAAATTGGCTTACACCAATTTGAATAGCTATTGTTTAATTAAAAAATAATTATTATTGAGAATCTGTATTTTACTTGTTACTCTTATAATAAGATCAATCACTCTTAGTTTTGCATACTTGCGGAACATGAAAATAGTCTTCTACCCCTATTTCTTAAATTTGCCCCCCCCCCCCCCCCCCCCCCACTAGGAAAACGCTCGGGTCAGGAAAAGCCTCCCAGATCTATGTCAAACTGTTGATAAGCATTCATGGACTCACTTACCTTGGCTCAAGGTGGGGAAGGCTGTTGATGGTTTAACAACCAGGAAAGAGCAGAGCAGGTCTGAACTAGTAGAAGCTAACCGTTAGCATTAGCACCTCCACAACATGGTAGAACTCCTTCAGGCTTGTGTTATTTGTGGGGGTAAAACATTGTGTTGCTGTAAGACTGAAAGACTCCACATCCTGTTGTCTTCTGCTCCTCTCTCCCCCAGCTAACTTATTCTTCCTGAAACAGGAGCACCAGAGCTCAAGGCATTCATTTACACTAAAGACCTCTGCAAATGTGTTGAAAATCTGAGTGAACTTGGTCTTTAAAATAAAACACCATTCATATGAACTCCTGTGAAATGTGTTTGAAGTGGCTGGTTAGCTCATCAGTCCCTTAGGTTGTTAGCTTTATTTCTCTAAACTGAGGCTGTTCAGGAAGCTAACAGTAAAACTCAATATTAAAAAAATATATATCAAGAGATTTGATTCAGTTCAACTATTTAAAATAAGAATAATTTTACATACTCAGCTGTTATTCGTCATCAAAATATTTGATCTAAACCAATAAAGTACAAAATGTCTCTTGTGTGTTTCAGATTGTCCTTAACTTTACCTCCATGGACCTGTTCAGGAGTCATTTGTGCTGGTACGACCACTTGGAGGTCCGAGATGGCTTCTGGAGGAAAGCTCCTCTTAAAGGTTGGGCGATGCCTGTTTTATGTATTCAGTATTTACTCTAAATCAAATAAAAGTCATTCATTCATTCATTCGTTTGTTCATTCGTTCGTTCATTCATTCTTTTGGTACAAATCACTGGAGTATTCAGAGTTGCTGTCTTTTTATTTCTAGGCCGTTTTTGTGGGGACACACTCCCGGATCCAATCATCTCTACGGACAGTCGACTTTGGGTTGAATTCAGAAGCAGCAGCAGCTGGCTGGGAAAAGGCTTCTCGGCTGTTTATGAAGGCACAATTTAAATTTTATTCTGTCTTAAAAAAATGTATTGTTATTTGTCCTCATGATCCAAAAATGTAACAAAGTAAAGGTTGGTATAAAACAAAATATGTACTAAAATTGATGAATTATGCAAGATTTTATAACCAGTAGCTGAGCAACATGATTGGTATGTTGTAGTTGTGAAGAAAAAGATCAGGAGGGTCGTTTCGCTGAACATCAAAAGGTTTTATAAACAATCTACGGAAGAGAGTTAGGGCCACTGAAAAGAAAAAAGAGAATTCTGACATCAAAGTGACTTTTTTCTCAGAATTCTGACTTTTTTTTCCCTCAGGATTATTAAAGTTAGAAATCTGAGAAAAAAGTCAGATTTCTGACTTCAATTTCAGAATTCTAACTTTAATAATCCTGAGAAAAATATGTCAGAATTCTGACAAAAAACTGCAGAAGAGGATTAAGGTCCACTGAAAAGAAAAAAAAAGTAAAGAAAGAGAATTCTTACTTTTTTCTCAGAATTCTGACGTTTTTCTTCAAGTCAGATCCAAAAAGCAGAATATACTCTGGGGTACATGTATTTCAAATTAGAAAAATATTTATTCTTTACCTCCACAAGTCCTGCAGAAACTGGTCACGTTTTTGGTCCAAAGTTTTAGCGTTTAGGCTGCCCCCTGCTGGGCAACAGGGCACAACATAACCCTTAGGCAAGGCAGCTTTATTTGTAAAGCACATTTCATACACAGAGACAATTCCATGTGCTTTCCAGGAGCAAGAACAGTAAAATCAGCATAACCGCATAATTAAAATACACAAATTAATTTTGATTCATTAAACACACAAACTAAATTCAGATCAGAGAAAAACAAAGCAGTTTCAGCGCAGAAGGTGCATCATAAGAAACATTCATTCATAGGCTGATGAATGCATGAAAGTTTTCAATTTTGATTGTCGTCGTCGTCTTCCTCCAGTTATCCGGGTCCGGGTTGCGGGGGCAGCATCCCAACATCAATTTTGATGTTAAAGTAAATAGAGTTAAAGTACACGTGAAGCCTTATTTTAAAGAAAATACCTTCATAGAGTCGTGTCACCTTTGTCCACTTTGCTATACTTTAATCAATCTTTGCTGCACGTTTCACATTTTACTGAAAATAATATTTTCATTAATTCTTAAATATACATATATTTTTACATTATGGGCTAAACCTACTAAATTACTTGAAAATTCCAAAAAGGCTCCTTACAAAAAGTTTTTCAACATGATGCTATAGCAACATTTTGTTGTATGAGGTCTCTAATCCTTTGCTTCTTCGTTCGACCTACATAGAAAAAGTCTGTGAATGAAACAAACTAAAATCAGGATCTGACTTTCTCACAGCTATTTGTGGTGGAGAGCTGAAGAAGGACAGCGGTCAGATCCAGTCTCCTAATTATCCTGATGATTATCAGTCCAACAAAGTGTGTGTGTGGCGGATCACAGTGGCAGAGGGGTTCCAGGTCGGCCTCTCCTTTCAGTCATTTGAGGTAAAAATCACTTAGCAGAGAGAAATCTTTTTATCACAGACTGAGCATCCATCCATCCTCTTCTGCTTATCGGGAGTGGGGTTGCGGGGGCAGCAACCTGAGCATGGAGGCCCAGACTTCCCTCTCCCCCACTTGGGCCAGCTCCTCCGGGGGAATCCCAAGGTGTTCCCTGCCAGCCAAGAGACACAGTCCCTCCAGCGACAGACTGAGCATTTCACTAGTAAAATGCACCTTGTTTCATCAGGCAAGCAAAAATACTGAATTAATGTTGTTCCTGCAGACTGAGAAGCATGACATCTGTACCTACGACTATGTGGAGGTGAGGGATGGCAGCTCAGAGAGCAGCCCGTTACTCGGCCGTTTCTGTGGCTACGAAAAACCAGAAAACATCAAAAGTAGCTCCAACCAGCTCTGGCTCAAGTTTGCGTCTGATGGGTCGGTCAACAAAGCTGGGTTTGCAGCCAGCTTTTTAAAAGGTCTGTGTTGTTTCAGAGACAAACGTTCCAGTTTTTACATGTGTTTGTCAGCCATCCAGTGATTTGAAGTTTTCTTTGGCTAGAGATGGACGAGTGCTCCAGTCCAGAGAAGGGTCAGTGTGAGCAGCGCTGTGTGAACACGCTAGGCAGCTACAGATGTGCATGTGACCCTGGGTATGAGCTGGCAGCCAACCGACGCAGCTGTGAGGGTGAGTAGACAAAAAGTTTTTAACACGGCAAAGGTCCATCCATCCCGTCATTTGGGATCATCTTTGCCTTTAGAAAGAGCTGTTTGTTACAGGAGCCGGTGGGCTTCTCTAGGAAAGGTCATTAGGTTAAATGTACAGTCTATGGGTTAAATGAAAGCTGCAAGGAGGGAAATCCTCTCGTACCACAAGAGGGCAGTGTTGTCCTGCTGCAAAGTAACCCTTTTTAGATTCAGTATTCCGTTTTTCCTCCAGTAATAACTCTAACATGGATTACTTTGCTGTTTGAGTACCAAGATTTTCTATTACAGGAAGTTGATTGTTCATTAATCCAAGCCTTTTGGGGATGCCGTTTCTCATATTGAGTAATTGTCTTTTAATTAATGGTGAATCTACTGAGTGTGAGTCATCACTGAGAAAACATTTTTGTGGTTCTTCCCTCCAGCAGCTGCTTGTGGCGGCTTCATCGCCAGTCTGAACGGCTCCCTCACCACGCCCGGCTGGCCCAACGAGTACCCCCACAACAAGAACTGTGTGTGGCAGCTGGTGGCCCCTGCTCAGTACCGGATCACCCTGGTGTTTGACGGCTTTGAAACCGAGGGCAACGACGTACGCTGCCGCCCACTGATGTGTCGGTTTAGTCTGGTGTTCCCTGGTTGGGTCTGAGTGTTTCTGTGTGTCTCCAATCAGGTGTGTAAATACGACTATGTGGAAGTACGTAGCGGGCTGAGCTCAGACTCAAAGCTTCAAGGGAAATTCTGTGGCTCAGAGAAACCCGACGTCATCACCTCGCTCCAAAACAACATGAGGATTGAGTTTAAATCGGACAACACTGTGTCCAAAAAGGGCTTCAAGGCTCACTTCTTCTCTGGTAAATATCACACAGTATTTGTGCTATCAGGCAGATTGTCACCTAAAGTCTCCTATATTGTATTTTTATTCCTGAGAATATTCAAAAATGACTGTTTAAGACAAAGAAAATAAAAACAATCAACCCAACAAATTAAAGTTTTTTTTTATAAGACATGTTTCAGATTCAAGCAGATTTAGCAATCATTTTTCAACAAAAAACATCAGTCTTTGTACTTTCTATCAATATTTAGTGTGCAAACCTCATTTTTGAACAGATAAAATAAAAATATTTAAATTATAAATTGGCTTTGTGCTTTTAAATACAAAAAAATAACCTGAGAAAGTTATTCTCAGCCTTTTAATTTTACTAAAAAGAAGAATCAGTGTTTTTACAGTTGTTTTTTAATGCTAAAGTTGCAGTGATTTGTATTAGAAAAATATGTTGTTGTTTTGTTGCCATAATTAGTCACTCGACTCATTTTTGCTTTACTAATAAGGATGTTTAAACATCCTCAATATGATGTGAGGTATAAATAAATAAATAAACTAGCAGTACACTAATTAAGATCCATTAGGTTGGGACTTTGTTGGTTTTCTCTTATTAGTGTGGAAGCTCAAAACGGAAACGGATGAACCTCTTTAACCCGACATACCCGATACCGTCGGGTTAAAGAGGTTAAAAGTCCTTGACTGTCTCCACAGATGTGGACGAGTGCTCCAAATCTAACGGTGGCTGCCAGCACGAGTGTGTGAACACGTTTGGGAGCTACAGCTGTCAGTGTCGCAGTGGCTTCATGCTGCATGACAATAAACACGACTGCAAGGAAGGTAAATGGTACAGTATGCCCGCTGAACTTTGACTTGTAGAGTCGGGTTAAAGGGGACTTATAAAATTCACCTTCTGCATCCATTTGTGCTGCCATGTGGGTCTCTACTGCTTCTGTAAACGCTCCAAATGTAGGAAAAATCCATCCATCAGTTTTCTGTCAGTGTTTGGTTTGAGGAATTATGTGCCTAAAACAAGGCATTTAACCCTCTGGAGGCAGGCGTTGCAAATTTGCAACGTTAAAACCTACCTGGTTACTCCACATACGTATTTCATGAGCATTTTTTAACTCAGAAGTACCCCTGAAGGACTTAGTTGTTCGTCCTTTTATCAAAACTTACTTTGAGCCAGAGAGGGTTAAAACGTTCCTTTTTGTGATGTCACAATCATAGAAATTAGAGTAGAACAACCTTTCACGTGCAAGAGAGAGCTTGTTGGAGGAGCAGCCGCTCTACTCAGAATCCCTCCCAGATATTAGAGCTTCTCAGTCTATAAAAGCCTGGGTGGGCGTGGCAAACTCCATCTTGCTTTCTTAAAGAGAGACCCTGAGACAACTCATTCTGGAAGGTACTAAAAATACAAAGACTAAAACTGCTGAAACTGCTTCATGTGAAATGAGATTTTGTACAAAGAACTTAATTAAAATGTTTTATGTCAAACACTGATTTATAATAACTTAAGAAAAAGGTCATAATGTGTCCTCTTGATATTCAGCCTTCATGTTAATGCAGAGCAGGGCGAGGCTGTGCTAAAATAATTACTATGGTAAATGGCCTGTATTTGTACAGTGCTTTCTTAGGGTTCTACAACCCCCCAAGGAACTTTCACAACACAATCAGTCATCCACCCATTCACACACACATTCACACGCTCGTGATGATGAGCTACGATGTAACCACAGCTGCACCGGGACGCACTGACAGAGTCGAGGCTGCCATACGCAGGCGCCACCGGTCCCTCCCACCACCAGCAGGCAAGGTGGGCTAAGTGTCTTGCCCAAAGACACAACTGAAGCATTCTCTGGTCAGAGCCAGGATCAAACCTACAACCTTCTGATAACTGGACAGCCCGCTCTACCTCCTGAGCTACTGCTGCACTACTCATATTACTGATCTTGTTTAGGGCTTCATGACTTCTGCTGTATGGAAAACACAAACTGCAGAATGAAAGTGGAACGTTGTGGAATCTTTTAATGTCCAAATGTGATTTAACAAATGTGGCACTTCCCTAAAAATGCATGTGCTTTTTTTTACACTTTAAAATAACAGAGAGGACAGGTGAGCTGAGGGGAAGAGCTGTGCTGCAGGAATCCAGCAGTTGCACATTTATCTTTCTGCACATTTACAGCAGAATAACAGAAAAGGAAAAAAATTTTAAGGGCATTTTGTTGGAATGACCCAAACCACAAGAAAATAGTTGATAACTTGACCCACAGGAATCATTACAAACAAACTAGCTAATATTAAACATATGTGAGTTTTTGTTAATGGTTTTTCACTATAATAGCAAAAAGTGATGCTTGTTTCAGTGAAGCAGAAATATACACGGCAGAACTTCTGGTGAAAAAGTTTTTAACAAAATGACAAAAAGGAAGAACTGCTGCTACCTGAGAACCATCATCAGTCTTTTTGTTTTGCAAACTGGATTCTGTTCTGATAAAATAAACAACAGGCAGATTTTTGACCACTTTAATGACGCGTTTTACTGCTCTCCTGACTTTTTTTTAGCTGTATTTTTGTTAAAGTTTGTGAATATTCATAGAAACTTTGGTAGCGTTCCAATGAATTGCTGAAATATTGTTTAACCTTTTATATAACAAGATACTTTAAAAGTGAAAACATGTGGACATTGTTTGAGGCATTGTTGTGTAATTGTGTTTATCCTTTATTTCCATAATGGAGCTTGAATGGCTGCTTGCGGAAATTTTCCCTGTAGGCTTGGAAATGATGTCATTCAGCTCCTATTGTCTTCCCCTGATCTTGTGTTTCCCCTCAGCTGGATGTGATCATTCTGTAAACAGCGTCTCCGGCACCATCAGCAGCCCTAACTGGCCTGATAAATACCCCAGTAAGAAAGCCTGTACTTGGTCTCTGTCCACGTCGCCGGGTCATCGAATCAAACTCGTACGTCACCAACATTTTAAAGCACTTGCACAACATTTGCATCTGTTTGAGTTTGGCTCTGAACAACCTTCAGGTTTTTAACGAGGTCGACATGGAGGCTCATCTGGAGTGTGCTTATGACCATTTGGAGATCTTTGATGGGAACGACATTCGTGCACCAACTTTGGGGCGTTTTTGCGGCTCCAGAAAGCCGTCTCCTGTTGTCTCCAGCAGCAACAGCATGTTCCTCCGCTTTTTCTCCGATAACTCGGTGCAGAAGAGAGGGTTTGAGGCTTCATACAGAGCAGGTAGGCAAGAAAAATGGAATATAATATGTTGAAGTGTGGAAAATACTGGTGCTGCTGGTCACGTCAGATGAGTGGATGCACCAAGTTACGACAAAGACTTCAGAGACACTTCCTTGAAATTCAGAATAATGTATTTTCTGCAGACTCGTCACAAATAACCTCTTTTAGGCAAATCTAAATTCCTCTCTTAGAGGTCAGTATTTCTAGTTTACCATAAGCACACACACATAAGGGCAGTAACCACAACGAGTCCCTTAGTCATTTTTATCCTATGTCCCAAAACTCCTCGTGCAGAAACCTGAATCCTCACCCACTAGGAGTGCATCCAACTCCCTTTTCCCAGGCCTGATGGTGAGAAGTCCTCATCAATTAGAAGAAACAACTTTTTAATTGAACGTAACGCTGTCCTGCCTGTGGGCAGAAGACGATTGTGATGATACACATCAGGAGAATCACTAAATGTGACATTTGAAGAGTTTTGGGTCGAATTTTTAAACCTGCATTCTTTCCTCACTTTTACAAGCTGCTCCACTCGAGCCTCTAATTTTGTGGCTGTGACTTCCCAGAATGTGGAGGAAACCTTAAAGCCGAGGTCAAGACGAAAGAGCTGTACTCTCATGCTCAGTTTGGAGATAACAACTACCCCGGGGGCTCCGACTGTCTGTGGGTGGTCACCGCTGAGAAGGGGTATGGAGTGGAGATGATCTTCCAAGTGTTTGACACCGAAGAGGAGGCAGACTGCGGGTACGATTACGTGGAGCTGTACGATGGCGCCGATGTCAAGTCTCCAAGGCTGGGACGGTACTGTGGATCAGGGGTAGGGCTTTTCATTCTCTCAACTTTGTGCATCAAATTCGCTTGAAAATTCACCCATCACTTATCTGCTTTTTATCCTTCAGACTCCAGAGGATGTCTACTCAGCCGGAGACGCCATTACTTTGAAGTTTCACTCAGACGACAGCATCAGTAAAAAGGGTTTTCACGCACGCTACACCAGCACCAAGTTCCAGGACACGTTACACACAAGCGACTGACTTGCAGATGCTAATGTTTTGAGGGTCACGCCTGTTTCCAGGCGAGGAGTAAATGCTTGGGTTGGTACCACAGAAACCAACCCAGCATACTTCACATTTAGATCCTGAAAAAGAGACGTGTCCTCATTTTATAGCTTTAGTTCACAACGAATTGAGCAAATAATTCAAGTAGATTCAGTCATGTTATAAAAACAGTATTAAGGTATAAAATGTATATTTTGAAATATAGCTTGCATGTATTTTTGTGTGATTTGAGTGGAATAAATGATCAACTAGAGAAATATGATGGATTTTAAACTTACTGATGGACAAATACCAATAAACTTAATTTAACTGGATTCATCTGGTTTGTTTTTATTGGTTTTTCTTTGTTCTTATTAGTTCCTAGAAAGTGCCGCCTAGTTTCAAGAATACAGAGGATTGTTACAGTGGGATGCAAAAGTTTAGGAAACATTATTCATTTTCAGGATTTTCCTGTATAAATCGTTGGTTGTTTGGATAAAAATATTCATTCAGCAGGTTAATATATCATATATGAGACACACAGTGATATTTGTGAGGTGAAACTAAGTTTATAGGATTTTCAGAACGTGTGCAATAATTGTTTTAACAAAATTAGGCAAGTGTATAAATTTGGGCACCACAAAAATAAATTAGCTCAATATTTAGTCGATCCTCCTTTTGCAGAAACAAAAGCCTTTGAACTCGTCATGTAGCTTCCAATTAGAGTCTGGATTGTGGATGAAGGTATGTTGGATCATTCTTCTTTACTAAAAATCTCTAGTTTATTCAGGTTTGATGGCTTCCGAGCATGGACAGCTCTCTTGAACTCACACCACAGATTTTCAGTAATATTCAGGTCTGGGGACTGAGATGTGTCTCCTACATGATATATTTGAGTGACATTTTTTAACATAACCAATGGTTTATAAAGACGAATCATGATTAACAAGGCTGCCCAAACTTGTGCATCCCACTGTATATTCAAACTATTAGATCAGATCTTGGCATTTGCACATCATTAATTCATGTGTTTCATCGCTGATTCAGTTGCGTCGAAAGCATCTGTGAATTTGCAGCCACCCATATGTACGGTCCCATGAACAGGTATTTGTTCTCTCAGAGCCTTTCTTTTTTTCCACTTAGATATTTCTGATCAGCTAATAAATTTCAAAGATAATCTAAGTTTAAAAAGGCCATTTTTCAAGTTTAGTAATGTCAATTATCTATCAAACCCAATCTGGTCCATAGTAGTCGGCCCCTGCTCTTAATAGCTGGTTAAAACATTCTTGTTGCTGTTCATCCATCCATTTTCATTATCTTGTTCTTATGGGAGCAGCAGCTCTAGTAGAGGCCCAAACCATCCTCTTCCCAACAACTTCCACCAGCTCTATTGGTGGGACCCCAAGATGTTTCCTGGCAAACATTGGGACAATGTGTCCTCGGTCAACCTGCAGGATTCCTGCTGGTTGGACATGCCTGAAACACCTCCCCTGGGAGGCGCTGAACCAGTGTTGCCAGATCCAAAATCCCACAATATCGTACAGAGAGGCTTAAATTATCGTTTTTCAGTACAAATTATCGTACATTATAAATTTGATAATAACGTTCTATAAACGACTTCTCACTCCAATTTAATATAACAAAGAAGGTGTTTTATATTGCCCTGTTTAAATAAACATCTTTAAAACCAGTATTATAATGCTTATAAACATGCAGAGTGTGTCGGCACCACTCCGACCTCCACGCATTGACACAGTATGCACATTTGCGCAGTCCTATTTATTTCATTTCTTCATAGGTTAAAAGCATGCAACAAAACATCACAGCAGTGGAAAAACTGACCCAATAAATGACACAGCAGCCTACTCACCTAGTTGCTGATCTCGATCTCCTCATCTGATTCACTGTCTGTCACAGCAGAATGCCTTTAATCACCTGTACTAAGTGGTCTGTGCTTCTCATTGCAATGTTGTGCTGGGCTAAAAGGCCACATAGCTTGATTTCAGAGTTTTTCACATCATTTTCAAACTTCTCTTTTTCATTAGTTTGTAGGAGACATTTATAAACCTGTAAGCACTGAGATGAAATCTGACTTCAGAACAGTTTAACATTATGTAATTGACATGGGAAAGCCACAGCAAAAGACGGTGTTACTAGATGCAATGTGAAATTATCGTACATTTGAGGATTTTTGAAACTATTGATCGTACATCGTACAGAGCCCAAAATTATGGTACAAATACGATAATTATCGTACATCTGGCAACACTGCGCTGAACCCATGTGCCTGCAGATCAATCTCCTGCTCTTTCCTTCACTCACTGGTGAACAAGATCAGAATGAGATACCTAAACCCCTCTACATGAAGTGGGACCTCTCCCCTGACCCAGAGTTGGCAATCCACACGTTTGGAGTCAATAACTAATGAATCATAACTTTGGATTTGGAGGTGCTGATCTTCGCCCCAGTCAATCATTTGTGAAGACTGATCATGGTCTCTCACATCATTATGGGAGAACTCTGTTCCACTTTTCTTTGCAGAATTAGGGTTAAGATATCCATTAACAGAGAGTCGTCCAGGTCTTGAAGCTGCAAAGCAGTCCCGTATCATCATACTACCACGACCATATTTGATCATTTGTAAGGTATTTTTCTAAAATGTAGAGTTAGAGAAAAGAAACATTTTGATGTGTGCTAAGACTTTTGAGGTAATACTCAATTCAAATAAGTTTATTTAAATAGAGCCAATTCACAACAAGACTCATCTCAAGGCACTTCACAAAGTCAACATTCCACTTGAAGCTACTTTTCAGTGGCCTGGCAAGTCATCTCATAAATGTATGACCATGAGTCACTGAAACTGTTCATTCGTAGAGGTGGAATTTATGGTTGTCTTTCAAACTGTCTCTGCACACAATTGGACAGCGCTAGTACTAATCAGAGCAATGGATAACGTTACGAATACACCGCTGTGGATGTCAGTCATTAAGGCGGTTTGACATACGTTGTAGTAAAAGAAGCAAATACATATTTTTTTCTAAATAAATGGCTTAAGAATCTCCATCTGTTCATGTCTCAAAGAAAATGCCAAGTCTAAATTGTATAAAACGTTTCAAACGAGAATCATTCCTGAGCCAACGCCATCTTTGTTGTTTTTCTCCGTTGCAGCTCTAGCATTAATCATGCCAAACAAATGTAGAGCACTGTGACTGGCAAGACACAAAACTGTAGGGTAGACCTGCTAAGGCAATGACGTGGGGACCAACCTGCAGAGCTAAATCTGTTTGCTTCTTCTGCAGTTGGCTTACTGTATATTTCTAGGCTAACTTATTATCAGTGCGTTAAGTTCTATTCATTGTTGCAATTAGTTAAGTTTCCTTTTTAAGAAAACCCAGCAGATTGCATCAAATCACTGACTTGTGTCAGAGGCTTTACAGCGATCCCTCTACTAGCATGTAGCGACAGTGGAAAGGAAAACCCCTCTTTAACAGGAAGAAACCTCCAACACAACCTGCCTTAGTATAGCCCTTTTTACAAGACGGCAAATCGGCATAATATTACCGCAAAGGTATGTCTATAAACACGCCATGCCGGCATGGCGTTGCACAAATTCTGTGGCATTTGTTCCGCCTTGCTTGGTAGTAATATTGCATTAATTGTCTGTCGTATGCGCCCTGGCGCAACAGAGGCAGATGTCATGATGACGTGGGGAGTTAATGCTGAGCTCCGGCTGGCAAATTTATTGAAAATGAAAGTAAACACAAGCAATAAGGTTTGCTTTTTGAACAAAATCAGCTGAGATGGCAAAGTGGAGTGCCGCAGCGCTCCGTGAGCCTCTCTGTTAGAGCTGAAGCTCAGATCACAGGGACTGATGGGGACAGACACCTTTAGGAGCTGCTCGTTAAAAAAAACTTAACGATCACGGCTTCACTCGCAATAAAAAGCAAGTTATGTCCAAAATATACGGAAGTCTGAGGCAGTGCAGAGACCTCCCCCATACCCCCTTTATGCCGCCATCACCTAATCTTTTATAAAATTGCCACGATTGCGCCACATTACCGCCACGGTCTGATCTTATAAACCACCTGTGTCCTCCCAGGGAGCCGCGGCAAATCCCGTTTTGCAAATGCTACGGTCCTGTCAAAACAGAATATGAGTGGCCATCAGACATTTTATGGATTGATGAGACAAAACTAAAACTCAATCAACTGAATTACAACCTTGTAACCGATCAAAGCGAGGATTATGTATTCTCTTTAATCTGCAGAGTTTTACATTCTTCACTGAAGCACGGCTTCTCAGAAATGAAATGTGCAGCACAAGCTGCAGATTACAAACTTATCTTGTGTAAAACGTTTTTATGATACATAAAAATTATTTCTTGGGACATACAAATGCACCAGTTACATATTTACAAATAAGAGTTTAGTCTGTACAGCGTCACATGATTCATCTCAAATCTTTGGTAGGAAGACTTTAAGGGGCTCATTTTCATGCACTTTATCAAGGAAGCCGAGGTTGAAGTAAGGGTACAGGGTCTCTGTGAAGGTCTCCCTGAAGGTGTACAGATGTGTCATGCTCTCTGCATTGTAGAAGGACACCAGGCCTCGTTTGTAGTCCAGGTACACCCCGATCCGGGCCAGCGGCTCCTCCAGAGACAGCAAAGTAGGAGGGGATGTGCCGGCCATGTACTGAATCCCATAAGAGAGTGAGAGAGTCCAGAAGCCATTGGCAGGAAGAGCTTTGATGACTCCCTTCCTGGGCACCGACTCCCGGGCGACCCCCACCGTCCACACGGTGCTGCTGTACACTTCTATCTCCCAGTAGTGTCGGCCGTGGGTGAAGCCTTGGCTGCCCAGCAGAGACAGGGCGGCGTTGAATCTGTTTGGGTTGTCCTCAACCGTGTGGTTGAAGTTCTGGTAGCGGACGCAGGTGAGGGAGGAGCTCAGGCTGAGCCAAGGGTTGGCTGTGCTGGAGTTAAACGTGATGGCTGCTGGAACTAAACAAAAGGGTAATAACACAAGTTCACGATCTGATGAAAGGTCTGGAGAACTTCAGAAATGTTGCATCAAATACCTGGATAAAGGCTTCCCTTCATGGATTTCCACACTCGGTACTGAAGAGGCCCTGCAAAGCGGCCCTCACACAGACTGGGGGGTGTGAACACCGGTTTCTCAAACTTCAGAGAAGGCCTGCCAACAAAAGTAGGGTCAAACAAGATAAACAGAGAGAGAATATCAACAGAACATTTCAATGAAATGATAGTTTCACGTACTCACCTTTGGAGCAAGGCTTTGATGCTCTGAAAACGAGGAGCAGAAATAAACACAGGAAGCCACACACACACACACACACACACACACACACACACACACACACACACGGAGAAAGACCAGTAATTAGTTTTGTTGGAACTGAAAGGAGAGAAATGTTTTTCCACATTACTTCAACGTCTGAGCTCATTCTATCCCGCCCTGTGGGATATCTGTGTGGCCGGGGGAAAGTCCCCTCAGCCGAGGCCAGAGAGCGTGTGGCAAAGTGCCTGAACTAAAGTCCTTATTCCACAGATGAGGGGGTGAGATTACTGGTCTGCATCCTGTCTTAGCTCACCAACAGGAAGAGTCCTTTTGTTAGCAGAAAACAAGCTGCAGTGTTAGCATGCATGCTGATAGGATCAATAACCTGAAATTGTCCCACCCTGATCTGTTATATTTATGTTGGAGCCTTTGGCGCTGAAATGCATCCGTACAATTGTGTTTTCAAAAGTAGTTTAAATCTCAGCGTTTCCCCACCGCTGACTCATCATGCTGGTAAGCCCTTCCAGATGGCTGCGTATTCAGAAAACTCACCCGGAGCAGAGTGAACGGGTCCTGCTCTCTGAGCTTGTCCTCGATCTCGTGGACGGCCCTCTGCAGACGGGAGATCTCCACACACAGCAGAGCCTTGTGCTCATCCAGGCGGATCAGCTCCCTCCGCTCCTCTGTCTTCAACTTCACCTGCAGCAGCTTCTCCTCCTGGTACAGAAACTGGTGCAGGTCACTGAACTGGGCCTCGATGCGCTGCTTCAGGTCAGCTGTGTGCTCCTGGAGACCATCGGGGATGGTGATCTTTACATTTTACAACCTCTGCACTTTGATCTTTTTTCATATTTGCCTCTCACCTTGAGCTTTTTCACTTCATCCTCAGCTTCCCTGTCACACTCCAGAGCTGTGTTGAGCTCAGCTTTTAAGGAATCCATTGAGCTGTTTAGAAATCCCTGCAGAGAAAGAAACACATTACTGACCCATGACTCACCTCAATGACACCACTTTTATTAGTCATTGGTAAAGAAAAACAACAGATGAGTTTGGGAACTGTAGAACTCACTGTTCATAAAAGAAAAAAAAGACCTCTTTTAGTGCCATCTCCTGCAGGATATGCAAATATTATTATTATTTTTGCATGTGCACAATAGACTCACCCTGTACTTCTGCTCAGCCTCCTGCACACACACCATGGTGTGGTTTCTGTGTTCCTGGGACACGCCACACACCAAACATACCAGCTCCTGGTCCTCCTCACAGTACAGCTTCAGCTCCTCCCTGTGCCGGCTGCAGCTCGGTACCGGAGCGGTGACCCTCTCTGCTCCTCCAGCATCCACCAGGCAGCTGCCGCCCTCCTCCAGACCATGGCAGTAACTCTCCACTATGTTGGCAACGATGCGGTTGGGTCTGTAGCACTGTCCAGGGTACATCTTCCTGCACTGAGGGCAGGCGCCTGTTCCCCCCTGCCCCGGGCCTCTAGGTCCAGTCCAGTAACCCTCAATGCAACCCTGGCAAAACGTGTGATCGCAAGGCAAAGAAACGGGCTGCTTGAACAGATCCAGACAAATGGAGCAGGTCAAATCTCTGCTGATTCTGTTAGCTGAGCTGTTGGCAACTTGTCCAGCTGCAGAAGCTGGTCGCTGCTTCTCCATCTCCGCTTGCACAGCAAATTCTCCCTCTTTGGGTTTCCAGCTCTTGTTTTCATGCTTTAGCCCTTGATTGAGTCTTTCCAGGTTTTGCAGATAAACCGACTGGATTTTCTTTACTTCTTTCTGAATGTTGCTCATGCCTCCACCCTTGTTATTTTCCTTTGTTCTGACAGTACAGCTGGACCTCTACGTTCTTCCAGTCTTCCTGTTGCACGCTGGGGAAGTGAATGGGTTTCCGCAGAAGTGGCTTCTCTCAGCCTCTGCAACAGCCATCCAGGGAATCTAAGCCGCCCCCTTTTCCCCTAAAAAAACGTCATGTATTCTCAGGAAAGCGGGGCGGTTCTTGAAGACTGTCTTGGCACGTTTGATTTTTGCAGTTTGCACAGAAAGTTTGCTTCACTGAACTTCTGCTCTGATAGGAAAAACTGTGGATCTGTGACTTTTTATAACAGATTTCCTGCTTCCTTTTTTGGCTATGCTTTCTGCTCTCATTTAAGGGTAAACAACGTCATAAAAAGAGCTGGACAATGTGAAGAGGAGCCCCGTGTTCCTGTGTTACTGTCATATGGATGTAAACAGTTTTGCTACTTGTAATCTGGTTGCTGCTGCTGTGAATGAGTGAGCTGTGATAAAAGCTCTGATACAGCAGCAAGAGAGCTGTACAAGATGTTGCATCAGCCTGATAAAATGAACACAGATGGCTAGAGTTTCTTTGACCTAATCACATCTCAGTAGTAAAACCCAATGACATCAGTTATGAAAACTCAGAGTTTTTGTTTTAAATAAGCTTTCTTCTTGTGAGGAAGTCTTTCTGACTCTAGCGAGTGACTTGATCAATCTGCTGGGTTCCTTATATAGGAAACTTTTTGCTGATTGGCTTAATGAACTGACCTGTACTGGAATGTTTACTATGGGAACTCTGTTTTATCATTTTAGTCATTTTACTGCTTTCATGTGTTTTATTGTTCCCTGCTCTGTTTTTATTTCTATGTCATGTTTTGTGCCTTGGGCTGTCGTAAAGGCAGTGGAAGGCGCGACACAAATAAAATTTGATGGATTGATTGATACCTCTAGCTCAGCAAACCACAATACAAATTCGGACCATTGACACACATACACACATCTTTTTAGTTTTATGTAAAGTTGTCTAAACATGCAGTGCTTCTTCTTTAGAGCCACACACACACGGAAGTGTAATGCTACGATGTAGAGACGATAAAGATTACAGTGATCCCTCGCTACTTCGCGGTTCGTTTATCGCGGATTCACGACTTCGCGGATTTTTTCTTTGGAGCCTTATTCAAGGGAAATTCGCTGATTCGCGGTATTTTTCACCGATTCGCAGTATTTTTCTATGCGAAATATCAAGAAATTCCTATTTTTTTTTCATCAATTTCATCATAAAATGCACTTTTTGTAATAAAACTATAAATAAACCAGGTAAAAAACATTTTTCTATGTAAAGGGAGGGTTTTAAAAGTCTGAATACTGAACACGTACCTGTTAAATAAATACTGTAAATATGGTGTCCCTACTTCGCGGATTTTCACCTATCGCGGCCAGGTCTGGAACGCATCTACCGTGATAAACGAGGGATCACTCTAAATCGTAACTGTAGGTGCTGCTCGTTACATCAGTTACATTAATTTGTGCTTGTTCAAAAGGAGCAGGAAGAATCCTAAATGTATTTAATCTAATCCCTTCTCTTATAATTAGTTCAATTACTCAATTTAGCTTAACAACCAAAAATCTTCATTACAACATTGTTTTATAGGCTGTGAAATGACCTTTATGGAGGTCACAACCCCCAGATTTTGTGTGCAATAGCATTTATGTTTATGCACACTAGTGACTCTGAGCTTTACTGGGAAAGATAAGGTCAAAAGCAGAGTGACAGCGTGTCGAATAACACCTGCAGTAAATGTTTTATAAAGCAGGACAAACTCTTCATTATTGGAATGCTTCAGGATTATTGAATGTGAAGCTGAAACTAGAGTTTTGGTTTGAAAATACATTTCTAATAGCAACCAGTGAATGGATGACTCAATCAAAATGAAATTTTATAATGCTTTACCTTAAAAATTTAAAACATCAACATACTGTAAAAAATAACAGAAGGCTGTTGTTTTAACGTTCAGGAAACAGCAGAGAACGTCTCGGGTAGTAGAAGCTAATCATTAGCATTAGCAACTCCACCACACAGCAGAACTCCTTCAGGCTTGAGTTATTTGTGGAGATAAAACATCAACATGTCATTGTCTGTGTCTGCGTCTCCCTCATGTGTCTCCTTGTGTTCTCCATCCCTCTCTAGGTTCTCCTTATGTGTCTCATAGCGTCCTCATGTGTCCTTGTCTGCATCTTCCTCATGTGTTCCCCAAGCCCCCACAATGCGGGTGAAAAATTGAGGCCAACGCGGAAGTGAAAAAAATTGCAGTTCCACCCTCATCCGCTGGGGGCTGGTGTCAGAAGCGAGCAAATCCTCATTGACTCCCATGTTAAAAATACCAATTTCACAGCAGAAATAAACATGTTTACAGCCTGGTACCAAAACATGTTTTTGGTTTAAATGATCTAGTTTACACTCATGACAACTCTGAGGGGGGTGAATTTTTTTTCTTACTCTTCTGTTTAAGTGTATTAAAAGCCTAAAATTCTGTATAATTAATGAGCATCAGACCCACGTGACTGCCGCCTCAGACCCACGTGACCACAGAGCTAGCTCCGGGGAAAGGCCTCAGTAGAGCCTCGGTCTGGCCTGGAAACTGTTCCGGGATTTTGAGTCTCTGTGTTTGTGTATTCTTGTTTGTGTTAGGACCCAAGATGTTCTGCATCTTGGGTCCTAACCTCTCTCCAAAACCACCTCGTGACACAACAATGCAAAGCAAACAGAGTCATGTAGCTTTTATCCAATCAGAGGCAAGATTTCCAGATATCAGGAAAAAGGACTCCAAATCCAGTTGTGTTTTGCAACTTTTTTTCCATGCTGGAACAGGTGCTTCTGGGCTGGACCTGTCACTGACTTCCATTCACTTTGTGACTTCATTATGTTTAACCCATACTCTAACTCCAACCTTTACCAGTAGGGTTATGTTCCTAACTCCAACCTAAACTAAACTTAACTAAAAATTCATTCACCCCATACCTCTAAAAGCAAGTGGGCTATATTTGTGTGTTTTATGTATTTATGTATTTTTTCTTACATTAATATTTATCTCCCCTTCCTTGCACTATTTCTTCCTTCTTCCTTCTTCATATATTTAAACACAAAACAACATTTGGAGCAAAAAACTAAAACTTCACTTTTTCAAACTGTAGCAGTGTGCTCTTTTTTTTACCCACAATGCACCTGACTCAGGTTTTTGTCCCTGAGGATGGCAGAAATCAGAAAGTAAAGACCTTTTTCATGATTTAATTAACTCAGTAACGCTAATCTCCTTTCTAGGTTTGTTGTGTTTTATTAGGAACTACAGAAGGCCACAGGTTAATTACACCTTGTCCCGTTTCTTTACTTCCCCTTCATCCTCGGTGTGTGTGGAGGAGAATAGATAAAAGTTTTATGTCCTGCTGCCTGTCTGCTCTTTCCAGTTGCTGCACATCATAACTAATGCAACACACACTCCACATGTGACCTGATTTAATTTTTGTCAGGACTTCTGTCCTCTATTTCACTGTGTGTGTGTGTGTGTGTGTGTGTGTGTGTGTGTGTGTGTGTGTGTGTGTGTGTGTGTGTGTGTGCGTGTGTGTGTGTGTGTGTGTGTGTGTGTGTGTGTGTGTGTGTGTGTGTGTGTGTGTGTGTGTGTGTGTGTGTGTGTGTGTGTGTGTGTGTGTGTGTGTGTAGTCATGCGCATGAGTGTTTGTGACAAATTCTCTACAAAATGCATCATTCATGCAGAGAGGAAATAAAAGAAAAGATTCCACAAAGACACACTCACTCACTGTGGTGGTCAGACCAACAACATCTAAATGAAACACAGAGCTCGTGTGTGAAGGCACCTGAGAAACTGGAGGCTAAAAATAGCATCGGTGTCTGCAGGAGAGAGAGAGATGAACCAGCAGGGGGAACAAGGACAGACGGAGACCAGAACCTGGTTTTATTCTGTGTAGGTAACATCTTTGTTTACAAATCAAACATAAAAGTGTGCAATCAGACATGAATCTGATCAAGTTTCTGCGAGTTTTAGAATGCATAAATCCATTTTTAGGGTAAATTTTATACACATTTTTGTTTAGGTTGATAATTGAAGAACAAAACAAGACAAAACTTTCTTCTTTTCCTTTGCTGATCATTATTACTTCTACTCTTTATCTAAACCTCACATGTTGTAATTTACACAAAATAAAGTGAAGATCGTCGTTCACTGTCGTACTACCATGAAGCTCTTTGCTGCTTGTTTTATTTGAGTCTGACTTTCATTGACTATAATAAGCCACTTTCACAGATGAAATGTCAGCATGTATTTTCCCCTCCAGACAATATGAAACCTCTTATAGATGAACAGTACAAACACGTGCCTGGATGTAATTTCACTTTTCAATGTCGAAACTATTAAACCTAAAGAAAGTTTCAGTTTGACACAGTTTGATGTGAGTCAGAGGGCATGCAGCTCCTGTTGTATTGTTTGGTGGAGTGGTGATTGAATTAGTGTAGAATAGCAGGACACATACGACACATTTTATAATTAAGACAAAAGATAAATAATAAAAATTCAAGAGACCTGATCATAAAAAAGGTCATAATAATTAATAAAATCTGACATTCAGACCAAATAAATCAAAATGGAAAACATAGGGCAGATAATATTCCTAATTCTTTATTGGTGTTGCTATGGTAACACATTGGAGAACATTTTACAAAACAAAAATCATAAACAAATAAACATTCAAATACATGTTTTAATGGGTATTAAACAAAACGGAATAGGCAAACATTTTCAAGAAAACGGAAAAAAAATCTTTCATTCATTTCATAAAACTTCATGTTTTGAGGGGAGTTTTTGTCAGGTGTGTGTGTGTGTGTGTGTGTGTGTGTGTGTGTGTGTGTGTGTGTGTGTGTGTGTGTGTGTGTGTGTGTGTGTGTGTGTGTGTGTGTGTGTGTGTGTTAGAAATGTTCAGGTTCATTCTGGAAAAATTGCATGGTTGCTTTAAAATTTATTTAAAGAGCAAGTTACCCCCAAATCAACTTTTTTGGCTGGTAAACTATATAAATGAGTGTCTAATCATGCAGTAGACTTGTGTAGTCAATTATTTGGCACTTTGAAGCACCTTAGTTAAAATTTCAATATTCTGCCTAAAACTGTCAGTGTTGCGCCGTCATCGG